TTTTATTATAAGTTAAAGTAAATTAAATTTTCTTATTCTAAGCTAAATTTTTATTAAATGTTTGTTGTATAACTTATTAACTGTATAATAGCATAAAAAATTAAGTAAAAGACTAATTGTTTAGAATAGTTGCTTATTTAGCCTTAGCGCTGAATTAATTTATGGATCTAATCTAGATCTAGGATAGCGCCACGTGATTCCGGATAATTGATTCGGACCGATTCCCGCCAGCACTGGTTATTACTAGACTAATCCGTAAGCGCGTTGGATTCATGAGATCTATTGTGTGCGTTAATCCGTGCAATGTCTTGGCATTCGCGTCGCGTCTTTTCCGCCTCACTAAATCTATAAGAACTTTAACAAAGCAACAATTTGCCTCTATTTATGCCTAAATATCTGTTATTTTAGTTAGATCTTAAAGCTATACGTACTTCCTAATTAAAAAATAATAAAGCTAAATTTTAAAGGTTTAAAATAGCCCTTAGCAAATAATTTCTAGCTAAAAAGCTATAGCTAGAGCAGCCACGCGTTTAAGTACTAGTGCTACCTGTTAACTGTTAGCTAGAGCCCTTGCTGCAGCAGCCTCTAAAGCACCTTCTAGAGGTTAAAAAGCTAGTAGATTAAATAAGCAGACAAGAAAAAAGGTTACCTTTATAAATAAGCAGCGCGCTGCTGCTTTAATAGCTGCTATTAAGATACTATTATTACTACTATTAGTAGTAGAGCTAGAGTGTTAACTATTACCTTAGCAGTAATTATCCTTACCTTCTAAAGAGCTTAACTATAAGATAGATATAAAGTATATTCTACATGTAAATAAGAACTAGGTAGTTAATAACAGCAATAACTACTAGTAGCTAGTCTTCTCTATGTTATTTATAAAAGATAAAGTAAACTTAGTGCTTACTAATGCAGCTTTTATAATTAACAGGTAAAAAGTTACTTAGCTTAGTTACTTAGTAAGCTATTTAGCTAAGCACCCTAAATCTACCTAGCAGCATATTACCTTAGCTAACTTTAGTTTTATAGAGAGCGCTTACTTACTTAAAGTAGTTAATTACTATGTTAAGCGCTTTACTAAAAAAATTAATAAAGTAGATTTTAAAGTAAAGCTCTATGTTAAAGTTAAGGCTCTATAAAAAGCATTTTTATATAAGTAATTAGCTAACAAGCTATTATTAGATCTAAATACTACACTAATAATACTAAGTAGCTGTTATACCTAGCAGCTGCTGCGTAAAGCTAGGGTAGTAGAGTAAGTAGAGAAGATATCTAAGGCAATAGACTACTACTTAGCAATTATGTGTATGTAGGAGTGCTAGACAGAGCTTTATAATAACTATAAAAAGTAGTGCTATATTTACCTAAACTAATCTTACTATGCTATTAAACTAGTTAACTTTAAAGTATAAAGAAGGTTTATAGTTATAAAAGAGTCTTTTGTTATAGTACCTAGTTATAAGATTATTAAAGCGCTACAGTAAAGAGGTAACAAGCTTTAAGTAAACGTTTATATATAAAAAAATAAAAAAAAGGCTAGTGTCCGAATAGTGATATTCGGGCGCCTGGTTGATAGTCACGTGGCTCGGATGCGCCCGGATCCCTGTGCACGGAGATCTGTGCGCAGAGTTTGGGACTATATCAACCCCTTTCCTTTGTACAATAGAAAACAACAAGAAGCAATTAACACTAGTTACCCAACACCCCTGTGCAATGTTTACACTGTGCAAACCTCTCTGTCTTGTACGCATTTGCTAACACTAAGTGCTAGCTAGCAGAGAGTCTATTTAACACTAATTAGTGGTTTAAATACTGTAAGAGAGGAAGCTCTTCTTGTACCTTTCTGTTTAGAGGTTTGCGTACAAAAAAAATCCTTTTCCTTACTACTTTAACTACAAATTAGCAAGAGTAAAGATAGAGTCTAATTTATGTGCAAGTAGCTATAAATCTCTGTTTAGTTACCTAAGCAAGAGCAAGAAACCTGCCTGTACAATACTGTTTAGAGGTATTATACAAATAGTAGTGCTTGTTTGACGCTAGGAGGTCTGTTTCATCTTTTCGCACGAGGCTGTTTGGAGGCAGCGTACGACAAGAAGTAAGACAGCGCGCAACGACGCATAATCGACTACCATGGAGCAACAAGCGACGCCAGCTCCATCTATAACCAGCCAACATAACGTATTAACGTACAACTAATACATACCTCTTGTAGGCATCTTAGCAAAGACCCTAGCAGAGCAGACAAACATTAAAGATTAAGTAGATAAGATTAAACTATTAGACAACACACCTAAGAAGAAGCTTAATTTGTACGCAGCCAACTTAATTATAGAACTCCGCGCGTCAAGCGCGACAGACGTACGTACGCTTAAGAACTTTCAGGACGACTTTGCAGGGTGGGAGCTTGTACACTTTAGAGATCTTGGCCGACTGTGACGGTGCTGCTTGTCAAGCTCCGCTGCTAGTCACATGATCTCGCTAAGGGTTAAGCGAGCGCGCTAGCGCCTTGGCGCTGCGCAAGCTTTTCTCTCGCGAAAACCCTTCGCCTCCTTCACTCCCCATCCTAGTTTAGCTGAAATAGAGCCGACCTACTCTGCCATGCTTCCCCAGCTCCATACGGTAGTAGAGACAGTGCTTGTCATCACACCGACTGTTCCTGCGAGAACTGATTGCTACCCTGCGGAACAAGAAGCAATTAACACCAGTTACCCAACACCCCTGTGCGATGTTTACACTGTGCAAACCTCTCTGTCTTGTACGCATTTGCTGACACCAAGTGCTAGCTAGCAGAGAGTCTATTCAACAGCTAGGCTTATTATTATTAAATAAGCTATTATTTAAGAAGCTAGTAAAGCAAATAAGCTAGTAGTAGTTACTTAACTAAATAGTAAAGATAAGTAATAAAAAAGCTACTTAAGTAAAGTAATAAAAGTTTTAATAGCTTTATCTCTAACAGCTTTAAGCACAGGCTAGTATCTTTTCTATAAGAGCTGCTCTACTCTTTTACTACTAGCAGCTACATGCTTTACTAGTTATTACCTTAATAGCGCCTTAATCTTTAAGTTATTTTTTAAGTCTTATAATAAAAAGTAGTAAATAAGATACTTAAAAAATAGTAAAAAACTTTTTTAAGTAGTTAGTTAAGTAATAGCTAGAGAATAAAAAAAAATTCTTACTTTTACATATAAAAGGTAGTAACTAAAGAGCTATAGACTATAAAGGATCTCTGTAAAATAAGCAGAGTTAAAGGTAACCTGTATACTATTACTATTACCTAGTTTAGGCTTAAAAATAGGCTTATTTACTATCTTTATAAGAATCTTTATTAGTTTAAGCTAATATATTATATAGCTAGCAGCCTGCTTAAAATAAGTAGTAGTAAGTAAAGTAAAACTAGTAGTAAAAATAATATAGCTAAATAATTTATTTAAATTTAAACTCTTTTACTTTTTTAAGCTCTTTTAGCTCTCTTCTTACACGCTCTAGCTTCTTCTACTTAATATATAGCCCTCTTACTGTGTACTTAAAGTGCTTTTAGGTAAAATAGTTACATTTACTTTTTTAAATAGCTACTTTTAAAAAGGCACTAAAGTTACTACTAAAACACTTTTAAATATATAGATAGTTTCTTTTAATCTACACTTTAAGCACTGTAAAGGTAAGCTTTATTAAATTATAGTTAAGTAAGTATAAAAGTAGATACCTTACTAAATACTTACTAGCCTTAATAATCTATGTTACTTTATTATTTATATAAATTAAGATGTTATTTAGGATAATTACTAAGTGCTTCTTACTATATATAACTTAAAGTATAAAGATTAGACTTTTTTTAATTTACTTAAAAAACTACTTTTAATTAAAGTAGCCTTTTTTTACAGCTGTATAAAAAAGATAGCTGTTAATTATATACACAAAGAAAATTAACTAAGTACTGCTTTAAGCAATATTCTAGGTATACTAAGAGACATAGCTAACTAAGCTATACGCGTAGTGCTGCTAGCTAGTCTTTTTATTAAAGATTAACTTATTAAAAAACACTAAATCCTCTACTATAAAGTGTCTTATTAAGTTATAATATAAGTTATAAAGTTTTTTATTTTAATTAATAAAGAACACTTAAAGTATTTAATAACTTTATTTATATTAAAAAAGAAACTAGAATATGTTTAAGTAATTAATTTAAATACCTTTTTTTACTTATAACTAGAGTGTAATCTTGTTTTAGTATATCTACCTAAAGTAGATAAGCTTACTAAAAAAAAGCATTTATGTCTTTTTTACTAATTACTAGTAAATAACTAAGCCTGCCTTAGATAAGTGCTCTTATGCTGCTGTGCGTCTTTAGATTATTTATTACATTATATACTGCGCAGTTGCTGCACCTCTCTTAATTAGCAATTACTTATAGCTTCTATTTAAGTAGTAAAAAACAACATATATTAATACACATATAATTAGATAGGCTATAGGCGCTTACAGTAAGCGCTAGGGGTTGCTAAGTAGGTGGTGGGCAACAAGAGACTCTGTAAGCTTAAAACATAGCTAGAAAGCTATTTTAAACATTAAAACCTAGCCTTATTATTTCCTGTGGAGGATAAAATAGCCTGGCAGTAGCTGTTCAGAAGATCGGATGAAGTGACTCTGCTATCTAAGAGAGCCGAAGGCTCTCCTTATATACACCGAGCTTCGGAACATAATATCTCCAGATCCCGAGCTGCGTCCCAGGCTCTGAGCCCCCAGTCCCAGGCTCCGAGCCCCAGCCAAGGCTCTCAGTATACGCGACATTTCCTAAATAGGAAGTATGTACAGCGCCTAAATGTTTACTAAAATTAAGAGATGTTAGGTAGTTGTAGGGTTTTATAGGCAAAATTTTAAGTTCTTATACAAATTTGGTGGCAGAAAGCAAAGTTTAAGGTGTTGCCAAGACATTGCACGGATTAACGCACACAGATAACAAAAGCAAGCCGACGTCAGAGTCAACAGCCAAGCCTCGTGAACCTCAACATATAATTACTTCTGCCTGCGCATCGGCAAACATATCTAGCCGCCTTACACCGCATCACACGTGCTATACACATTATCTTCTAGCCTAGTAAACCTCAAAACACATCCGGCAGCACGCGACCACCTTCTCCCTCCATCCATCGTCATCTCCGCAACCTCTCCACAGCCTCTCACACCCACCACCAACTCTCCTCCACACACGCCCAAACACCCACAACCATGGCACCCCTCAGCATAACAATTCCGACCGTCCACCCCCCCTCCCCAACCTCCAAACCCTACACCGAATATGAAATCCGCATCACCGCTCCCTTCCCCCGCACCTCGACCACGCTCCTAAAACGCTACTCCGATTTCGACGCCCTCGACAGCGCACTCCGCATACAAGTCGGCACTCCCCCGCCTGTCTCCCTTCCCCCAAAATCCTGGCTCGGCGGCAGCCTAGGAAAACTCGGATTAGGCATCGGCAGCACATCGACTTCACCCGAACTGCTCCAACAACGACGCGAAGGGCTAGAAAAATACCTTCAAGCGATAGAAACAAGCGAGGATGGGAGGTGGAAGGTTAGTAAAGCGTATCGGAACTTTCTGGCGCTTTCGGACCTTGATGGCAAGAAGGAGAGGGAATCTTTCCCAGGGAGTCAATTCGGTAAAGACCGGGTGAGAGATTCCTCAGACTGGTTGGACAAGTTTGCAGATGTGAAGAGTAATCTACAAGAAGCAAGACTCTGGCTCACGCGCCGTGAACAAGCGTCCGTGGCGACGCAGCAACATGAAGCTGGGGCGAATGCGAAGCGCGGGTTAGTCCGAGCCGGGACCCTCATCTCAGCACTTGAAGAAGGACTTGAGCGGTTAGGTGGTAAGGGTGGGGATGAGTGGGGCGGGGAGAGGTTAGGGGATGGGGAGATTCGGCGTAGGAGGGATATGGTGGGCGCAGTGAAGAAAGAGAAAGACGGTCTGGAGAGCGTGTTGAATACCATGGCCGTGAAGGCTGCAGTTTCGGGGTCGGGAAGTACGCCGTCGACGATTTCTGCAGCTGTCACAAATGAGCAGAAGGCGGGATTGTTTAAAGGCGCGAATGTAGCGCCGATATCTGGAAGACGTGTTCTGGGTGCTCCGGCGAAGGAAACGGAACGGACGCGCGAACTCGATAATGATGGCGTGTTGCAGTTGCAGAAGCAGATAATCGCTGAGCAAGACGAGGACCTGGTTGATCTGACAAAGGTGGTGCGGAAGATGCGAGAGATGGGTGTCCAGATCAACGAGGAAATCATCCTACAGAACCAGATGCTTGGGCTGTTGGAGGAGGACGTCCAGAGGTATGTTCCTGAATCCCATCATTCCTTACTTCCCTTGTGTGTTATTGTGTGCTAACTAAGTCAGGGTCGATGGCAAGATGAAGATCGCGAAGAAGAAAATAGATCGCCTATAGTGAAGGGCCTCCAAAACCTATACGTCCAGCTCGATCCTATCATAGTCTTTCAAGCGAAGGGGTGGTATCACCAGCACTGTACCTGCTTTCAATGCAGCGATTGCTTTCCTTCCCTTCATGATACTTGTAAACATTGGTTTTCCCTTGTTTTGTTCGATACCCTTCTTCACGTCATTCATCATCATATACAATGCCCCATGCGGTAATATACACCCATTATTACTATTTTCAATAACAGAATCACCATTTGCTTCATAGCGAACCATCATATATTCATGAATCGCCATGGGGGATCTACACAGCTAAGTGTTTTCACCAACACAAGGTGGAAAGCCATACGATAAAGACTCATGGTAGGGGACTCTTAACAACGAATGAGTAGCTGAGGTAGTCGTGCATGTAGCCAACTAGCCGCGAACATTAGAGGCGAGCTTGATCAATTTTTCACTTCGAGTGAAACTTCTTCTGCATAGGCTATGTATCTTCCTAGCCCTTGGTGAACGCCCCACAGCGGTTGCTTCGCTCATGCAACAAACCTCCTCTCGACAACCTCCCCATCCCTCTCACTCAACCTCGCACTTTTAATAACCTGAAGCGCATTCACTAATGCCGGATACCACACATTCATCATCTTGGTATCGCCCGAATCATTCGGGTGCACACCATCCCTCAGATCCGAAGATCCCGAGAACCCTGTATACTGATCGACGACCCAGATGGGAGAGTCTGTGGAATTGAGGCCTGTGGCCCAGGGAATGATGGCTTTGTTCAGGTCTTGGATTTTCGTGTTGTAGGACCCTGTGCCCATAGGGATGATTTGGGCGACCTGAAAGAACCAGGAGGATTAATTGGCTAGGATATGATAGAGGGGAGAGGAGGTTAGGAGTAGGGGGTGGGGGATAGCATAGGGGAGTCTCACGATAATCTTCATCTTCGGATTACTCGTCCTCATCGTGCTCACCAACGTGGTAAACGCCTTAATAATATCCGCGACCGCCTTATTCTGCTGCACAATATCATTTGTCCCCAAATGCATGGTAATCACATCCGCCGGATTTTTCTGTAGCCATCCATCCAGCTGTTTCTTATTCGCGATATCGATTGCTAGGAAACCAGAGTGGCCCTCGTTGTCGCGGTCGTATTTCGTGTCTTTGCAATTGTTTTCGGTTTTGCCGGATCCGACGAAGTCAACGGATTTCCATTCTGTGGTTTGCAGTTTCTCCCAGAGTTTGGCACGCCAGCAGATAATTTCAGTAATTGAGTCGCCAAAGGGCATGTATCGGATTGTAGCGTTCTGGGCGGTTACCACGGCCGCGAGTGTGGTGAGGGAGAAGAGTTTGAAGGACACCATATTGCCTATCTTGAATTGGATACAGCAGAACGAATTGTCTCGAGGCGCGCACAAAACGCCTCAAAAAGAACCGTTCGCTTCACTTTTATACCTAGCTGCTCCTTGCCGCGGAAGTCCACATCGGCCCGTAGCACGATTTATCCATCCATGCTCCACCAAGACAGAGCCCCAAGTTTCCGCTACTCTCGTGACATGACATGCCATCCTAAGTTCCCCGATAGATTCGATTAATTTAGCAGACACACGTGTTTCCGAGTCCGAAATATTCAGAATCCTCAAAATCCTTAAAATCTGGGGTCGCGTTTCCGGGCTAGATTCGTTTCTTGGTGTCGCATCCTGGTTAAATGTGCGACATTTCTCCCCAATCTGGCAATTATACTTTAATCCATACGAACCCATCTCTTAAACAGATTGACAGCGCGGGGTCTTCGTGCTGCGCTGACGGGGAATTGGAAACCGAAGCGAACGCAATTGGTTCCGAGTAGATGAGGCTCATTTGGATATTAGATCTATTGAACGGTGCAGAAGCTTCTGCAATTTTGAAGCGATCAGGTTGCACCACAGCGCTCCTTCCTTAATCCCGAGCGGTTTGTCGTTCCGAATTTGAAGATGCGTATTCGGGGTTACGTATTCGGGTTTGCGAGATAACGCCGACGTAAAGAGGGAACAGAATGTGAAGGGAACTTAATGTAGATGTTGCTAGTTAGGGGATAAAATTATAAAAATAAAGGTAGAATCGCACAGGCTGCTTCACTCCGTCACCTATGGGCACCCAAAACAAATGGAACCAAAGACTGGTGTTGCAGTTCCATTCAATCCCTCCAAAGTAGAAGCGATTACCTCAAAGACCTTGAATACAGCGATGAAAAAGTAACAGTCCATGACGCAATCCAGAATGAATGGGGATGCAGGTAATCTGGATATCAGCCGCAAATACAGGAGGACTACTTGGTAGAGGTCCGTGAGGGGCCTTTGAACTTACATCCTAGACAAACTTGGCACACCACTATCTCCTCAACCGAGGCGCATCGATATCCACAAGCGATGCACCGGAGGAGTGGTAGATAGCCCTCAAAGCCCAGTAATGTGGTACCACGAAAGGCTTGGCGGTCCGTGGAAACCGACTCCAGTAGCATTAGATAGTAAACGAGCGGAGATAGTAGATTCCAGAGTCAATAAGAGAAGAGGGGAAGTCGCTCAAAAGACGGGCCACCGGCGAATCCAATTAGTTCGGAGACGTGGGATTTGAAACTGCAAGCCTGTGTCAATCTCCTCTCCAATGATATCTATTTCAGCTGCCGTATGTCCGCACGAACCGAATGACGAAGGCGGCGCTTCAAAACTGGAGCCTCACAGAAGCAATATCGCGAGATAAATGAAGAAAGCGGATCAGAAAAGGCTGGGCTTCGACAGAAGTGAAGATAGAGGGGTAAACATCCTCGGAAATAGACTCATGATACCCAAAATAGAGGTGGCGACGAGAATATATGGAGATGGCATGGTTACCAGGCCCAAAGAGGAAAGATAACATCCGGCACTCCCAGCAGATGCTTTTGTTGGATATGACGGGTGGGTATATCGAGTATGACCGAACAGTTGCCCTGCTCTTAGGAAAGGAGATGACTCGGGAAAGTTGCCGTTCCAATCCTGAGAACATCCAAGATCGAGGAAGGACTTTGTGAGATCGCACAGAAGGATGTATTCGCCTGTAGGTCATTTGACCTTTCGACTCGGTACCGGATGGAACGCATTCCGGCTTCACCGGTTGCCGAGGGGTCCAAAGACCTTACCCGCTGCGGAGCTGACTTTAAGGACGTCTCTATATGTTAGACTAACTCTCGTAGCTCTTTCGTTGCGTCCCCCAGCCTCCTCGAAGCGATGCGGTTCGGCGAGCAGGTACCAATTAGCGACCGTGTCCGGCGAGAGGTTCTCGTCAATCTCAATTGGAGAGATACCATGGAGGAGATCCGTGTAAGCAGAGGAGGTCGTGATCAGGAGTGAACGGGGTTCTTGGAGAATGCGCGTTGGGACTTTATACTGCAAGGTAGGTATTTGGCTTGGCAGTTTTGGGGTACCTTTGGAGTCGCTTTTGCCCTTGGCTTCCTCATGCGTATCCTTGTTCTTCCCCAAGGCCCCACAATCAGTCCCCATCTCCTCTCCACTCTCCCCCTCCTCCCCCTCCCGCCCACTCGTCGGCTTATGTGTAATATCCAAGCAGATACTGCCCCCCAAACTAACCGTCGCAACCACCTTCGCATATGCGCTCCCATCCTCATGCGGCATAATCCCCTCTCCCCTCTTATATTCATTGATCAAAACATGGTTCGGAGCTCCATGCAGCGTATTTTCAAACACCCCCAGAGTTTTGAATCGCTCGACAACGGGCTTGACGAGGTATGATGGAAGCGGGGCGCCCAGGAGCGTGTTATTAGTTGTTAGGGTGGAAGGATGCGCTTGCAGACGACGGTGTGATAGGGCTATCCATCTTTGGGAGGGGATCTGCGAGAAGAGTAAGAAGGAGGAGAGAGGGAGTGTGGGATGGGGATATAGTGCTCGCCTTGCATAGTATTGAAGCCTCTTCTTCTGGGGTGATGAAGTTGGCGATGTAGTAGATGCTTGGTGGCAGGCCAGGGACCTGAAAAGGCTTCAGATGGTCGAAGCTACCAAAGACGCCAGAGCCAGCCATGGAAGAGGGAAATGAGGAGCGATGTTCCCCTGGATAGTGAGTCGTGGGTTAGGAGGCGGGGTGCGAGAGTGAAATGTGCAATCTCGAACGAGCATGCAAATTAGAATATCACGCAGTCACGTGGAACGGGAAACATCACACCAGTCATCGCCGAAACTGACGCATTTAAATGATCATTCACGATAAGATCCAAAATCTGAAGTGTCTATATATGTTCAGGTGAATTTGCCGCTATGCAAAAAGATATGTGCACATATATTCAGGCTGCGAAAAGCAAAGAAACGAATCCCCGCTCAACCAATGCCCGACCATAACACCCCGCCCCTCGAACATGCAAAGCTATGAGAAGACAGTACGAGTGCTCTAAAACCATTCCCATCCAGGCTCCCTGATCTAAGATGCAAACACCCGATCGTCATATATGAGATGCGCGGAGCTCATAAGCTAGTATGAAAAGAAAAGAAAAAACTAGAAACGACTCGGGAGCCTATGAAAATACCGCTGGCTGGCTCTCAAACTCCGAACTAAACTTAGAAAAACCAGCTTATTTAACCATGATCAAGAACCAAAACGTTGAAAGGTAATTAGCTCTGCTATCCCAGGTATGTGTCTGGCGCGAGTAGGTGGCTCAAACAAACAAAAGTGCATACGAGTGCGGAATATCCAGATCTTTCTGTTTGTCTTCCAGATAGAAGAAGCGGAATGCAAGTGATCCGTAAAAGACAGTGCGGAATCCGAATGGTGGGGGCGGCAAGCAAAGCTCTAGGGATTAGTCGGCCTTTGGATATGCTCGCTCACATGACAGTACAGCCACCAGGGCCGCTCCTAGCCCTTCGTCGTCGGCCGACTCCTCCAACTCCTCCACCAGCACCGCCCTCCTCTTCATCAGCATGCAGCAGCTGTGCTTCTCGGGCTCGTCTTCGGCGTCGGCGAGCCCCTGTTCCTCCCATCCCAGCTTCTTCATTCAACATCATCCAGTCCGCCCACTTGCGCTCCAGTCGACCAGCCGCTGCAAAATCGCCGCGAAGGACTCGCTTCGTATGCTCTTCAACAGTCGGTTGCCAGTTGTAAAAGCACTTCAAGCCAATGATCTCGCGAGGATATGTTGGAGTGGTCGACAAGGAGTTGGCAGAGGGTCGAGATATCTCAGCATTCCGCGACAAGACTTCGCGAACACCAGTCCACGTAACGTTCGCGCAATCGTATGCAACTATCTTCAAGCCAACGTGCGGACGCTCTGAGCCAGAGAGTTTTCTAGCACCCCGGTTCCGCGCACGAATAGAGGATGCAGCTTCAGCAAGAACAAGATCTGAGATGCGGGTGTTGTCCATATCCAAAGAGGTAATATTTGAGCAAGATTTCAGGACAGGTAGCATCCCCGAGTCACCCAAGTTCTCGCAATAGGAGATGCAAAGATGTTGGAGATGAGGAGCACACGGCGTGGCAGCAAGTGTCTTGAGGACTTCATTGGTAAGACCATCAAGTTCTTCCAGATCCAAATGGGTAAGCACAGGACACGTAGGCAACAGAGTGATCAAAGACGAGTCAGTGAGGGTGTGGCATTTTGAGAGTTGCAGTCCCTCCAAGAAGGGAACGTTTCCAGCCAACGTCTCAACGCCATTATCGGAGATTCCACGACAGCGTGTGAGGTCCAAGTGCTTCAATCTTCGTGGCGGTACAATCGGGCGATCGGTCAAGACATCTACTTCGCTGTCCACACCCTCCACGAGAGCAGCGAGAGAGTCATCGTTCAGACTATCACAGTTCATGAGGACAAGTCGATCGAGTGTGTTTCGCTTGAAGAGTTCAAACATGAACTCAATATCGTCAAAGCCTCGTACCTCGCCGGCTCGGAGATCTCGTAGGTTTAGACAGCCTTCAACGACTTTGCGAAGTCCACGAGTGTCAACGTTGTTGCACCAGGAGATGTTAAGATGTTCCACCTTTGGGCAATTCGAGGCGAGAATCTTCATTGTAGCATTCGTGGCCCCAGCAAGACCAGAGAGGTTCACATGGATCAAGCGGCTGTTCTTAAGAAGGAAGCAGTGAATAGAAGTTCGGTCGATACGACAACCCTCCAGGGAGAAATTTTCAATGTTCCGGCAGGCGTCAATCAGGCCATTCCTGCTCCACTGTTCCCTCAATTGCACGCAACCTCTCAAGTTGAGGTCTCGAACAAATGGTCCAGCGGACGTAATGATGTTTACCAGTGCGGGTGCAGTAATGTCTCGATAGTATTCCGAAGTATCCAAGTCGCTCCACAGCTGTCCATCAAAGCACATTGCGTGCCAGGATTTGGAAACAGCTGAGCAGCGGACAATCTCCTTCGGCTTCAGGTATCGGAGGATGTGCATGCGGATCTCAGGAGGCATGTCCCCCCAAAAGTTGAAGTTGGCTCTGCGCTGGATCTTCTTCCTGACTTGGTGTGAAAAATAATCTCCCTCGACGTCAACTCCATCTCTTGACATGGGCCGCAAATCAGCAGGAAGTGCTACAGAAGTTGGAGCATCAGCCCCGATTACTCGCAGTCGAGTCTTGTCATCAAAGATTGGGCTTGCGGGTCCAGGGCTGTTCGCTACAGAGGTGGGAGCGGTAGAGTATCCAGCGGACATCTCCGAGGAGTAGGAGCTCCCATACGACTGGCCGTAGGGAGAGCCCGACGATGCCAGAGACACGCAAGACATTGAAGCCTTCCCATTACTCCTCAGACTTTGCGAGCGTGTCCTTCCTAGTCCAGCGAGGCTCGGTGAAGAGCTCATGCGCTGTAGTCCATGCAACAGCCTCTGTCTTCCTTTAAGCTTTGGTGGTGCGATCGGGATTGCTTCGCTACGGAGAGTAGTAGGGCTGGTAGGTGTCATTGCGAGAGGCGTGTCCACTACGACTGAGTCAATTGATAATGGTTCCATCGTGAGAGGCGAAGTCGAGGAGTGAATTAGAGGGCGTTGGGCGGATCGGGGGTGGGGAGACTTCAAGACCGGGCTACCGTGATGTGGTGTACGACGGGTTTGGCGTCTGGGAACTGAAATTGACGGGCCCAGGGAGAGGGCACGACTATCACCGTCCTGTTAACGAGCGTGAAGGGTGAGGAGTGCCGGGTGGTTGGGTGACCGTGGCTAATAAGAGCGCGGTTTTTGATTCCCGTGATTCTAGAGCGGGGAAGGCCCGCGCTCGGTGGCGGCGGGGTGAGACCCAACAAAGAAGGCTTGGACGAAGATGGAAGGCCCATACAAAGCCGCGAACTCAGCGAACAGTCGGTGCAGCACTCAAAAGAGCAGGAAAATGGGAGGAGCGTGTATAAAGACTAGCTCGAGAGTGTTGAAGTCGTTAGAATTCACGCTGCATGTGTTCGTCGGCCTGTCGCGATATTAAACGTTATCGCTATCAGGGATAATCGATAAAGGGAAGAGCCGACGGGCACCACGTGCGCCTTCCTAGTCTGGAACCACACCATCACGCCAGGGAAAACTTGGTCGGTTGACCTCGCAGCACGACTAACTGCTGAAACAAGTGGCCGCGCTTCGGCGTGGGGGAACTGTCCTCGTGAGGGCGAGGGCGGTGACAGTGGAGTTCGCAGAGGGAAAAGGGGGGGGAGAAGAAATGTTTGCGTGGTGAATGTTGGACACCCTGAGGCCGTCCTCCCCCTGAGGCTGTCCAGCTGGCGTTATGCAGGACAAGTAACTCTATCATCGCTTTTCCTCTCGCATGCAGATGGGGACGCCGTCCCAGCTGCCGGATCCAGTCAGTCCCACCAATCTGGGCTTACAAAAGGCGAGCGCGGCTTGCCGACGCTGCAGAAGGAACCAGCCCCAGAAGCTAGGTAGTGTCGTCCACAGACCCATCCTCCAGACCAAAAACCTTCTTCCATTCTCCCCTTTTTTGCTATGGTCAGAGATGAACCCCTATCAAGAATTAAGAGATCCTCTCAGCTAAACTTAATGATTGCAACATGGCGGCTTATTGTGTGAGGGGCGCAATGTCATGCTGACTCAAGATAAGTCCCGCGGCTAATTCACGAACAGGTTGCATGCCCCCGGGGTTCCTTTCCATGCAGCTGTTTACTCAAGGATAGAAGTTGAAGGCCCTCGAAGACTCTTATTCCTGATAGATCTTTGAAAAGGCTTGTTCTCCAACATATCGAGGACAAGACAATTGTCAGGGTGAGGAGAAGAGTGCAGGAATATTAGACAGCTTCGGCATCACTCGTGCATCTGACATCTCTTCCGACGACGAGGCTGCGACCCTCGTGCTCACTTTTCCAGAGCCATGCATCAATGTTCCAAGGTTCGCTATCTCTCTTATCGCGAAACTTGATCACATTTCCCTTTCCAAGGTTGCAAGGCTCCAGAAAGTGGCTGGGTAATGTTTCAGCTGCTTTATCGATCGCTGTTGATCGGCGTAGCGAACTGGCCCATATCGCCGTCAAATTTTCCGATGGGAAGATCGGTGTCCGGGGTTTGAGGATTCACTCCAAGTTCATGTTAGAGAGGCTGGGCGAATCATGTCAGTCTGAATTTTTAGTTGAGGGCTACGATTTATTGTACTACATATCGTCACGTTACTTATAACATAATAGAGGTAGGTTAGAACACATAGTTGTACCCTATCAATGTTCTCCTTTTATTCTAGCAAGAGATTTAACAGATGGATTCATTCCGAGTCATGTTCCACGTTAAGTCAGACGGTGTAAGACTACACCTCCTCAACTAATAGGGAACATAACTAGGGTAGAGTTAATATCTTAAACCTCTCGCTAGAGTTAGGGGAGATGTTAGTGAGGCGCAGACTTCTTCCTAAATCATCTCTCTGTTCCCTTACAGGTGACAAGACGCAGTAGTTCACGACGATCACATCTCCTTCCATATGCACCAGACTGTTTTGCTCGTAGTCTACACTCAATCACTCTTCAAATAACTCCATTGACTGGACGTTGGCATTCGATCGATAGAGGTGCCCACAGGGGCTGCAGATGGAGCCAAGATCCGCAGTTGCGATGACCAAGAGATTATTCCTTCCTATGAGGCAAACGGCGATTATCTCATCCTCAACGACGGAGAAACCAATAAGGAAGCACCTCCATCCAAGACCGGCCTTGTTCTTCTCGTTGAGGTCTTTTATTCAAGAAACTCGCTGTGTTTCTATGCCTCAGGTGTCTCTCTACGAGAAGCGGAGACTGTTAACATCGTTACCTGCCTGCTGTTTTTCCAGGTCAAGTCGGTGAGGCTGCCAACCCAATTGTTTTGAAGCTGAAAGGTTCGAGAGCCATGCAGATATGAGCTTGCATCTAATTGAAGGCTCTTCGGCGTTGATAGATTGTCTGGACGTCCTTCACATTCATGAGGTGGAGTGAGTTTCAATTGGCCCGCGCTGTGATCCTCCAAGTTGGGAGTGTCTACCTCACTTATCACGCCTTTATAAAGGTTCTGTCGGTCCACAACGTGTATATTGGTTGCTTAATTGATGGCGGACAAGATGAAGTTTCCTTCGCAGAAATAGACACGAGACTCGCGTTTCTCATTTCGGCGGCCGTAACTGAGCAATTGACGCCAAAAGATGTAATCTTTTTAGAACAGTGTATGGTTCAATAGAGCCCCATCTCCCCGTACATTTTAGGCAATTGGGCGTAATAAATTGATGCTAAAGAGCAGTATTTACAAGGATTCAGTATTTACAAAGATTGAAGTAGACCAATACTTCTTTCTCGAAGAACTTGGAGATAAGGGACTCCCGAACTTCGAGTCATCGAGAAGGCATTATGAAACCTACGCACCATTTCATGCGGGACATCTTGAGATGGTTCGCCATGTAAGTAGAGAGACTTTGAGGCAACCACTGACTAGAGATAGTGCGTGGAAAAATTTGTTTTTTTTTTAAAAAAACTCCAACAACTGCACAAGATACACATCAAAGCACACATCAGGGAGCACACCGAACAATGCATTGTAGATCTCAATGAACGATTTCATATTCTGATCGGTGTGTATAAAGACACATTTGCTGTGCGTCTTGGATATGGTTTCATACCAGTAATTGGACCGTCTAATTTCACCATCTACCTTTGATCTCATTTCTACTCTTTATATGGAATTTGCACTTGCTGTTTAAGTCCCTAAAATAGCAATGATTCGACTAACTTCTTCCATTATCTATCCTACGCCTTGTCATCCATGGAAGCCTACTTAACACAACCCAAACTTCGAAGTAACTCATCTCAGAAGCCACAACTCGAAGAGAAGAAAAATGGGGGATTTTTAGTTCCTGCTTGGGTGGCAACAGTCGGATCTGTCTACGCCTACACAAGAGCTGCCCATCTCTGAGGCGGTAATTTCGGTTGCATGGACAGTCAGGTTCTGCGGAAGAAATGCATCGAGAAGCGATACGGTTTTGTGCTAGAATGGATGAAAATGGCAGAACAGGTTTGTCAGTATCGTTATCAAAAGATGCCCGCAATTTCCCGACAACGGCGACTTGACGAGGTGGGTGACTATAGGAGAAATCATGAAAATTAAATCACAGGGAAAGAGCAGGAAAGTATGACTCTCGAAAAAATAGATAGAAGTAGGCGAGAATATCAAAGCCATCTACGATGAGACATACATAAAGGTAAAGAATTGAGAATTAGAAGGCAGCAACCAATGGTAGCCCGAAGGCAAATATCGTTATAGATTTCTGGAGTTAGTAAACGAGGAAATCGCGGTTGCATATGACAGAACTATCGAAAGCCAGCTTGCACTACCGCACCCGCAACATTTCCTCAGAGTTGTCGGGAGAATGGGAAAAGTACTTTGCACGTTGGAGGAAGCAGGACTGTCACAAGGATATTGGCATATATATTGTCATGGAATCTTCTTATAGTCTTCACGGCATGCTTGCATCAATCAGAGCACGTGGCTGGAACTGGTTGTACGTTCGATCTTGCATTGGGTATTTCGTGCAGCTGATCACTTTTCTTTTCACCGTAGTGCTAGTTTGCTCATTCCGAACCGTCTAAGCGGCTATTAGCAGTTTGACATCATGTAGCTGTGCCTTTAACTGCTGGATAGCAACAACAGACGGTTAGCCAGCTCCCAGCAACCAGCAAATCGAGTGCGCGAAGCACAGGGGAGTTGAAACTCTAATTCTACCCTCAAGGTTTGGTGCCGAGTGCTGGCTGGTGTGGGGTGCCCCGTCGTATATCTGGGGCCAGATGACGGTCGCTGTAGCAATTTTTAAATAGGTATTTGGTGGGACTCCAACACAGCCCAACCGCCTGGGCCAACGGTGATGTGACGCAAAAAGGTGATCATAAGGAGTGACAATTTGCGTCGAGCCGGAAACGAATGCATCTTGTATCAAACGAGGAATATGACAGGGGTAGTTTAGGACAGAAATTTGCATCATATTAATAGTCTCCTTAATTTGAGCTAGAGCTTCAACAGATACAAGCTACATTGTTCATGTTCCTCATTTAGTGAGAACGTGCTGTAATGTGTAGGTTACTAATGCGATTTCATCACGATTCATGTAAAGAAAGACGAATCGTTATAAAGGTGACAAATGTCTATTGTCTATCAGGCCAAATGCAATAAAGGTGGCCTCAAACTTCCAAAGATGGGATATACTAAGCCTTGACCTCCCCTCCAACCAAATGCCCAACAAACCGCCCATGGATCCCTCTCCAATTCTCCTCACACTTCCCCCTCACAGTCCCAACTAACAACCTGCTAGCTTTAATCTCCACATCCTCAACTAAGCACCAGTCTTCCTTCTCTTCCTTTTCGACCATATCTTCATCCTGACCACCATTCACAACCCTTCCCTTCCCTTCCTCCTCCTCCTCCCCAGCCCTAACAATCCTCCACCTCGTACTCTGCACCAACCCTAGCGGCGCCTTAATAACCCACTCCACGCCCTCATCAGTGTTCGTAATCAAACTCTCAAACGTGACCGTGGTATCCCAAAGCCCCTTAGGAAGTGTGTGCATGTGATCTGTGACTTTGTAGCGTTTTGTGTTCGGGGTTGAGGGGTCAGAGTCGAGAGTTTCGTAGTGTGCGAGTTCAGGGTCGAGGCGGATTAGGAGGTCGTGGTTTTGGAGATGAGCTAGTGCGGAGGCGAACGTTGTGCCGGAGGGGAGCGGGGTCGTGTGATGGAGGGTGGCGGTTGTGGAGAAGACTAGGTTGGGGGTGTTAGGTTTGGAGGAGGTGGGAGAGGATTGGGCGCTTACATGACATTTTGGATGGGTCGAGGTATGTTGGCTTGTTGCTTTTCTAATTGAACTAGGTTAAAGGACTTTAGAGCGATGGTTCCGCCGGGATGAGTAGCGGTTTGAATATGTATGCGTAGCAGTCCTTGTTCGCACGCAAACTTACAATTCGCACCCGATAACGAAGTCAGTGAGTCTCAATGGCTGGAAATATTGAAGATCAAAAATCTAGAAGATCAAGACGAGGTGTACAAAGGCAAATGGAGTGAATGAGGTTGTGAGGACAAGCCTGTTTCAGAATATGAAGTACGTGTTTGAGATGTACAATGAAACAGTAGGACACAGCGCTTGAAGCAATATCTAACTAACGCTCTCTCGATTGTTGCACACGTCTCCAAGTCTGCCTGAGAACTGATAGCGCTCGAGGGATGAGGTCAGCGTTGAGGGTTGAGATGCTATCCACATACGAATTAGAAGTCCACTAGCACGGATCGCTGCCATGCGCTTCCCGCCCCCGACGGCGTTCACGCGCACCGGCTCCGACGGACTTCACCTTGCGATCACGTCTTTTTTTGTTCAATTGATAATTCAAGAGCCTGGGCTTTCGAGTGCGACTAAGTAACTTTTAGTTGCGAGGCTTCTCATCGTTCTTGCGATGATTAGATGTGGGTTCTATGACCAAAGTGTAAAAAGGCCGATGTCGAATCCGAGGTCAACAAAGTTCCTCGCACTTCACACTCTCCAGAGTAGTATATCAAGTAGAAGACATATCTTCGATGTGTTTTCTGGAATCCAAATTATATTCTCCCCCCAAAAAGTACCTTTGGAGGCCCTCGTGGGAAGCTAGACTTGTGGAAGCGTAGCCTGATTTGATAGGCCTCGACCCCTCCATATTTTTAGCCAACCTACCATGGACAAATGCACGGCTTCCCGGCATCCCTAGCCCATCGGCCATCTCCAGCACCGGTTTACTAAGTAGTCAGGATCCCAACCACGACAATTTTACGGCAAGAAAAGGTTCCTGAAAGTTAAATTTCCAAAAATGGAATAGCCCTGCATAGCTCTTGCTGAGCGATGACGCAAGGGATGGCATGACCTCGAGCCTCATAAACAGCCTGAACGGCCAACAACATCTCTTGCATCTCTACGCCTCTAACACACACCTCATTCAACATCTACACAATCAATTACTTCCACAATGGCGGCTGCAGGCTACTTGTTCAACGAGAGAGTCCCCAGTGGGATCCTGATCGCGCAAGCCGTGGGTATCACAACAAGCGTGTTTCTTGCTGGCATGTGAATGCTCCAATTGTCCCACCTTCAGCTTTTGCATATGGTCCTCCTAACAGGGTTATTTCAGGCCAAAATGCCGCGTTTTCATACGCAACCGTCCCCGCTCTTCTCGAAGCCCCCGCTCCGCTCGCTGCCCGTCAGTGGAAGAAAGTGTTTGACCTAGGTAAGAAAGTCGGACCTATTCTTGCGGTAGCGGGTACGATTGCTACGGGATATCTTGCTTCTCAACGTACGTATATGTCTCCACTTTCTCTGTCCTTGAAGAAAAACAATAGAATAGTTCCATTCTGACCTGCTCATGAACAGAGGACACCTCCTCCCTCCCCTTCAAGCTCAACCTCGCCGCTACAATCATCTTCCCGAGCATCATACCTTACACCCTCGCCTTCATGAAACCCACGAATAACAAGCTCCTCTCGAAGGCGGACTCGCTTGCCAGCACCGAGTTGAGCAACAAGGCGGCGGAAGCGGGTGTCACGCAGAGCGAAACGGTGCATGCGTTGCTGGATAAGTGGGCAACGTTGAATTTGGCGCGTGCGCTTATTACGTGCGTTGGTGCTCTGTGTGCAGTTTGGGCGGCGATTGATAAGAGGGAGGCTGTGGGGTTTAGCAAGGCGGCGCTCAAGACTGGGGCGAACAGGATGGGTTGAGTAGAAGCTGCTTTGATGGAAGCCCTTGGAACCGGGGAGAATCTTGATGGCGTGTAGTCGGTATGAGTAGTATACTCCCGAGCAATGCACAGGAGAGGTTTTCGTTTCACGTCGGAAAAAAACATTTGCAGTTATGCCTCGGTGAATACGGCAGACACGTTGGAAAAGAAGGCCTGCGAATAGTAACCTCTTATAACACTAATACATGTATGCTGTAAACAATACACCCATCACTTTCACATCGCACTCACGTTCTCTGAGCCTCCCTCACCCTCCCTCATCCCCTCCTCTCAACCCTTCCTCTAAGCTCCTCATCATTTTATCTCCCATCCCCTCATCCCCACATTCCCAAGCCCCAAACTCACCTAATCTGTCCCCAACCTCATGGTACTCAAACTCTCACTCCTAACCTTCTGAATGTGCTCAATCGCCTCTAACAAATGCGGCACAAACTTCGCCGGATTCTCCGTCGCTGGGAAATGTCCCAGCCCCGGCATCGCTTTGTGCTTCGCGCCCGGAATCTTGTCCGCCGTCTTCTGGCTTATCTCGGGCGTGTTCAACCAATCGTATTCGCCAGTCAGCATGAAGACGGGACATGCGTTGGTGTCGATAGAAGCTACTCGGGAACGCCCATCCCAGCCGCCGAAGTAGAAGTCGAGGTCGCCGTGGAAGATCTGTGAGGAAAGGATGTTAGTGCAGGGGTGGGGTTGGAGTATGGAAGGGAACATACGCCGTAGGCTTGGCCGGAATACAAGTGCCAGATAAGTTGCTTGTTGGCGAGAGGGGCAGTGGGAGAAATCAGGCCGTAGACCCATTCGGGGTTGAAGAGAGATTGGTTTATGTAAGGAGACTGGTCGTTCCATTGGCGCTCCATGTTGAGGTATTCCGCACTGCGGGGATCAGCATCTTCAACAAAGGCTCAGGAATAAAAGCTTACCCCTGCAGGGGAATCGCGCCTCCAGCTCCAACCTCCTTGTGTCGGATGGCGACCGCAAGACACACCTGGCCAGCCATACTCGCACCGCAAATGATCGGCCTTCGAAGTCCTAAAGACTTCACGAAGGCGGCGATAATGCCCACGTAGCTGTCTTCGGTATTCGTATGCGCACCAGGGGAGTATTTCTGAGACGGGAAGCTCCTCCCATGCCCCGGCAGATCAAAACAGTACATTGTACACCTCTTCCGCATCCGGTCATCATTCATAACGCCATGATACTGCCGCCCATCGCTTCCCGCGGTATGTAGAAACACAATCTGCTGCTTACCCTCACCAGATGATTCGTAGAAAATCTTGCAGCGGCCCCAGACCGGCGCATCCAGGTAGAGGTATCTCCCAGTAAGGTAGTCCCTCTGGGGCTCAGGTTGCTCATCCACTTTCATTGGACCGCAGTGAGCGTCGTGCAGAAGCTCCAACACGCGTCTCCATACGTGCGTCCAGTGTGCAAATGCGGATTGGTCGCCCTGGGCTTCAATTGCTTGCTGAGTAATGTTCATGCTAAACATGCCCCAGTAACTCTGGTATGGAGCCACGGGAATGGGCTGGAAGAACTGCTCCCATTGCTCGGGCAATACGGACAAGGAGAAGAGACCATCTTTGGAGGGCCCTGTTTTAGCCTTTGCAGAGCCGTTGCTGGTGGTGACAATGATGCTGTTGTCAGAGCCACTAGACTTGATAGTAAAGGTTACAGGCGCGTCGATGGCGTTGGAGGTTGTGAAGGCCTTGAGCTGGGCATCAGAGGACAAGAGCTCCGAGAACTTGTCTAGGGAGCCTTTGAGGGCGCCGGGGAGATCGGACCAACCGGACATGGTGGTTGTGTCACGGAGCGGGATCTGGACCACAATGGGCAGATAAGGTACTACAATTGAGAGCGTTCTTTTAAAGGGAGACTGGAAGCACAAAGGTGTGGCAAGGGAGGGAAGAACACGGCAAACAGAACAGAGGGAGAAAAATCAATCAGGGTACGAAGAGAAGTGTGGTAGCGCCTCCCATCCTTTTAAAAAAGCTCCGCTCCTGTATCATCCCACCGGCCGACTGCAAGAACTATGTCGTCAGGCGGGGTAAGGGAAACACATCGTTCGCTGCGGGGTGCATGCACGTGGGTCCATTGTTTGATTAGGAAAGCCTGAGATTAGCCAGGGCGGCTGCTCTTGTCTGAGAAATTCCATGGCGAGAACGCCACCAGGCCGCAGGGGAGGAAGTGTGTTTGGTGCGGGTACGCAAAGTGCGGCGTTTGGGATACTTGGCAGGGTGGTTGGATGCGGCTCCCAGCGGACATCTGGACGAGGGCCACTTCCAATGAGATATTGCATTGTCTTTGGATTTTTGGTGATCTTAGAAATCTTGCACATTTTGCACACCTTGCACACCTTGCACATCTTGCATCCGCTTTGGCCAGTTCAGCGTTTCCGATGGTTTGTTACCTGCTCCGTCCTTGGCAATGTCCCGGCGACGGACGGAGGCCCCCTCGGAAGTTATCGGAGCGCCTCGAAACTCGACCTCTGCTGAGATCTTCGCTCTTCAACATGTCCCTCAAGACCGTGATGAAGATTTCAGACGCTGCCGCATTGATTGTGCTCTTGCCTAGCAGCTCGTATCGCGGTGGCAAACCAGATTGAGTAGCGTCTCGGGCGTGTAGGGCGAGGCGAGTTGCTGCTTGGTGTTGAGAGTCGATTGCTCGTTCTGCAGCTACCACCAGTACTTACACGGAACTGGACACAGCAAGATAAAAAGGAAGCACTTGAGAGCCTTCAGGTCTGTTTATCTGTTTTGTACAAACCTCTCTCGGACTCATCATTTGTGTCATGTGGCACAGGACTTATCAATTCCATCTCCACAATATCTCAGCAAACCAAAAATTGTAATATAATAGATCTTATTTATATGCCTTCGAATTTTCATCAACTCTAATAGCACTTCTGGATGCCGTCAAAGCCCATTGTGCAAACTTTTGTTTCCTCCTACCTCTCTCCATGGCGCTTGCCTTCCCTACATCACTGTATCCCCATAGTCACCCCAATCCCCATGCATTTCCCCCCAAACTCCGAGCAGTTTCACTGGAGGCGGACCCACTTGTTTCATCGGAGTCCCCTCTATTACTGCCCTGGTCTGGACAAATCTGCCATACCGTTCGAGGAACCAAAGACAGCAACATGCCCCGAAGGACTGCTAGGCCGAGAAAAATATCCAAACTGGTTGGGGATATTGCGTGCGTGTACGCTCTGGTCTCGGCAATATGAAGGTTGAAACGACTAGCCAAGTGGTAGGGTAAGCAACTCTATTCCACATAGCTTTAGACTAGCTAAGGTGCTCTTATGCTTACTGCAGCCTCACAGCCTTGTGCTCTTTAGTAAGAAGAGGCTTACGCGTGGCCTTCCTACAATAATAGAGCTTCTTCTCAAAGGCCTTAATTAGTAATTAACAACAGACGTTAATCTCTAGCTTATAGGCTAAAGAGCGCCGATCCCTCAGGGCTACCAAGTATGTATAGCTCCAAAATTTGACATATTAGATTCATGTTTGAACTTCTGTGGCCGAGATTGACGGCCGAAAGTTGCAGAATTCTTGGCAATGCCAAGTAGCCCAAATCCGCGATCCTTGAGCGTTGCGGTGGTGAAGATGAAGAGGTTGTCAGCCGTGAGGTAATGACCAAATCCATGAACGGTAAAGCTAAAAGTGTCAGCCACATGATTGCTAATCTTAGCATTGCTTCTATGGAGGAGCTACTTAAGGTCACTAACTCTGAATTTTTCGACTTTCTCTCTCTCTCAGAATAAATAAATAAACACTCAAGGTTCAGGAAACCGTTTGAAGTTGACGCTATGTGTGAAGGGACTCACGGAGCTTGGGCAGACTAAGAATAAGGATAAACGAAATGCAGCAACACCAACAACAACGCCAGAGGTTGCTGTTACCCTTGACAGCTCTAGCTCTGCGGCCCATGATACAGTATCCCCGACCTGTTCCTTCGTTGAAAATCGACTCGTATGTGAAGATTAGCTGATCTGCAAGATAATCCATCATAATAGGTCGATAGTCGTCCCGAAGGTCCTCACTGCACCTGAACAACAGCAGCTTGATAGCCCGCTAGATCCAGCCTTCTTACTTAAATATCTTAGAGATATTCAACCAATTAATAAACACCCTTCGCTCTTCGTACAAATACTCCTTCACTTCCGCGCTGCAACCAGCGCGCGATCGCTCAATTGATTTAGGGATAGGGATGCCTAACATGAGGAGATGATAGACTATAGAGAAACTATGGGCAATCCTCTGACCTTGCTTCGTATAGGAAGAATACTCTGGATATTGGGTCCTTGGTTGACAATAAAGACAATAGGACGATGGAGAGAAATAAAGCACCAATGTACCTAGCCTATAGCTCATGTAGTATATACTTCAAAAAAAACCCTGACGGACCATTTATGCGGGATGTCCCAGAGACTTAGTTCAGATTAAGGAATAAGGACAAAACAACGGGAGCAGTGTGTTATGTAGAGGACATCCCGCTAGACTCCCAGGATGACACTTTAAGCATAGTAGAACACCAGATTGAGATTTGAGAATCTAAAGGACCAATGTAGAATATGTGGCCTACAGCATTAGAGAATCCTAGGCACACAAAAGAACACGTTGGAGACCGCGGAACTAAAGGACCTACAAGTTAATCTTATGACTTGGACCGAGTTCGGTACTTGATATCCTGTAGCGATACATTTTAAGCGAGGAACTAGCAGTCTGAGGACGGGGATTGAGCCGGCTCATAGGCAAATAACGCCCGTAGTACAAACAAGAGGCACAACAAGCACATGAGCAGCGATATCTACAAAGAGTGATGTGGGTGACGATGAGCAGCTCGCTCTAGTTGTTTGGAATTGAGAGTGAAGACATATTGGAAATGTGGGAGACGTGTTCCAAGATATTTTGTGACGGATTCGGTATGGGCTCTTTCCGGAATTTTTGACCAAAACAATCAAGATTTCATGAAGTGGCGGCCGGGAATAGGGTGCTGACGCGGCGGTATGTTGAAGTGCAAGGTGATGAGGATTTCCATGTCGTGATGTGCCCATGAACCTACTTCGCGTTGTGAGAAAGAGGAAGAGAAAGAAATGGAAGGTTGAGAGTAAAAGAGCAAAGTAATATGATAAACACATTGAATTAAAGCTGGTAGATATTAATATCATGCTTCATACACGCCCAGAGCCCCTCTCATCCATCCTCACCCCCCCTTTTCACCTTCTAAGCATTCGGGTCATCAGTAAGCACAACGTAGAAGCCCAAAGGACAGCAAACATCACTCTGCTTAAACGTGAACGTCGTATCCTTCGAGCACAGACTCCCAGAAACCGTAACCGTCCCCGCATTCGCCGGAATCCCACACGGCGCCGCATTAACGATATAACTGTTACCGGGCTGCATAACCGGGGGCGGGTTTGGTGGACTCGGGCCGGGAGCGGGTTGGTTGTTGTACGTGGTTTGCCCAGCAACAGCACCCACACCGATGGCGTATCCCGTGAAGGTGAAGTGGCCTGGTCCCCAGAAGGTGAACTGACCCGGTGCGTCAGCCCATGATGGGAAGTCGAAGACGAGGTTGCAGATTTTGCCTTGTGTGGCGGCGGCGGGGAGGTCGAGGTTAAAGATGGTGCATTTGTCATTTGGAGTGACGACGGCGGTGGTGGTGGCGGGGAAGGCTTTGTTGGGTTTCTTGGCCGAGATGGGGAGCAGCAGAGAAGTCGAAATGGAGCCTGGTGGGAGCTTGCCGTCTGGTTGGGCGCTATTGACAGGGCATTTGGCTTTGGATTTTCGAGCCTCGAGGCTCATGGGGCTGGCTAGGCTTGAGGGAGCCGCGAGGGCTGCTACCAGGAGGGTTGTGAGAACAGTGAAGGTTTTCATGCTGGCGATGACTGGCGATATCTTAACGAAGGGTGGTATAGCAAATAGCTACTGAAAGAAGGAAGATGAGGGTCTGGGAACACCGCAGGTAGGAGAGATGATGTGAAGAATACCCTGGACTCTGAGTAACCTTGCTCTTTATATATTTGATGGGCAAGGTCAACCGCCGTATGCAAATTCCAATACAGGCGTTTGCAGCTCCTTAACCAAGAGTCAGCTCATTCCCACTTGGTAAACTTTACGGCAGACGTCGTTCCACCGCCGAGCTCCCTGAAGGCCCGGGCTTGTCACCACTTCCGAAAGTATAGATCATCAAGAATCTAGACAGCACGACCATCTACTAGCCAATAAGTGTTGCCCATCATGAGCGTTATGTCGTTAGTATTGGGACTAGGAAATGATGTCTCCATCAACATCCGATCACCAGGTCAGCCCTTGCCCTCGCTAGAGCAATTAACCCCAACTCAATTCATCCTCGGGACCACTTCTGCAAGTGAGCTGCGAGAATCTGGGGGTGATTGACAAGCTGAGCATTTGTAATGTCCTTTGGGGATGTTTATGCAGCGCGCTACGGCGCCCCACGTAAAACTCCGGATGCCATGGAGGGCCCCCCGCATTTTTGAGGCTCTGGGGAATACCATTGGATAAGGCTGCAGCTGTGGCGGTCGGACTTCGGGGAAGTCTAAGAAGTGGATCAAGACCGAAGGGGCTCAAGGCAAGTTCAGATGATGACGGGGAGGGCTAAGGCATGTTTTGCAGGGTAAGAAGGTTGATGGCAATAAAGTTGGAGCGAAAGCGTGGTTGACGGGTTTGACAAGCGATCTTGCTGTCAGGGGTAAGACATGGAGAGGAACAAAAGAATGGGGAGAAAATCGAACCTGGCGACGGAGAAGCTGTCGGTGGAAATTTGAAAATCGTGATTTCGCGATGCAATCCTTCAGTTGTGATAGACAGCAGGCTTGAAGAGGAAATCAGCCATTGCTTCTTCCACAACAAAGCTCGCTGGGCGAGATTCTTGCTCGCGAACCCGGATTGTCAGGGACACCATCAGATGATCTAAGTCCTCGAGAAAGGTTTCTTTCAACCTTACTCACTGATGCTGACGAGTTCCTGGATATCTTTGTCAGGGATGGGTGAAATATGCAAGAAGCTATTGAAAAGTGAGCACCTAAAGTCAGCTTCTCACAATTTCCCCTCACGCGGAGGAGCGCGGAGCTGGGCATCGTCCACAATTCATCTCCTGAAATTCAGAAATCCAATGCTGACGGGCCACGACAGGAAGCGGTGATGGCTTTGAGCGTCATCTCACACCAGTCAGACTTAAGTCGCGCCGTGAAAGGGCTGGATTGACACTCGGGGCGTTTGTATATTGTCTTGAAGTGCATGACACCGGTATCGCTCGTTGCTGTGAGCGCCTTCTCGCCAGCGCATCCTCCATGTCGGCCCTCAGCTCACGCGGGGATTTCGCTCATCCCTCGATGAGGAACCGGATACAACAAAGCAAGGCTGAAGATATGTTGTTGAAATTAACACGGCCGCAGATTGACAAGACTCTGACATCCGCCATCTTTTATGGGTGCCATGTTTTATGGCCACTGCGTTTCGTGGCCCCCAGGTGTGACTGACATACGGTCATCTGAATAGCCGTGAACAACGAACAAAAATTATGGGATGAATTTATTGGCGTGGATGTTTCAAACACATTGATCTCACTCGCTCTCCTTGATACACCCGCGATCGCGGGGTCAACGGTTACATGAAACCCGTGGCGGATTTCAATTTGGACTTCATCGCAGTGCCTCATATCGCTTTTCATCATAAGTTGTTATTTTTGGAAGTAGTCGTATTGGCATGACAAGAGCGTGCGCAATAGATGAAGCCGCTGATGAAATCAGGCTGGTGGTACTTTCCAGCCTCGGCTGTCCCCTTGCTGTTTTCAGGGTTACACGTAGCTAGCACTAATCCTACGATTTTCAAATCCAAGTTACCTTCAGAGAATAGGCGATGATCATTTGAGGCTGCTTAAACGTTGGTTGAACAATTAGAGGGAGAAGTGCAACGATAATGAGAAATTCGAGACACATGATCACGACGCAGGGTGGAAGAGGCACGTGCTAGAGATCCAAGGACGAACATGTGCGGTAAATGAGCACCGGAGATTGCGAAACTTTATATTCAAAGATCGGCGGCAAAACAGGCTCATAAAAAATGGACGCGCGCCAAACACGAGTTCAGCTTAACAGGAAACGCCCGACTATACAAATAGCAACGAGAGGTTTCAAGGTCACGACTGCAAGGACACAAAGGTTCAGATCAAGATCTACAATTCTCTACTACCTACACCCCCAAACCCCAGAACAATTACAATTACTCGCACCATCTACACAAGTGGATATCGTCTTGGGCCAATTTTCCCAACCGAAGAGAAGCCGAAACCCTAAAATGCACTCCAATCATGCAAAGTCATAGCCTACCAGAGGTAAAGCTTAATTGAAAGATGACATTTACAAGAAGAGAGCAGCGATGGCACCAACACCAGCAACGAAGCTGCCGACCTGAGCATGGCTGGCAGCACCAGTGAAGGTTGGTGGGTAAGATGATGGCTTGACATAGCTGTAATACTATTAATAAACAATCGTGAAAGTAACCAGGACAAAACTTACCCAGAGCTAGAGGCAGTGCCAGGGGGGTAGTAAGGAGCACCAGTACCAGTGGGGTAGTATGGAGCGGCAGAGCTGTACGGAATGGTAACCGTAACAGTAGAGGTGGTAGAGCAAGGAGCAGAGGTCTCAACTGGGTACGTTGGGTAAGCCTCGACGGTGGAGCTGGGCTTGGCCGGGGGAGTGTAGATGGGGATCTCAGACTCGGGGCAAACGGTAGTGTAGGCCGGGATGATGCTTGTGTAGACAATGGTAGAGTGGGCCGGGCAATTAGTGACGTACTCAGCGCAGCTAGTAACGGTGTACAGGCTGGTCTGGTAGACGGTCTTGGTCACATAAGGAACGGGCGTGCTGCTCGGGTAGGTGGGGTACTCCTCAGCAGTCGAGCTGGGATAGGTAGGGTACTCCTCAGCAGAAGAGCTGGGGACCGGGTAGCCCTCAGCAGTGGAGCTGGGGGTGGGATAGCCCTCTGGAGTGCTGTACACTGGGGTGCTGTAGACCGGGACGGAGGAAGACTCCTCGGGGTAGCCGTATCCGTAGTGGGGAACAGCGGCGGCAAGGCCGACAATGGCAGCAGCGGCGAAGGAACGCATTTTGATGGATGTGAGAGTATAAGATTTGAACTTAAAAAGTTTGAAGGTTGGGAGGATGAGGCGGAGGGAGTATTAATGAGAGTATTACTAGTTGGTTCAACGAATGGACGACCGAAGGTCAAGTGTAGACTGAGCTCGAAGTTGTTGGCTGGAGTGAAGAAAAAAAAAGAGACTGTACAGCGAGCAGGCGAGTATCTTATGTACAGGCGGGAGATTAAGGGCACGGTAGCGCGGACCGGAAACAACTGTCCAGTTGAAAAAGGGCGTACGGTGAGCACAGGGGCAGACGGATTCGAGCTTCTGCTGGTGGCCATGTCGCTGCATGTGCTAACGCAGGTACCAAGCGATCCTGCATCAGGGTGGCCACTCACAGCGCTTCAACCCCTGGTGCTAAACTTACACGGGCAGGCCGGTCGCGAATGGCAGCCCGGTGGCTTCGTATCCCTAAAATGAACGGCCGCCTGCACGCCTAGGACGCTTGTTGCTTGCTGCTGAGTCGAGGCACAATTATTGCTGCTCACGCATCAGGCTGACAACTTCAGCCGGGCGGTTATTGCTTGATTTACAGCGCTTCATCTGGAGCCGCACAGTGGGCAGGAATAGTTGCTGGCCTTTCGAACTCATTTTACACCTTGTTATTGGACTCGAACGATGGAGGCAAAGCAATAAAGAATCGGCCTGAGGCGAGTCCTTGCTTGGAAGAGCTGTCCTGCTACTAGCAGTGGAGTGTCCCAATTCGGCACCTAACATCAGGGGCACCACTCTTATCGGCCGGAGGTTGGTCGGCATAACTCCTGGCCCAAATCAGAGCTGTACACCAACGTTTTTGTCAAGTAAAAACAAGGACACTACCTTAATGATAATGGTCGCGAGGCGATCATTTGCTGCATTCGGTTCTCTCGCACAGCTGCAGTGCGGTTACCTGACATGTCAGCATGTCGGACAGGTCGTGCGCTCAGCATCTCTGACCTATTTTGACGCTTCTCCAGAATCGCACTGCAGCAATTCTCGATGAATGTCATCGCAGCCTTGAAACAAACGTCCGGAGCCTTCCCACTTCGCGGAGATTTACTTATTGTGAGCCTACTTTCTTCCCTCGAACGCACGCGACACCTTATTTTTGGCCCCGTATCAGGCCGCGTTCAATTTGCTTCACGGCCAAGCTTAGAATCCACCGTCCAGGAAACTGTGAGCGAGGTCTTGACGCTGTCCAGGAGCTTTGGCCTGTTCGAAAGAAGCACACAGTGTGGCCACTCGTGATTTGTGGAGATTGGTGGAATAGACTAGCCCATTCGGTTAGCTCTTCTCCCGCACAAGCCTTGCACTGAATTATTCTGCTTTTTGGGGACAGCCTCCCCTTACCCTGCCTCGCCCTGCGTCCAGAACCGTCAAGATTCATCTCGCCTCTTGAATCTTTGGACCGTGCCAATCCAGATTTTACGGTCAGTTCATGCTCCCCTGACGCCAGGAACGCGGGGTGGACGGTTGACTTTGTGATTCGGCTGCATCCCGTGGGCTTTTTCTGCACACCTTCCCTCTTCTCTCACATCAAGTTTCAGCCACTCACAAGTACAAACCAACCTGCAGCCTCTGAATCAGCCTGCTTGCGACCTGTGCTTTGGCAACATAATTCTCTCTTCACCGAGTTGCATCGGCTGGTCGCGTGAACTGACAGCAAGTTGACCCACCCCCATTTGTCCCGAAAGATCTCAAGCTTCCCCTGCCAAGGCTTATTGATCTAAGATTCCGCGCCAACGGTTATTGCGAGCGGGCTGTTAATAGAAAGGTACGAGAAGCTTGTCAGCCTCGGATCCTACCTTTGACACTTCGGGATTCGCCAGGTTGCCATCATCGGATGCGCAGCTTCCTTGGGATGAAGCTTATATCCTATGTGGGGCCTCTCAAATGCGTCGTATCAAAGAGAATAGGAGTCAATATCACAAAGTCCACCGCAATCGCAAATTTAGGGCCCATGCTAACGGAAACCCGACGAGAGCCTTCTATTGTCTCATGGCTGCTGCTCTTTCGACCTTCTATCAAACGTGCTTCGATATCTAGTGGGACTTTCAGGCAGGCTTTCGCTAAGTCCACTGTCACTCTATCCATCTTCTTTTGATGGTCCTAATATTGTTCAGCTTACTCTGCAAAATCTTAGATCTTGTTCGGTACTATTCCCGAGATGGAAGGAAAAATTTTCTCAGTTTACAGATCGCAGTATCAGAACAACATCCTCAGGGCCTCACACCAGCCGTCGAGCGCGACAAACATCTACACAAACATAAGGCATACTCTGAATCCCAGCTCGATTCCTCCTACGAAACTTCATCCCTATCTCGATCGACATCCCCCGCACAGCCTCTCGAAATTGTCACTTTCAAGATCACCCAGCGGCGTTGGAACATTGGGATTGGCCTTACCAACTACTCAATTCAAATAGGCCTTCGTAGATTTCCACTATAACCTATACAACCACCTCGAAAGCAAGAGATTTTGCCTCAAATCCATCTGGGATGGCGCCAAGCCACGTTGTCGGCACTCTGACCAGATCTATTCCGCCCAGATTTGGTCTCCTGGCCTATTGGATCCTTTCGCATCGTCAGTCAGCAGGCGTTGTGAGTTAAAGCTGAGTGCGAACTGAGCGTCTTGACGGATTGCATTTACGTTCTCCCATTTTGCATGTACATTGCATGCTACATCCCTTCTCCATGCTGATTTCTTTCCCCTCCTGTCAATAGCTGCCAACACTGACGAACGCAGAATGAAGGGCATCCGTCTGTGCGGCTCTACCGTATCTGTTTTCCAATGCCCCATCGTCGACTAGAGCCGACTTCCACAGTATTGTAATTATCAGCAGACATCTCTTTGAACCGTTGTGATTAACCAGTCACCAATGCTAATTCTGTCTCGTCTCACTGCAGCCTAGCCTACCTCTTTCTACGACCCTTCAATCTGATTATGCAACGCGCGTTGTGTGCATAATCGCTTCATCTCATCCGCTGCTTCTTATCTTTAAGGATACGCTTCCTATTCGTAGTGAACCTCCACTCGCAAACGTTTCTCATTACAAAAATTTCCTGAAGCTCCCTAAAGTGGTCCTCCCGCCACCGCTCTCATCTAGTGAATAGGTCTTTGGAATGCACTTTTCGCACAGTAAAGTCGCTCTGCTCATTATTTCGAAGAAATACTAGCGCAGGTTTTTCGCCTATCCTTGAGCAATGTCCTTGGTCCAAATACTCTTTCGTCCAAACTTTCAGCGCTCTGTTCCTGAAAATTATGGAACGGACGCAACCTCATTTTATGGCCACCACATGTTCCGCAGTTCCAGCTATTTACCATTAAGATTTGGATATCAACAAGTCTTCTCGTATGCATCATATGCGTGATGCATTTCTCCAATAGGACCATGGATCTCGCTCCACTGACACCCTTCTCGGTCATTCCATGAGGACACCCTCTTCCACAAGCCGATATAAAGGTAGGTTTGCATTTCTATTGGACACCGCAGCAATGTTCAACGGACCCACATCTTGATTCGTTCAATTTTGATTGCCACATTTGCAATCAAGAACGGTCTATCCCGTCAGCAAGCTACGCTTTTACCTTGAAAACTTCAGTGAAAGTCAACCCAATCATGGAATGAGTGGATTTCCAGCGCACTTCAACTATTATTAGACCAAAACTGCATGTTTGTAGCTCCCAAGGATAGGTCACATTTGCTCTAGAATTTTGTGGAGCGTCCCACCTCAATGTTCATAGAGCTAGTTTTTGTATTCAACTACGCGTGTTTCTCGTTTTTGCATAGCGGCACAAAAGTCCAAAGTCCTTTCAACTTTTCCCCCTCCGGGCTTACGTATCTTTCTGAGGCTTTATTCCTCATTTTCCCAAGATTTTGGTCCCAGGGCATTGCCGTCCGTGCACTAACCTTCCGTTTCTAGATATGATTATGTCCAGGTTGATTCGGAATTTTGGGGACACCTTTGCCACTAACAACAAGACAATAAACGGCCGACGGTAAATGACCGACTTATTTCGGATGACACTAGACAATTTACCATCTTCTTTTAGTCCTGGCCAAAGCCACCATGCAGTGCACTAAATCTCTTCAATTCATTTTACTGTCCATCACATCGGAAGCAACTCTGACGCCCGCTCAAGCGACGGTGGAAATCCCGATTGCGAAGAATATTACGAATGACCCTGAACCCTGAGAACCACTCTGGACATCGCTTAGTAAATATATAGCCTGGGTTGCCAAGAATCCTGATATTCCTCTTGTCGCTAACGACTCTACTGCCGCTGAGCACCTTCCCTAGATGCAATGGAATGCAACACTGTCCATGTCCACGAAAACTGTTTGTTGGTCAGCAGCCTGGAAATTCCCGAAGAGGTAGCTCGTGGCCTTGAATCCCAAGTTGCGCATTCCTTGACGAGGCGTTTCAATGTTGATTCGCTCGAATCAGCGACACACTATAAGAGTTACTGCGCCGGTGATCAGGGTGGAGATGAGCACGACATAATCTGGAATTTTAGGTCTCGGCGACTCAGTTACCGTTCCACAGGCTGGGCCGTCAGGAGGACCAGGTTCAACCACCGTGGTCGCGGCAACATTGCCGCCTTCGTAGACGCGTACTTTACCCATTAGAGACAGTGTCGCAGCCTCACATTCTAGCAGAATTACCCCTGCAGCTTGTTCGGAAACTTGTGCTGCGTCAGTTACACATACATTACGATTAATAGTGCAGCTAATGTGAAGGGCCATGGGAGTTTAATTCATCGAAAAACCGGCTCGCTTTCCAAGGCGAGTACCTGAGTTAGTAGGTGAGCTGTTGCGGCCAAAGCCTAATTCGTGAACATTTTACCAGAAGAGCACTTCGCAATCAGAATGTCACGAAGTCCAAGTCATGGATCTATGTTGAAAGGTAAATATAGGGGCAGATACGAACTAGAGGCATAACCGAATTTTAAACATCTCCATACTCCTTCTCACTAAGACAATTGGAAGAAAGGGAACATTGTAATAGGCTTCTGAATTCTTTAGGTAGTCTTTACGTATTTAGTAGACATGCTTCACGCTTGCGTTGACACTATCACGTCGACAGGAAACGTCTGCGGCTTTGAGTGCAACCAGGCTATTTTAGTAGTCGGTAGGCATTCAATGGATAGAGACTAATCCAAAATGGCCCAAATGAGATTCGACGAATTCCATTCCACTGCAAGTGTTGTATTCCAATCATAGTCGGCAAGAACGAATGGGGAAGGGGTAGTGTTCATCTGGATCCCATTCCCAAGAACGGTCGAACTTCGCAACGAGTTGGACAACTTGTATCCCGAATTTCGTTATCTTTTTCCATGAAGCAGTCCAAACTCTGACCATAAAGAAGCCACTGAGAATATACAAAGCAGCAGCAGCAAGGACCGACCCGAATCAGTGGAATAAGTGAGCGGGGCGTAGTACGGGAATGGTGAGGAGTGTGCGTTATATCTTTGACATTTAGAGGCGATGTCCAGCCCTTGGGCATGGAGCACTGTTTCTACCCCACACAAGGATGGGCGGCAGAGGGACTTGTTGGCACACATTTGGATCCGCGTATTGGCTTCTTTGTGAGACACGATCCGCATTCCTTGACCTTGGACGTGCTTACACCTAGAGTCCAACAACCCACCTGGGGATTAATTCTCGCACGAGAGCACCTCGCCGCCTCGACAGAAAACTCTCCTGGAGTGTCTGCACACTTTTCGCACCTTGTCAACCGCAACCACCACTGCTAAACTCTCGAGTCTAATGTCTAATTTTGTCGCAGCCTGTGGCGCGGTTCACGCATGGTATCTCTTATTTGGAGGTCCTCGGCCGTCTATTGTATCTTCTTCCGTCCATTCTCTCGATACCCGGGGTCACTTCTCGCTGCGGCTTCGAGGCCGGGGTACATTTTGCTGCGATCTATTTAAGCTCTGAAACCTTTGGGCACGTACCGAATAGAACCTAAGGCTTGAGAGGTATTGGAACTCCTATCCCAAATCACAACTTCTCTTTAAGATTAAGCGCCAGCCTAAGAAGCTAAGAAAACGTTAAGCCTTCGAGAAGCGATGGATTCCAAGCAAGACTTATGGTCCGTATTGCTCCTAATGAGCTTCACATCAACCACCCGGATGCCTCTCAGAACATGGCCAAAGTCGGCTGGGGTTTCACGAAAAATGCCGCCTTTTACGAAGTCCTCTCATTTCCAGGCTTCTCCATCATCGAAACCGCTTCAGAGAGGCATCGAATCCTGCGGCAAGTGCTAAATACAGTATTTTTCCCACTCGAGTGCAACAACTAGCACCGATGGTTAAGGGCAATCTGCTCAAGCGATTCGAGGATATTGCTACGGAAGGCAAGCCCGTGAACATTTTTACAATCCTTAAGACATTTACGATGGATGTTGTTTCCGAAATCGTGCTCGATGAGGAATTAGATTGCATCGAGCATCCGACGTTTCAAAGCAGTTCAGTGAGTTACTCCATGCGACCTTGACATGGGTTGGGCGGCTATCTCCGTCCGGAATTTGACTCGATTTTCCTTTTCTTTGCCAGAACGGCTGTCAGAAGTGCTCTTTCTGATTCCTATCATGCCCTTGAAGAAGGCGAACCAATGAAAGACCGCCTTCTTCATTCCAAACCCATTTAAGGTTAATGATTGCTTTGGAAAAGCGTTCTTCAAATCAATGCCTACCTCAGAAATACCACTAATCCAACTGCTTCTCGCGCTGATAGTTTGATAACAAAAGATAAATTTAGTCAGTCAGCTATTATCGATATTCCGGTTGTTCGAACTCCGCCAAAGAGCACAGCGCTTTAAATGCTGGATAACTTCCAGTAGAGGTGATAATGGTATTTTCTACTGGAAACGATACAACGTCAGACGCCACGATTATCGGAATCCACGAAGTCCTCCGGAACCCTTATATCCACGAGAAACCAGAAGACGAACTCATGACATGTTTTCCAGGTGCCGTATACGACTGGTTTGCAGCAAGGTTAAGACGCTACCAGATCTCGTAAGTTGTCGATCTTTGATCAACGATAGAGCCTGTTGATATAAATAGACAGCAGGCTTAGAAGAGACTCCACGTTATAGAAGCCCTTTTCCAGGACGGTTCTTATGGTTATACTACCGGAGTCTTACTAGCTCTATGGATATAATGCTCCGCCCAGGGTTTGTTGGCCTCTCTCGCGAACCGTTAATTGTCCCTCTAACGAGGTTGACTGCCACTGAGACAATCACCAGCAACCCCGCATACCCGCTCAATCGTCACCTCGATATCTGGATCAAGAGGAACAAATCCCTCCCTGAGCGTTGGTTGGAGCTCGATTCCTCAAATCTTGACTAGTATACGACGAGCTTCTATCGCGGAACCCGATAATGCCTAGGTAAAAAGTATTTCTATCACTGTTCTACGATAAGAATGAACTATGAGAACTATTGCTGACCCAAACGCCCAGCCCTACCCTTTGCGAAATGTACACCCTCTTTGCGAATTTGTTCCGGCGATTCGAGCTCGAGATCTATGACACAATGGACGAGGATATGATGTTGAGGGAACTGATGCTCACTTCGTACGTCCTTTCTACACCCCGTATCAGGGTTTGCTACTAAGTTGTTCAGTCAGTTTTCCTAGAAAGAATTTCCACGCAAAGTTGAAGAAACGGCACAAATAGAGCTTTCGGGATCGTTAGACAAGAACCCATCGCATACAGACAGGCGTTATGAATTCACAGGAGCCGGCAAGCGGACCAAAGGACGCTCAGCGGCACTTCTCTTCCTGACTTTAGACCTGACAGTTGTTAAGGTCGCTACGTCTCATATCTGCTGGTTGTTGAGCATAATGTCGTGACGGGGTCGATCGGCTGGTATCAAATTATCTGTGCCAGTAGCAACATCTTCTCGACGTGCATGAAGAATATATGCCTTACAGAATAGTGCAGTACAATAAAACTGAGGTTGAATTGTGCTACTTTAACAACTGAATAACTATTGCTAATGTTAGACAAGATCATGTCTTCAAACTCTACCAAACTAGCTATAACTTTTACGAAACTGGTCACTTTCAAATGAAAATAGGATATTTCGCAAAGAAATATAACCTCCACCCACTATTCGATATCTTCACTTTAGTCGCTGCGAGAGGTCCAAGACACCTCAAATGTTCCCCAAGAATTCCTACGCGTTCCCGTTTCGGTTAGCACTCGAGCTAGCCCCCGATATAGTGATTTAGTCAAGCCTTCCTCTTTTCTGAATAGACCTTGGGAAAAATTGTTGCTTGTTCGACGACCTTCCTCCGGAAAATTCCCCACCTAATAGTAGAGAGCTGCACAGTCGTTAACGTCTTTCTAACTTTTCTATAAATAGTAACAGGATCGACAAGTAGCTTACATCAACGGCGCCCTCACTATTTGCTCTTCTCCGAAGTGGCACCACCGCGAGGCTCTGCGGACGCACGGCTCAAGTCGATACTGAGAGGATTGGCCTCATAATTCCCGCGAAGAATGTTATTGGGCTTAGTTAATTTCGTCGGGGCTCCCGAGCGGAGTTTGAATGTTTCTTTGGCGAGGATGTGGGTCACCTGGGTGGCCAGGGTCTTAGGAGCGCTGGAAGGATGTGCGAAGGCCATTATTCCACCAGATGAGGATGCAGAGAGGCGACACTTCGGATCGGACTGTTGTTTATATGTTGTAAAAGCCACAGGTAACTCCTAGGCTTCATGTGGCTCTCCTATTTCACCAACTACCCTTAGGAGGTAAGCTGTCTCTCTGAAGTCTTCTCTGACTTACCTCGATGCTCACTCCGTAGTACGACAAGTAAGAAATCTTGCACTTCAAGCTCAGTAGTGGAGGCATATCTGACTGTACCTGAGTAGATTAAGACTTGGCGAAATAAGCTTCTTCTGACCCCGATAAGGAAGCTTCTAATTTTTTAGCCGGTGAGATTAAGGCGCACGTGCGGGCCTGCCATTCAGCCCCATGATGAGTCAACAGTTATCGCGACGGTTGCCATACTTCGAAAATCGGATCCGCCTTCTGCCAATGAATGTTCTCTTTACTCCTTGTTCTATTATTCTCAAAAAAAATCTTGCGACTACTTTCGTTGAGCGCAGCTCCTGTTCATATTTCTTTCGCTCCACAGATCATTCTACACTATATTAAAAGTTTCGTTCTACATCGCGGACATAATGGATACACCATCTCAGGAACCAGAAAAGGAAAACCCGATGCTGGACGGTCGAGGAAAGGATATTTTATACCGACAATTACATGGCTTGGAGGATAATACGGGAAAGAAAAGGCTCAACCCATTATCTTTCGCTGCGCCATGGGACATTCTCGTTATTGTCATGAGCTCTATCATGGCCGTGGCGGCTGGAGCGGCGAATCCACTTTTGACTGTTATTTTCGGCCAGCTTGCGAGCACTTTTGCAGGCTTTGTACAGGGCTCGGTATCTGGAGACACCCTACGAGGAAAGACGAACCAATTTGCCCTCTACTACGTCTACTTAGCCATAGCCGAGTTCTTCCTCATTTACACTAGCACAGTGGGCTTCTACTACACCGGCGAACGAATCACGCAAAGAATACGACAAGCCTATTTGAAAGCTACCATACGTCAAAACATGGCATTTTTCGACACTCGAGGAGCTGGCATCATCACCAACCACATCGCCTCGGACATGAACCAGATCCAGGAGGCTCTTACAAGTAAGCTGTCAATGGCACTTACAGCTGCCGCAAATTTCGGTGCTGCGTTCGTGATTGCGTTCATAATGTCCTGGAAGCTTGCATTTGTCCTCTGCAGTGTCTTCGTGGCAATGATTATTATCACATACGCGATCACCCCATTCGCCATAGATTATGGCAAAATATCTTCGAAATGCTACGGCACTGGATCCTCTCTCGCCCAAGAAGCCATTGGAGCCATTCGAGACGTGACAGTGTGTGGTAGCCAGGCCCAGCTTTGCGACAGGTACAACCTCTTTTTGAAGGACGCAGAGAAGTCAGGCATCAAATCCCGCTCCTTAATTGCGATCATGATCGGCTGGGCGAACGCTATGCCTTGTTTCACATACGCCCTCGGCTTTTACGTGGGCGCAAGATTTTTAATCAAAGGATACGTAGGTATCTCAGCCCTAACGAGTGCAACCTTAGCTATCGTGAACGGCGCCTTTGCGGTCGTACGGATCATCCCAACAGCGGAGGCCTTTGTGAATGGAATGGCTAGCGCGAGTTCCGTCTTCGAGACCATCTCCAGGAAATCTCCACAAGACCCATATTCAAAGGATGGAATTGTCCCAGACGCAATCATCGGAACCTTTGAGCTAAAGGATGTGGGCCTTGTCTATCCTTCGCGACCAGATGTTCCCGTCCTCAGAGGTGTGAACATCGACATACCCGCTTTGAAAACAACTGCTCTCGTCGGACTCTCGGGCTGTGGGAAGAGTAGCATCTTTGGACTTCTGGAACGGTTCTACGAACCCACATCTGGCACTATCAGATTAGATGGACGTGATGTGCAGGATCTCAATCTACGCTGGCTTCGATGCCAAATGGGCTATGTCGGCCAGGAGCCGGTCTTGTTCAGCACAACGGTATTCGAGAATATACGCCAAGGTTTGGAGAGCTCAGAGTTAGACGATGACCCTCAGCGAATTCGCGAGCGAGTGATTGCTGCCGCAAAGTTGGCAAATGCCCACGACTTCATCAGTAGACTGCCCTTAGGGTACGATACCGAGGTTGGAGAGAAAGGGAAGTCCTTGTCCGGTGGACAGCGGCAACGTGTTGCTATCGCTCGCGCTATTGTGGCCGAACCAAGCGTCCTACTCCTGGACGAGGCAACATCTGCTCTCGACACAACTTCCGAACGAATTGTACAGGTTGCTCTCGAGGCTGCAGCTCAGAACCGAACGACGATTGTGATTGCCCACCGACTATCGACTATTAGAAACGCTGACAACATTATTGTAATGTCAGCTGGCCAAGTCGTTGAGCAGGGAACTCACCAACAGCTCATGGCTCTCCATGGAGCATATTCGAAGCTGGTAGAGATACAACAAGTCGATGGCAGCCACGACACTTCAGAAGAGTCAGATTTCGATCTTGGTTCAAGAGAAACGCTCCAGGATATATATCCGGCCGTAAAAAGTAAGAAAGAAACATTACTTGAAGAGTCTGAAGCCAGCCACAAGAGTATCAACGACAGCGATGAGGAACCGGTGGGACCGAAACCACAGTCGAAACCGACCTTCTGGGCGACTATCAAGATGATTATCCAACTCAACAAGCCGGAGTGGCTGTTTCTGTTTGGCGGATTACTCTCTGCCATGCTAGCCGGTTTCGGTCTCCCAGTGCAGTCTGTGTTCTTCGCAAAGATCCTGGATGCCTTCTCTATTCCGCTAAACGAGAGCAAGAAGCTGCAAGACCATGTTAATATCTGGGCCCTCGCTTTCACACTCATTGGAGTTTACTGTTTTTTTATCTGGCTTGTTAATGGCATTTTCTTCGCGTACGCTACAGAAAAGCTTTCACGACGAGTTAGGTATCTTTGTCTGAGGCACATCCTCCGCCAAAATATTGGATACTTTGACGACAAACACCACTCTACTGGGAACATGAGCTCAATGCTATCATCGAGTGCTGCAGACTTGGCGGGGCTAGGAGGAGCGGTCATTGGTAGCATCCTGACTTTCACCTTTACAATTGCAACGGGCATCATCATGTCAGTGGTTATTGGATGGAAGCTAGGTCTTATTTGTACAGCGACTATTCCTTTCACGGCGGTTCTTGGGTGGGTCCGCCTTCAATTTATTTCGATTTTCGACAGTAAAGTTCGGCTTAGTAGTCAGCGAGCTGCGAACTATGCTAGCGAAGCAGTCACTGCGATCCGCACTGTGGCTGCATCCGGACTGGAGGATTTTGTGCTCCAAAGCTATCGCACTGTCCAGCTCGAGCAGGCCAAGAAGTCCCTTCCAGCCATCTTGCGCGCGTCCGCTCTCTACGCAGCATCCCAGGCTGTAGCCTTTTTGGCCGCAGCTCTCGTCTTCTGGTATGGAAGCTTGCTTCTCGCTAGACATGAGTACGGCCTCACACAATTCTTTATCTGCTTTGTAGCATTAATCTGGGGGTCGCAAATCGCGGGTGCCTTGTTCAATTTCGCACCGGATATCGGAAAGGCAATGAATGCTGCCTCTGACCTCAAATTACTTTTCGAAAAGGAACCTACCATCGACACTTGGAACCACAATGGAGCTTGCACTGAGAAGGAGAGCACCAAAGGTCACCTTGCACTCCACAATATCGACTTCTACTATCCAACTCGACTGGATCAGCCTGTGCTTCGCAATATCAGCTTAGATATCCCTGCGGGCAAGTTTGTAGCATTAGTTGGAGCTAGTGGATGCGGCAAGAGTACTATTCTAGGCCTGCTTGAGCGATTTTACGACCCTAGTTCTGGAACGGTGACTTTGGATGGCCAAGATATCTCAAAACTCAACATAAATGGCTACAGACAGCTTTTCTCTCTCGTCGGTCAAGAACCCACCCTCTACTCAGGCACAATCAGAGAGAACCTAGCCCTGGGACTGAGCACCACTGTTTCCGAAGATGAAATAGTGCAAGCCTGCAAAGATGCAAATATCTACGACTTCATAACCTCTCTCCCGTAAGGCCAACCCTCTTCTCACCCTTTCTGACGCATTACTAACTCCACGGTAGACAAGGTCTCGAAACCTCTGTCGGGTCCAGCGGCACTATGCTCAGCGGCGGCCAAAAACAGCGTATCTCTATTGCGCGAGCTCTCCTGCGCAACCCACGCATCCTCCTCCTTGACGAAGCAACTTCAGCCCTCGACTCGGAGTCTGAAAAGCTCGTTCAGGACGCGCTGCAGCGAGCCGCGGAATCACGTACTACGGTTGCGATTGCGCATCGCTTGAGTACGGTGCAAAAAGCAGATATAATATATGTGATTAGCGAGGGGCAGGTGGTGGAGAGTGGGTCGCATAGGGAGTTACAGGCGTTGGGTGGGCATTACTCGAGCTTGTTGCAGATGCAGGGACTACAGTGATGGTATTTAGAGATATATTTACTTGTAATGGCATTGGCGTTTGTTGGGTGTTTGTGGTGAGGATTTTGTTGCTTGCTTTCAAGATACCTCGGGCATGGAAAATAGTATGGATATGTATGGAATGTAAAATTGAATATAGCATAGCATAGATGGCAGATTAGAGGGGATATTCGATTCTATTTTGTTTAATTGATAAAGTATATTCCTTTCATTCATTTTGGCACGTTTCCTTCAACATTGTTGATAAAATTTCACTGATGGACTATCTGGGAAAGCCTAGACGCAGAAGCTCTGTTTCTTACTGATCTAATTGAAATTTCCTTTGCTAATGTCGCTTCAGCGAAAATGCACGCTCGTTGTGGACTCCCATGAATGCCGAGCGTGCAAGTGCAATGCACCTAACCCGGAAGACTAGGTTTCTAAGATCCTACGTGATGAAAAGAGCCGCATACCAGAATGGGTATTCTGAATCTTTGCGACATCCGAATTGGGTACCTACAAATAGCAACGAAACATTGGGATCGGCGGGTGGCGCCGCTCTGTGGGACAGTCAGAAGGACCCGCGCCGGCGCCACATGAAACGGTGGCGCTGTGGAGAGAGGACAGTCAGAAAGGCCAGTCAGCCGAGTGCGTCTCAAGGAAATGCTTATTTGACTCTAGCTCTCGTCTGACGACGTCTAAGCTAGTTTTAATATTACTTGCATGTGCCTAAGCCGTTTTGGCGGGGCTTGCATGTAGCAGTAATGCTGATGGCAGATGTTCTCTGGTGGAAATGATGATAGCTGGTTTGGAGGTACAGGCGAGGACATCCGCCGACATGACAGACGTGAACACCCCAACGTCCAGCAACTGATTCTGAAGCATCTTTCCATTCCCAATAACTCGATATCAATTGTTCAACCATGGAGACTAAAACCATCGTACTCGTCACCGGCGCTAACTCTGGCATCGGGCTCGCCGCAATCCGCTCATTCTGGTCATCTCCAAAAGACTACCATATCCTCGCCGCCGGTCGCACTCTCCAGAAAGTTCAAGATGCTATTAGTCCGATCCGCAGCACGCCCTCTCCAGGCATCAGCACCATCGAAGAAATCGAACTCGATATCTCAGACGATGCCTCGATCGCCAAAGGCGTCGAATATGTGCGGAGCAAATACGGCCGCCTTGACAGCCTCGTCAACAACGCTGGAGGCGGCTTCGACACCGACTACCAAAATAACACAATGTCGCAACGCGAAGCGTGGACCCGTACCATGGACCTAAATGTCAGTTCCCCGCAGGTCATGACAACGGAATTTGCGCCGCTCTTGTTGAAATCTTCTGATCCAAGACTGCTTTTCATTACGAGCGGAATGTCATCTTTAGAGGAGGAAAGCATGAGGCAAACACCCGGCGAAGACCGCAAACTCCCGTTTGGTGCCGGGTGGCCGAAGCCCGAGAGAATGGCTGCGACGAACGCTTATGCGTATCGTGTTAGCAAGACCGCACTGAATATGATGTTCCTGCACTGGGTGCGATTGTTCGAGAAAGATGGCGTTAAGTGTTTTAGTTTATCACCGGGTTTTCTCGCGACGAATCTGGCCGGAGATCCTTCGATCATGAAGAAGGCGGGTGCAGGTGATCCCAGTCTAGGCGGTGACTTCATTCGCGATGTTGTGGAAGGGAAAAGGGATGAGCATGTTGGGAGGGTTATTAGACGGACAAATGATATGTATGGGAAGCGAAACAATTTCGTTCAGCCGTGGTAGTTGACTCGCGGAAGCCGTCCGAGCTCGTTAATATCCGAATCACCTGTCCGTCTGCATGGCTCACCCTCGTATTTAAACAAATTTAGTGTTCGTTTTTCTGCTACGGGTTTAAAAGATGGCTAGACGAGTGTGTGTTGAATGGCCCTTAATTCGGATCGAGTATTGTTTACATGGCTGTGGTTCGTTAGAATGGCTCCTTGGCGCCGCTGTTACCTGCTAATGTTACTTGAAGCCCCAAACCCCCAACCTTGAGACGCCGGTTTTCACCTCCTTGAAAATCTCACGAGGTACATTAATCATCCTTAGGAGCGGACACACCGTGTTTCTAGGTTTAGCTACATAATTCTACCGTACTACTCCCTAGGAATTCCATTCCTCGATACAAGGACATCCAAACTACGAAATCAAGAGGGAATGAAGTGGTACACTCGCTTTGTACTATTACAGAGAACTCCTCAACAATTATGAAAACCAGACCTTGTAACAAAAGAAACCCATACAACGCGCGCTTTTGAATTAGACACCAAACCTGTCTACGAGTACTCAATCTGGATATCCTGTCTCAATGCCTTCGCAATCTCTAACACCTCCATCCTGCTCTTCCTAGAAAAGATGTTCATGTACGCAACGAACGTGTTCACACCGGAGCTTGGTTTTGGGACCTTATCGCCTTTCTGGATAAACGTCATGCTCCTAGACACATTCTTGGCGAGATGCGGCTGTCGCTCCAACAATTCGGTAGTGACGTCGCCAGACTCCCAGATGCCTTCCTTCGAGTCGCCGAAAGCCGCCGAGATGAAAACCATATCGGCATGGTACTGAGCGCCGTTGCGGAATTGCTGCGATAGTGCTTGCACGCGCGCGGAATCGCGAAGAGCAATCAACATAGTAAGAGCCCAGTAGTCAATGCCGTAGGTAGTTTCGACAATGCCAGTTGCCTTCATCCCTGGTGGGCGGGGATTGACCTCAATGACCCACACGCTGGGTGGTGCTGCGGCAGGCTTGGAAGTCTCCTGGAGCTCGTACATTCCGTGGTCGATCGACTTCCATTCAAGAGTGGAATCCTGCATACGGGCTTCGCAATGGAAAATCCCATTTCGGAAGCCAAGTCGTAGAAGCGTCTGGTGGAAGTGGCTTCGCAACGTGGTTTGCTCGTTCACGGGGAGTTGGGAAGGTGAGCAAGTGTCCATCTCATGGAAATCATCTTGAGTTCCGTTTTCTGCGCCCTTGGGATACTCGTCGCCGATTTCGGAGAATAGGATTTCGCCGTCGTACAGAACTATGTTAACGTCGATCTCAGGGCCATCGCAATAGTGCTCCATTACGAACTCAGCTCCATGGCGATCGGTGTTGATGCGACTGACTTGGCGAGCAAGATCTGCTGCATCATCGACTTTGAAGACATCCTCGGAGCCCCATCCATTGCAGGGCTTGACGATGATCGGGTAAGGCAGGGTTTGAGTTGCGGCGATATTGAGAGCCTCATCTGCGCTAGCAGCACGAAACGCTTCGTGGCCCTCGAAAGCACTCATCTTATACTTGTTGGTTGCAATCTCAAATGCAGACGCCGGTTCACAAGCCAAACCTAGCTCCTCTGCAGCTGCAGTGATAAACGTCTGGAAACAGTCGAAGATGGTCAAAAGAGCGTCGACCTTGAGCCCAGATTGTTTGACGGCAGCTACGATCCTAGCCGGAAACTCCGCATCGAAGCCGAATTTGATTGGAACGAAAGCCTTACGCCAGTGGGCATATTCGGATCCTTCCAGCCAGTGACCTTGGACAGCAAGGACTACAACATCAAGGCCAAGGGCTTTGGCAGCCCCGTAAATGTTCTCCGCCGTGCCTCCACGAGAGGGGTGGACAGTGCTACCCTCGAGGAAGGCGACAGTCTTGCGTCGAAGGCCTGGCATAACCCACTGGAACGAAAGTCGGTTGTGGAGCTCCAATTGGACGTTGCGCAGCATGAGATCCGCAATCTCGGCGCTCTCGTTGGATCGGAGAATAATACCACCAGCAGACTCTGTAAGAAGGGAGATCAGATCCGCAGAGGTATCCCACGGCTTTCCCGTATAGTGTTCGAGAGGCGTGGCCAAAGACCTCACTTCCTCGATACACTCCATGTCTACCATACGCAGCGGAATGATATCTGAGCGGACAATTTTGCCCTCAACTCGTGGTGCGATAAGCTTTACACTGCGAGGGACCCATTTCCCGTCCAAGATAGTGGAAGCAAGGCAGTCGAGGAGAAATTGGAACGAAGCAAATGAAGCGGAGCACTTGAAGTCTGACGGCAGCAGTTCCTTTGTCCATCCGTTTGAAGACTCGATAAAGATAGGCCCGCTCATAAGCGACTGCGCGGGACGGAGGGGGCCAGAAATGGCCTCAAGACGCAGGTCGACAGATTGGAACCATGGCTGGTGTGGAGTAGATGTATGATTGATGATATCCCACGTGCATTTCCAACTTGCTGTAGTATCTTGTGAGCACAAGTTATTTTTATGCGATAAAACAGGAAGCAACTTACCCTTTGACCCTTCAATCGACTTGACGGTGATCTTACAAGCCATAGATGCAAATTAGGAAAGGTTGTCTATTGCGACGCTGGAAATTTGGCGGTTTAGAAATCTTATGAAAATAAAGATCGATCAAGTTGGCAAAGAAAAGTAAAAGAGGCAAAAATGCAGCAGAAGCAGTACGCTTTGGTATGAGTTCTAGGAAATGTTTCTAGGTCTGAAAGCAGCGTTTGTACTTTTAGAGCTTCTTGTATAGTCTCCAAGGCCTACTTTCGTTGCTTCATGGCAACCTCAGATGCTAAGTCCAGCCTTGCGCCGAGTCAGCCATGGCGATAAGATGGGGCTGTTAGGGGCCGTTTGGGATTAGGCGCGCTCCCACCATAGTCAGAGTACGAGACCCACGTCTAGCTTACCGAGTGGCATTGTAAGCTAGAAAGAACGGGCACACCTTCTGACTAGGCTTGGCTTAGATGTGGGCGAGGTGGAATAGAGTCAGGATTGGGTTCCCTGTCTGAATTTTGCAGAGCGCCTGAGTAAGGTCTGTACCTGACTGTCTCGGAGGTCAGGTACCCGCTCCATCCATGTCGTCCGGACTCAGGCGGTTTTGCCACGTGCTCGCCAGCCACACTCGGACCTCCTCGAAGAACACTCAGCACGACACACCAGTCCGCCTAACAGCTATCCAAAGATGTTGATGTATTTCACTAGAAGAATGGCCTTCATCACAACCTCCAATTCCACTTCCAACCCCAAGATCAACTTTCAGCTTCGAGATCCACTCTTTAATTCGAGATCTACTTCCATCTTCTTCGCTCCATACCCCAACTGCCGTCAGAATTTGTCCAATCAGAGCAAGGCATCTCGTCCAATCAAAAGTTTCCTTCAAGTTCAGCAAAGAGTACTCAACTTTGCCTTGTTCAGTCCACGATTTTCATTTCAGAAAACCATACACGATGCCTCTTATAACACCCATTGTTGCCGCCGTTTCGGAGCCTACGGCTAAACCCGCTAGGTTCCTGTTAGTCGGAGTTGGCCCTCATGCCAAGCGCACCTTCATCAAGCATCTCAAGGTCCTTAAAGACGAAGGAAAAGCCGAACTGGTCGCGGCCGTTGATGTCATCCCAAACCAGGCTCGAACGGAAGAATACGCAGCAGTCCACTTCCCCGGGCCCGAACTGATCTTCGTTCCTATGTTCCGCGACCCGATGCCGCCGAGTGTTGTGGTTCAGCTCGACGAAGTCGTTGCTCGCCTTGGTATCGACTGCGTTATCATTAGCGCAGAGCCGGAATGCCACAAAGCATACGGTCTTTGGGCGATTCGTCATGGACTTCATGTCATTATGGACAAACCTATTACTGTTCGCAGAAACGCCGTTACGGATATCAGCCAGGCTGCCGGTATCTCGGAGGACTACCATGAGCTGTTGGAAGCATATAATGAGCTCCAGACTCGCAAGGAGACATTTTTCCTCATCAACAGCCACCGTCGGTATCACCCTGGCTTCTATTGTACGAGCGACATGATTGCCGAGATTCAAGCTAAGACTGGCTGTCCCGTCACTAACCTTGTCTCAACTCATTGCGATGGTTTATGGAGGCTCCCGGGTGAAATCGTCGACCAGCACTATCACCCCTTTAGGTATGGTTATGGCAAGGTCTCTCACAGCGGCTACCATTTCCTTGATACGACATACCTCTTCATGAAAGCTGGCTGGAGCGCGAGCAAACGGCCAGATGAAATTGAAGTTGTTTCGTCGTTCCTCATGCCGAACGGTTTCATGCGAAGCGTCACTACCAAGGATCACCAGGATATCTTTGGTGCGGAGGCTTACGACGCCACGACCGGGCATTCGGAAAAGCAAGTGGAAGAACTCATGGAGACCATGGGTGAGTACGATGCCATGCTCCAAATTGCCTTCAAACGGGAAGGTGAGGTCGTCTCGACAGCACATATCAACCTCCTACACACCGGCTTCTCGCGCCGCTCATGGCTAGAGAATGGAAAGAACCCAGATCTTTACAAAGGTGTTGGAAGGGTTAAGCATGAGTCCCACGAGGTTCGCAGCGGACCTTTCCAGACCATTGTGATTGACTCGCGTCAAGCCAACGACAAGCACGACCGTAGCAAGCCCAGCACGGCTGAGCTCGGCAGCGACAATCATTTCGAAGTCCAATCCTGGCGTAACTGCGATGTGCTTGGCGAGAGTGACCCCCTCAAGGTCTACACGGTAGCCGACCTTGACCGGCGATACGATACGCAATTACCAGGTATCTACTCTGAGAATGTTAAGCGAGGGATCCTCTGGGAGGCTGTAGACTACTTGAAGGGCAACAAGCTATTGAACAAGATGGCCTCAAATCTGGCGGATCACAGCGTCCCTGCTGCGCTAATGAGCGCTGCATACGCCTCCCATGTTCGACGCACATTAGGCCTTAACCCAATTACTCGCATTGACCTTTCCTACTCTTCTAGTAGGTGCAACCACTCCCCCCCACTTGTCCATAAATGCTGATATCTATCTTAGAGAGCGACAACGCCTTAGCGGAAGCTACCCTTCGTCCGGAAGACGTCATAGTCAAGCCGCGTTTCTATTCTACGGCCCAGGTACCTAGGAAGGTCACGAAGTCGCGCAATCTGGGTCGATCAATGAAGAGACAGCGTCTGCATTGATTTACTGTCTCTCAACGCAAGGATTTAAACAGCATATCGCCAACACTAGAATGATTTAGGTAGAATTTCATTTCTGGAGCGGAATCTACACGAGTTGCTAGAGCCCATTGCATTTATAAACATCGCTGGCGAACAAAAAATGGGGATAGATCTTAATTTGCATTGGAGTTGGGGTTTTGGGAAATGAAGCGATTTATTACTTATAGCTTACTACGAGGAGATTTCTAATAGATTCGCACTTTTTTTTTTTTTGAAAGACTTGCTTTGGCTTCCAAGTAATAAGTAACGGGATTTAACTAAGAGAGCGATGAGATCAATGTTGTATACTGGCACTCCCTGCTAAAGACGTGCAATGTGCTGCTGTATCCGCAAGAATTTATGGCACCACTACGAGTAATCTTTCCAGATGAATGATATTGATGAGATTGGTGAAGTTGATTTGTAGGAACTTCTTAGGCTTATCGACAAAAACCTGCTAAGGCACACACTCCTCACGAATTCACGACATTTTGAGGCTTTCTTCTTGATAAGGAAATCATGCACCACGGTTATTGTACAATGCAACTATTTACAGATGTGGATGTAGATGTGGACGTAGCTCAAGCCTTTCACCCTTGAAGCACAGCCCAGATGCCTAACCTTGACCCATAACTCCTGTATAACCTGCAATGCTAATCTATGCTTTTTTCTACTATGCACTTTTAATCTTACAATTAGAAACTACGAGCTATGTAGCAGGGTGCATATAGCATTCACAATCACTTCCGGCCTCCTATTCTCTCCGGCTACTCCTCCACCCATCTGACATGAGGTATTACTCAGAGAGTCGAGCAGAGCATACAAGTTTGGAAGCTGGAAGGAATACGGAAGTCAGCGGAAGGAGCTTTATTGGAATTGGGTTAGCCAGACTCACCTCTTCTTGAAATGTGCTCTTCAGCCTCAGCACATCTTCAGCGGGAAGTGGCTCGCTATTGTGCGCCCAAGATTTGCCTTCTCTCCGCAAATAGCGCTTGCATTCATCCTCTAGTACCGTTTCTGCTGAGCGAGTCACCTCGTCGCGCCACCCCTGGACCTCCCAATCACTCCAGCCAGTTGATCGCTCTCGAACCTGAGATAACATGTGTGGCAATTCCCGACGACGACTCAAACGCTGGGTATCGGCAAGTGAAGGCCGGTCATTCAAATCGGCAGTCCAGAATTGCGTACAAAGATCCTCTATTGAAGAGAAGCCTAGTGGTTTTATGGTGGATTGCGCAGAGGCCAAGCGGGTGCTCAATGTCCCTGTCGCAGACGGCGGCCTAGAAACTACGGATTTCTTTTTCGCGTCCGTATTCCGCGAGGTTCCAGTAACTGATGAAATCAACGACGATGAGCTCGAACTTTCGGTTCCATTTGGGTATAGATTCCATATTCGAGGGATTATATCTTCGCTCTCAGATCCAGACAGAGATGTCGAATTCGACTCTTCGACATCATAGTCTACATCAGAGCCCATATTGCTCGTTGGTCTTTTCCGCTTCGATAAAGTGTTGTTTGACGGATATAGAGGGGTCTTTGAACGGGCTCGCAGTTCCTCTCTACTACTGCTTGAAGCACCAGTATACTTTCTGTGAAGAGCCGCCGGTCGTCGGAGGGAATGTACACTTGTTGACTCTGTGCCCAACATCGAAATATCCTGCAGACAAAGAGTGCCAAGATCCATAGCAGCAACGGCAGGGGAGCTGTGATTCGACGGTGGGTTCTGAGTTCCATAAGGGAGCTGTGGTTCTGAAGGAGGTGAATGCGACGTGCGGACTCTAAGTCCGTCCCCGGAATGGAGATTAGATCCGTGTACAGTATGGATAGCAGAGCCTCCATACTTGTCCGAGTTTTCAAACCCACTAGATGGGAACAGTACCGCATCTGGGACATCGGGCCAACTTTGATGCGCGAAAGCTCCCTCCGAAGGGAGGCTTTGCATCATTTGCGAGTCGTCCATTAAGGAATCAAAGTGGGCATCGCCATTCCGACGCACACCATTTACGAGTTGGTCATGACCTGCGTTAACCATGCGTCGCATAGGAGCCACATTCCCAGCCTGCTGTTTGGCATGCAGTTGCATTGGGAGAGGCATCGTGAGGGGATCCCATAACGACGTGTCGAGATCAGCGTCGCGATATGGATGGGTTGGCGATTCAGTCCTTGGCTCGCCATTTACCGAAGCACTTGAAGATCTTGCGTGTTCGGCGGCGGCGCGCTCGAGTGCTTCGATCCTTTCCTTCATATTCCTGCCTGCTTTCGATTAGAAGGTAGTTCAGAGTTAACGTCGTTCTAGGGCGCTATCCTTACGATAGTTTCTCTGGGCCAAACGGTTCTGTATTCGCTTGCGCTCTTGGCGGTCTGATATATGAGACCAGTCGTCCTCATTCGTATCCCCATGCTCCCTGACTTGCTTTTTGGATGTGGACAATGACATGTTTAGCCTTACACCGATCGTTGAGGATCGGTAGCGCCGTTGCTTGTTATCTACAAGTGACTCTTTTATTAGGTAATGGAAGAGTGGAAGTATGCATGCTCGCGGCAGAGCAGACTTTCTACACTTCAAGGAATCCTTCAATGGCGTGCTGTGCTTCCCAAAAATTAGGATCGGGTGCCTTGACAGTAAGCTTTCGGCCATCCGCCGCATAGCTTGGCCGAAATCAGCCGCTGGTACCCCATGGAGTATCGACAGGGGCACCCTGCTGAATCAACACATGGCCCAACATCTAGCTGGATGAGAGGCAAACTCACACCGCTTCGCAGCGCATGGGTAACCAAACGCACACCTCGATCTAGCATGTGTAATTTTTCCTGCTCAGCCTCCTTATTATCGCACCCTATTCGGTCCTGCCAAGAGCGCACTCCCTGAGGCCACCCGCTAAGAAGCGACCAAGTGTGGTTAAGTGACTGCGCCATACTGCTTGTTTGTCGGCTCTGTTGGAGGAATCCTCGTATATTTAATCTCCGCCACAAACTACTCGGGGATCTAATCGGTGCTTATTAACGTCCCAGCCTCGTGCCCAAAACTCCGACCCTCTCAGGGCTTTATCGCATTTGATACGCCTGCACGTTAATTGTCATCCTGTCTGCAAGGTGCCCATTGCGTATTCTCGTTAGCGGGGCCTGCTAATAATTTTACAAGGGCTGTGGCCGGACCTGGCGTGAGGGATGAGGAGGATTTTGAACTCGGGATGAGCTTGTTTTGAATGGTTAATATCGAGAGAATTACCAAGTCCAGTCAGGCTTCGGAGTTGGCGTGAGTTGCTTTCTTACCTTTCTTCATTCGGGGAATAGCTTCTGCAAGCCGAACTAGCCTCATCTCAGCTTTAAATCAGAGCAGCTCCGCAACCAATACGTGTCTGGCGTGCTCTCACGTCCTCCATATCTCAGTTGTCAGATCCACCGTCAAATCGATTCTCATGAGCAGGAACAACACAGCTAAGCTAACCATTGATGGACCTATCTATGGTCAGACCAAAATATAACACCACAAAACCAACGACTTACTATTCCTAACCCCGGCCACTGGAACCTCGCAAAGTTTCCCAAGTCGGATTTCGGACTAGCTGTTGAAGAGTTGCCCTTGGAAGACCAAATCCTTCGCGTAAGCGACCGCTCTGCGCCCCTAGAGCCTCCATCCATTCCATTATGCAAGTGTAGAAGCATCTCAATCCAGATGGATTCCCCATCTAGAGTTCAGCCTCGCAAACTCCAAGCTCAGAAATCATTAGATCTTTCGATTCTTAGAAGACAGTCTCCGAAGTCGGAGTCCTTTGGCAGTCAGACCTTACTCAACCCTCACGTCACCCATTGGAGGATCTCCAAACTTGGAAAAAAAAAAATTGCACAAGGTCAACACCACGTGTTCCTACAGTTTCATTAAAATCTGACCAGATCGTGAGCATGCACAGATGTATTCCCAGGTTCTGAACTGGTTAGTGATTACTCCAAGTGAGAGCTCTATTCAACATGCTGGTAGTCAGCCTCACAAGAAATATTCTACGCACGAGGTTTTTTCTTACCCTTATTCTGCTCGTCATTTTACATTCACTCTATCTCACTGCAACACGGGTAACAAATTACTTGCACCTTCAGCGGCTCAAATGACCCCGCATCGATGCTCCCATCGCTAACCTTGGTCCTGACGGGGACTACACGGCTGTAAAAGAACGGTACATGCTCCACTTCAAAGATATCCTGAAAGAGGGGTATGACAAATACAAGCATCGAGAGTTTCTGGTGTGGGGAATCGATGGATTTATTACGATCCTATCACCGGATTATCTCGAGGAACTGAACGTGCTGGGTAAGGATGTTTTGAATTTCCACGCCGCGAGTCAGAGGGTATGTGAGTAAAAAGTTCCTGAATTTACTATATTCTTACTTCATAGTTGATTCATTGCGAGGACTGTGAGCTAACTTGAGCTTGTCGATTTGGTAGCGAATCATTGGTGACTATTAGTGGTTTGGTATTGCGGATGAGTTGGGAGCACACACGGTCTTGGTTGATGATACGAGGCAGATTGGTAAGTTCGCATATGAATATCTTCAAAATATCAAATTACAACTAACATGCCTGTCTCACTCTAGGTGCTATGCTTCCGGGCATCCACAATGACATCGACCATGCGCTAGCCACTGAGTTGCCTGCTTGTGAAGGTTTGCGACCAACTCCATCTCATTTTACAGACTATGCAGCTGACACCTATCCTCCAGAATGGACACGCTTACTTGTTTGGCCCAAAATGTTCCGTGTCATATGCCTTGTAATCTCGCGCATGATTGGCGGCTCGCTTGTCAGTCGAGATGAAGCTTGGATCCATGTGATGACTGGATTTGTCGAAGACCTCGTTGTTGGCTCGTGGGAGCTCAGGAGCTACTCCTTGCTGTTACGTCCAATCGTAGCCCGCAGGTTGGTTCCTGGAATCCATCGGGTGTGACGGCACCAGAAGGACGCAAGAAAGATAATCTTACCAATTATAAAGAAACGCCGACAAGCAGAGGCACAGGCTCGTGCTACAGGAGATAAGTATGAGAAGCCGAATGTCCTCATTTAGTGGTTGACAGAAAATGCTGCGAAGGCAACCCCGAGACCGGATAATAATGTGTCCGACTTGTGTTTGGTGATCACTTTTGGGGCGCTGCATACTGCAACAGCGACGTTGACGAACGTCATATTCGACCTTGCAGCGCGGTCAGAGCATGTGGAGCCGTTAAGAGAAGAGTACCTAGCTGCAAATGAGAAATATAAGCAAGGTTGGAATGAGAAGCAGGCGTTACTTGTGAGCAGCTTGAGCAAGCTAGATAGCTTCACGAGGGAATGACAGCGGTTGAATCCGATGACACTGAGGAAGCCTCATCCCTGAAGTACTGCAGAAGCCAATCTTTCCAGCATCTTATACTCCCGTCGTACTCAACCCTGTCACTCTCTCAACAGGCCTCCACTTCCCCAAAGACACGCACATCCTTATACCTGCAGCGATAATCTCGCTCAATGCGACAAACTATACGTCACCATACGAGTTTCGCGGGTTCCGCTTCCACGAGCAGCGAACCGGTGCTTCCGGAGATGCCATGCACAAAGGCCAATTTATCGGCACAGCCACGATAGATGCACTTTTTATATGGCCGGAACGCGTGTCCTGGACGCTTCTTCGCAGGTGCGGCTATCAAGTGCATTGTTGAACATCTCAGGGGAGAATTTGAGATGAAGATAGTTGAGCCTGAGAAAGGAAGCCCGGAGAATACTATAAAAGGGGCTATACGTCTGACGTGTGAAAGCTTAGAGGCCGTGTCTCTGAGGAGAAAGAAGTAGATGGGAAAGTGGGGGGGAAATAGCTACCATAGGCTGTAAAAAGGTTAAGGGTAGAAAAATCTTCATGGAAGCGAAAAGTTCAATGCTCAGTGGAGTAGAGGGAAGTCTTAGGTAGTGGATAACCGGCGGGCAGAATAAAATATTTTTTATTACCTTAGAGCATTGTCAATATAAATCAGCCGAAGTTGCAATCGAGCCTGAAGCTAGAACCGCTGACCATTACGAGCAGTGGTTGGCAGTTCAAATGTTGTACAAGTGTTGAGCCAGGTTCGTTAGTAATTTTCGGACCAGGTCTTGCCCTTGGACCCAAAATACCCTCTGAACCCAGCAACACTAATTTGCGCAACTGTTCCTATCCCAAATTCGAACCGGCATATTCGTATTTTCTTCTGAGAAGAGACTTCTGGCCTTGGCGGCCTCATTCAGGGCGCCTCATCCAGGGCGCCTCATCCAGGGCGGCCAAGCACTTAGCGCTCCCAGCAGCGTCCTTTTCGAGCTCTTGTTACGGGCGAGGAACGTTACGGATAAGCTTTTGGGGCCGTAGGTACGGGATCCCTTCATAGATGCCATTTGGGGCTCCTCATCCACCACCGTTTTAGCACCGCCGTTTTAGCCCTTGTTCTTTACGTGCAGTTAAGGTTCAGCCCCAGGCAGGGCGTAAGTGGGGCCGAGGAATAAAGCTAGGCCCTTATTGCTTGATGATCCCTTGTTCATCAGCTGAGAGCTTAGTTATCGTAGCAAGAATGGACCCATCAGAAATTAGGGCAAACTTTAGGTTGGGAAGGCTTGGGTGAATGGGTGAGAACTCTATTAGATTCGTGCTGGATAGCTGGGCTCTTATTTCTAATATTACCCGACGGAGCTGCCGAACCACGTGTCAATTTCTAGGGAAGAAACCAGGATTTGCAATACCAAAAATATTCTCTATATAAGCTTCTATACATTAGATCTGCAACTTCATTTATTGCACGATACTGTTCAAGGATCGTGGGGGGTTCTCGTGGTCGCTATTGAAGATTTGTTACCGCCTTCCTCCCTCATTCTAGAATAATATAATAGCTAAACACTACTCTTTTTTCATACGTCATACCTGCATCGAGGGCTTTACCATCAGGCATCTAGCTTCCTACATAAATACTCTCCGTCACGCAACCCGTAACCAAGCATGAGATGTTACAGAGAGAACTTTCCGGCGGACGAAGGGATCCTACAAGTAATTCTCTAAGCTGAAGCCGTTACCCAACAATATTCTGCCGTCGTTTAAACGGACTGAACGAGCCTAAGGCCGAGCTACACCGGGCTCAAGGAAAGAGTTAGGTCATCAAAATAGACACGTCGATATTCTCGAGTCCTGACGAAGACAAATCCACCCATAAGTGTATATTTTAATACCAAGAAAGTCCTTCCATCGAGTCTCTGCTGGAGCAGTCTGTTGGGGCAGTCTGCTTCGCTACCCCCTAAGGTGGTGCCGGTTTTGTGTTCTACCATGTGCCTCACTGATCCTCAGCTATTTGCCTATCCCTTGCCTGCTTTCGTGTTTGTGGACTTGTCGCAACTCCTGTCATACACTAAGTTCCAGTGAACTTTTCTTCCAAGAACTTAGAGTTGCTTTAGTGAAGGAGGAATGAACCTCTGAAGATGAAGGATTTTATAACCTTGTACCTCCGAACCTCAACTTGTGAGAAAGTTAGGAGAAGGTTGAACCGCACCGAGGATGATCTTGGATGATTTGGAATGCGATATTTTACGGGGTTAGTAGGTTTGTTTTCATATTCTAAGTCAAGGCTAGAGCGACCGCGATGCTTCCGAAGTTTCAAAGACTTTTTTACGTCTAGCTATGCACGCTCTTCTGAATTATTTTCTTTTGCTTTGCAGTCCCTGCGAAAGCCACGAACATAGCTTCTAGGTTATTTCTATTCGTATGGAGGGGAGAATTGAGATCGGGGGCTTTTATATTGTTTATCCGACATTGTGCACTCGCGAAAGACCCTCCACCTTCTCACATATCCCTTAAAAGAAATCCAATCCTTACACCATATAGCGGAAGAACCCTTTCAGGAATATTTCACACATCTTCTAGATCTCTTTGTATGTGGTCCATAGCTCTTATTAAATGGGTTTGTTGAGGGTAGAGCTACTTCTGAGGCCTAGCTCCATTGCCACATCCGTGACTAAGACTGCCTCCGGAAGTGAAAAGTATACATCCTCTCGACCTCCTGCATTAGAATATCCACAGGCATATCACTTCTCAGTTCTTGTTAATAGGAGCGAAACGGAGGCGGAGTGAAAGGGGGGATAATATGTGAACATTGGTTTCGAATGGAATAAGTCATTTAGGAAGTGAGGAGTAGGGAGAAGGGTGGTTTCGAGCGATGGTGGTGATGAGCGTAATCAAGAGACTATGCTGTCTAGCAAGATCTAGATCATATCCATCTTAGATAGTCGGAGAAAAGATAATAAAACACAACCCCCGGAACTGCACCACTTTCAGATATAGAATTACTATTACCTATATATGATTGAGTGATTTAACCCTCTATCTTCCAATAACTTGTGACAACAAAAGAAATTAGTTCCGATGACTCCAGTGAGGTCTTACTGATACAATGCCGTGCCTCCATACTTATACAGCATAAATTCCTCCATCCCAAGCACCGCGCAATGCAATGCAACGCAACACAAAACAAAACAACTCCTATCTCACCCACCGTCCCTCTCACACTCACAGCCTTACTCTTCCCTCGTCGGGTCGCCCCCCAAACAATCCCCTCCACCCGTCACCCCTATCCCCTCCTCCAGCACCACCGCTTCTCGCGCTAGATGGCTCATCCCCACCCATCCACTTCGGTCTCGAGAACTCGACCCCGTCAAACGTATTCCTGACACGATCTGCAAAATCCGAAAAGAACCCTCCTTCTTCTTCTTCCTCCTCCTCCGCCCTTCTCCTCTCCGGCCTCTGTCGCCTCGTCGCACTAGCCTCACCTTCCCTCGAAGAAGCCGGATGATCCGTATATCTTTCCCTCCCACCCTCCCGCTCATTCTGCCCACCGACCCCACCCCCCCGGCGCTGAGAAAGCCCCAGGGCGTTTCCGTTTGCCGTAGCATGAATTTCGCGGTCAATCAACGCCCTTCCCTCGCGCCAACTGCCTGTGCCTAAAATATCCCCATCGCCATTCTCTTCCTCATCCTCCAGCAAATCACCAAAGCCACAGATATTCCGTATTCTACCATATAAACCAAACGCGCTCGCAGCAACAGGCACAAGCACGAACGCAGGGAAGTACTTCGAAAAGCCCTGACTAATCTTCGTAAGATCAATCAATATTCCTAGGAATTTATGGAAACTAGTGACCTTGTAGATAGTGGGCGGGATGAAGGTGACGAAATTATATGCCAGCGGGACCGTGAGTTTTGCGACTTGAAGGCCGTACCATGTTGCAGATTCCTGGTATGTTCCGCGTTTGACGAGTGCGCGGTTGCCCCAGATCTTGACTTCAGTGAGTGAGAAGAAGGCGCAGATGCACATGTAACACAGCCAGGCGGCAGCGATGGCTTGGCCTGCGAAGCCGATTTGGCCCCGCGACGAGGACGGATGATGGATGACCGTCAGGCCGATTAGGGAGAGCTTGGGTTCGTCGAAGGATTTGACACATTCGGACCAGACGACAGCTGCTGATGCGAGGGCGCAGGTGAAGGAGAAGAGGTAGTAAAGGGCGGGGATGAGGTGGACGTGGACGTGATAGCGGGTGTAGGGTGTGAGGAGGGTGACACTGGATAGGAAGCCAGACCGCGGGGTTTCGAAGGGCGAGTTCTTAAATTCCAGTCTTTGAGATGCTTTCGAATCAAGTATTGCTTGAGTTCTGACGGCCTTTACGACGAGCCGATCCCATTCGTCTGAAAAGCGCATCTTCGCATGACGCGCCCGCTTCAGCTTCCTGGTCGTGTCGGCGAGATACCTCTCTGTGACCACGGGCGGCACCGTCGCCCTGCTCGTCCTCGGCGTTACGCTCGCCCTACTCTCCGGTAAACTACTCATCTCCACCAGCTCGTCAATCCACTCCTGAAACGCCCTCACGGTGCCGTTCTTTCTCTGCTTCAGCTGCTGGACCATGTCCTCGTACTGCTCGAGCTTATCCATGGCCTCAGTCAACTTGTCCTTGATCTTCGGCGCCTGGCTCTGCAACCTCTTTAGCCGACCACTGATGCTTGCGTAGCGATATAGACTCCGCGGAAATGCAACGAGCCCGTGTCCCATGAGATATATGGCCAAAACCAGGCCCCAGGCATATGCGAGGGCCATGACCAGGCCCTTCAGCGAGTCGAAGTTCCAGCCATTTGTGAGGAAGATGTACACTCCGCCGAGGACGCCACTCCCCAGCATCAGCATCTGATAGCGACCATTGCTCCTCAGTGAATACAGCAATCGATCCTTAGGCTCGCGATAGCCGGAATCGCAATACTCGCCTAAATATGGCAAGATGATCCAGGTCAGCGCAAAGGTAAGCCAGTACGTCACACGCCATGACTTGTACACGACTTTATCTGAGAGCCAGATGCCGCGGCTGACGGACGTGTCGGTGCCGGCGCTGGATGCGAGGTCGATGGGGACAAGTAGGACGATGGACGCGGGGAGCGCGATGGCGAGGAAGACGGGGACGAGGACGTAGGCGGGTGTGGTACGCAGCGGGAGGTAGTAGCGCAGGAGTACCAGGACGAGGAGGCTTATGGCGAGGAGGGAGAGGGTGAAGAAGGCGGTTGAGCTGGCGGGTGACGCCGTCTCCATCTCAAAGCCCAATCTTCAAATAATTCCCAAGTCGTGTGGTGATTCTTCGCGCATGTACTGTAATGTGGTGTGGTGACGTTGTCCCGTTGCATTCGTCATCCAACATGCGAGGGCGCAGTGTGGCGCCTAAGATCACGTGATGATTAGCCCACAACTTTGAGGCGCAGCTCGCTTATAAAGGGTGATACGAAAAACGGTTTTGCACCGATGCGAAAATAATCAAGAGAGGACCGTTTCAACCGCCTGGCCTAGAGGCATAGCTTGATGAAAACGAGAACCACGGTCGTAAGAAACGACTAAGATGGACATGATTACTCTCCCTAAGGGGTTTAGCAATTGGTGATGATGAATGAAACAACCTCAAAATAAACCATGTCAAACAGGTCACCCAAAAGTGTTACTGCGGCGTAGTGCAGGTGAATACAACTCCTTCCTTGAATCCGGTAGATCATAGTTTCATGAAAGGGGGTGTCCGTGACGATTAAATTGTAATGTCACTGATTTGTCTGCAAGGGGATGCATCCTGCGCAGCCACCGAAGCCCAGTTCGAGCATTTTCGGGCAATAAAACGGAGGCATTTGAAACAGCTACGGAGGAATCTTCTGCTCTTGAATATATGCCCCATGCGATTCATCTTTCTTGGTCACATCAGCATCAAGAAGAAAGTATGCACCTTGCTCAGACGACCATGTGAGCATCTTGGCGAGGACTTTTGAAATCCTTGGAAATGATCATGCCAATGAAGTTGGGTGGCGCAAAAGCCCGGGTTTGTCCTGTTATTGATGACTTCCGTAGCGTCGATCCTGAATGCCAGTTCATGGAACCAGAATACGTTTAGAGGAGAAGTTTTGCAACTATATAGGAGTAGGGTCTCCGTGGCCTGCGCATTACAGGGACACAGAGACTTGTTTGGGTTTCCTAATTGCAAGGCCGAGATGGTACATACGCGCGACGGGTGTATATACTATTCTGTCCGCAGAATCAACTGTTGGTTGATTATTCGCACCTTTTTGGTTGTACTGGCGCAGTGGTGCAGAGCTCCGTCCTTACACTAATCTCTTCCTACATACATTACAAAGTTATGTAACCAAGCTGTGCTCAACCTCAGATTCTACAGTGATATCTTCTCCGTGCTAGACTGAGGCTTTCTAGAGTCTTATACTTTTATAATAGTCTAGTTTCTTAACTTACTAACTTACATCCGCAATGTTGTTTTATGTATTATCATATTACTTTACTTTTTGCTAAATGCTTTAACTTTTAATCTTATATATTTACTTATTATTGTTGACAACTTCCAGGTAGAAAACTAACCTAGTGTTGTGGCATTTACAAAAACAGTTAATTTGTATGTAAAAACAATGCAAAGCGTAAACGTTAATGTGTTGCTACGAAAATCTACTAATTTCAGCACACAGCACATAGGTTCATTAACTGACCAATTTAGGCTATAGGCACGGTTACTTTTGTTTGCTTTAACAGCGAGATATATATTCTTATGTTTGTTAACTTGTACTTTGTTAACAAAAACATGTCTCCATTCTATAAATCCTATTAATCAAAAGAAAGCAGGTCACTAGTATTCTTCCCAGCATCTAACCTACCCGTAGGGATTTGATAGAGGAGCTCTTTTGCGTATGCGGCAGCCGCCATTGCTGCATATCCTTGCCACTCCTTATTCTTATGAGAATCCGAATAATCGCATATACCACGAATAACTAAGCATGGAAAGTGATTCATTAACCCTGCTGCTTCCATTTCAAAGCACAGCACTTCCATTTCCGCCGCAAGTTCATCCCGAAGCTGAGCGTCCTTAACTACCTGAAATCCTGAGGCAATTAGGCCGTAGTGAATCGCTGGATTATCCTCGTCTTTGGTCCGCTCAGGTCGAGATATTAAGTTTGATGGACTGCTACTACAAACTGTCGTACAGCTTGCTTCATTACCTAAGGGGTGGGTGGCTCTGGGCTGATATAGCCTGTCGGTGCTTGGATCTGGTCGTTGATACTTCTTCCGTAGTCTTGGTTTCTTCTCAAGAACACTATTAATAGCGTCTTCAAGTTGATGTCCCTCTACCTCATATTGAGCTTCTAGGTACGCTACAGCTGTCTGCAGGATTGCTGGTGGCTGGTTCAAGATTGCTGTTGCTTGGAAGCCCCGATCTTGTATCGTCTTGCCAAAGTCATAGTGGAACACACCACTCATCCCATTCCGGGGAGAACTGACCACAATATCTCCTAGACGGATATCATGTTTTGGACTTGGAACCCCGCCGCCAATACCGACCATTAGACCGATACAAATGTTCGGAAAGCTACGTAGCATATCTCTTGCCACACTTGCTGCAGATGATATCCGTACTCCCCATCAGGCATGACAGCGATAACAATGTAGTGTTTACCAACTCTGCCCAATGTGTACCCGTTATTATCATGCGGGGATAGATATTGTGGCCCTTCGTGCCTTTCGTCAAGAAAGGCTTGCGCTGCAACGTACTCCGTGCTTATAGCGCAAATCCAGCCAACTGTATAGACGTTGGGATTCCAGTGAATATGGTTGTAAAACCCTGCCATAACTATATAACATTACTAATTTTGTGGGAGGATGCTTTCTGTATAGTTACTTACTAGAAGAGATCCTCTTCTCGTCTTCGACCCTCCTTGGATGGATTCAATGAAGAAGATCCTTCGCGTATGCAGCGGCCGTCATTGCTGCTACCCTTGCCACTCCTTATTCTTGTGAGAATCCGAGTAGTCACATACGCCATGAATGATTAAGCATGGAAAGTGGTTCATAAGCCCTGCTGCATCCATTTCAAAGCACAGAACATCATTTTCTGCCGCAAGTATATCACGAACTTGAGCGTCCTTGATTACCTGATCTCCTGAAGCAATTAAGCCGTAGTGAATTGCTGGATTTTCCTCGTCTTCGGTCCGTTCAGGTCGTGATATTAAGTTTGATGGACTAGTACTACAGACTACCGTACAGCTTGCTTCATTGTCTGAGGGATGGGTAACTCCGGTTCGATGTAGTCTGTCGCTACTCGGGTCCGGTCGCCTATATTTCTCCCGTAGTCTTCGATTCTTCTCAAAAGTACTATTTATGGCTTCTTCGAGTCGATGTCCCTCTACCTCATATTGAGCTTTTAGAGACATTATAGCGGTCCGCAGGACTGTTGGTGGCTGGTTCAAAAACGTTGTTGCTCGGAACTTCTGATCCCGTATCGTCTTGCCAACGTCATAGCGGAACACACCACTCATCCCACCCCGGGGGGCACTGACAACAATATCTCCTAGACGGATATCATGCTTTGGACTTGGCACACCACCACCAATACCGACTACTAAACCGATCCTAATGTTTGGAAAGCTAGATAGCATATTTATTGCTATGCTTAACGCGGAGGACATACCATACTCCCCGTCACGTATAACAGCGATGACGATATTGTGTTTTCCAACTCTGCCTAATGTGTATACGTTATTGTCGTGCGGTGGCAAATGTTGTGGTTTTTCATGCACTTCCTCAAGAAAGGCTCGCGCGGCATTATACTCGGTTGTGATAGTGCAGATCCAGCTAATGGTGTAATTCATGGGGTCAGACATGCCGACCGGCAGAGTATCGCTAGTCTCGAGATGGTGGACGGGATGGAGATCGCTATGCTGAAGATATTGCTCATGCATGGATGAGCAGGCAGTGGAGGTGTTGGATTCTCCAGGAAAGAGGATGTGGACAGGGGTTCGCGCTATGGCGGGGGCGAAGCGTAACTCTCTTCAGCTGAGCAGCGGCAGCGGCATCTTTGTGCAGCAAGCTAATGCATGCAATGCAGGAAGGTTTTCCATTGACTGTAAATAACGACCTCAATGGTAGACAGGGTAGATGTTAATCTGGGGTTCCACTGCGTCGAAATCTAGGCCTGCCGTAAGGCAAGTTGTATTGTGTGTTGATATTTTATTTACCAAAGAATTCATTCAAATTCCTTATCATTTCGTAGCGCCTTTGGCGTAGCAATGACGACTATGGAATTTACTCGAGGTCCTTATTTATTTCCGGTGACGGCGTTAGCCCTTATTGAAGCTCTCAATGTATCATCCGGTTCACAAAGGTACGCGAATACCCCGATTCAGCAGTTGCACAGCCTTGTGGCTTGCGGGGGTGTACTTATCTAATCGCTAATCGAACTCCGCGCGCTAAAGCTCTCTAAAGATGAGGAATCGGACTGTGGTCTCGGGATTGCATCATGGACGGGACTTTGACGACTACTGCGGGGCGCGCAGCACATCACTAATCAACCATCCATCGCGATTCGATTCCAAACACCATTCAACCGGTCTCAGACAGATTCCAAATTCCTCAACCTCATCTCCAGGTATATAATTACTCTACCCCATCCCAACACACTCCTGTCCTTCACAACTGTTCCATTCCCATACTCACACACCCCAGACCCACTCAACCAACTCACCATCAACCTCGGCCTCGGCCCCCAACCACCACCCTGTCTTTCCTGCGCTCATTCTTCAAGCGCGCCCCCAGCCCCGCCACTATGTCCGCCACCAAGACCAAAGTCCAAGGCATCATCGACGAAAACCCCGTCGCCGTATTCAGCAAAAGCTTCTGCCCCTTCTGCAAGGCTACGAAACAACTTTTATCTGAGAACGGCGTGAAGTTTTACGCCATTGAACTGGATCAGGTCGGTATGTAACCCCCCCACCCCACCACACAGACACATGGGGGGTTCTTGTCTCCGTTGTGCCCAGAGGCCATACACTCTCTGGCTAGGGAGAGATAAGCCCTTTTCCAGCAGGATGTCACACCCACTGACTAATAATGCTAACAGATGATGGATCCGCCATCCAATCCACCCTCGCCGAGCTAACCGGCCAAACCACCGTCCCCAACATCTTCATCAACAAGCAGCACATAGGCGGAAACTCGGATCTCCAAGCCAGGAAAGGCGAGCTCCCGCAGCTCTTGGCGAATGCTGCTTCTTAAACCCACAGCACTCCTATCACCTGTTCGTCGCTACATGTTTCGGTCTGGCTAGGATGCGGAGAAATATGGAGAGATGGGGGGGGGTCTTTTGGTATGGAACATGTTCGTTGGGTAGGGTGCCCATGGGTAGAGTAGAGCTAGAAAAATTATACCGAAGAACACACATACACACATATACACAATCCGACGGCTCACTGACGTTTCTGGGACGGACCAGCTCTGCAGGAAAGAATGCTGTTCTTGATACTTGCCCTAAAACAATGTTTGCCATTAAAACCAAGCCGCAGTTTCATCTTAAATTTGGTCTTTCAAGACTGCTACCTCTCCGTGTCCATCTCATCACATATATGCGCCACAGCAACCCCACCAGAGTCGAAGCAAACAAGCCAAGGCAAGAGAGGACAGAACACGATAGGCCAAAACCTTCATGAAAGCTCAAGAACAAAAGACGTGCCAATTGCCTGCCTGCTGTCAGGCAGTCCTGCCTCACTCACCCATTTGCGTGCTAGGCTCAAACATCCTATTCCCATTCATTGCAACCTCAGAAATCTCCAGGCTGCAGCTGCACCACCATCTATCGAAGCTCAAAAAGGCCAGGTCATTAACTGTAGTTGAATGCTTTCGTAACCTCATTCCCAACCATGCCCCACCCCGCCGCCCCCACCCACCTTTCCACCTTCCCCAAACCAAAACCCTCACCTCATACCACCTTCCCACCCTACATTCTTCCCCCATCTAAGTCTGCATAGCATCCGCGAACCCCTGTGCCGCTGTCGTAGCAAAATACCTAACATCAACATCGTCATCCTGCTGTAGTTTCTCCAGATTCGGGAGGATGCTTTTGGTGATGAGGTCCTGGCCTTTTTGGCAACCTGTGCCGGGGTTGCCTGTTTTCTGGAGGGCGAGGACCGTGCCTTGCTCAGGGAGTTGCTTGAGTGTGTCAATGAGGATGGAGTATGATTTTGCCACGTTGAAGCGGATATTGGGGATATCGTCGTTGACGAGCTTGTCCATCATGGGTAGGATTGACGTCTCGATGACGTCGAGGCTGAGGGCTGGTGCGAGGGTCTGGGATTGATCAGTGGCTGTTAAACTAAGTATGTTTACAAGTGAACTTACGGAAACAGCAAAGCAGGTAGTCATCCGGTAGAGGTAGTTGGGGTGCTGGCCCATAGCCATGACTTTCGGAACGATGGCATCGTTAGCCCACTCAACCCCGAATACCTCTGTGAGTTTCTTGAGGTTTTGAGTGGAGGCCTCGCGGATAGAAAAGACGGTATCGCCGAGCCAGCTCATGCACAGACTACTCAGCTTCTCGTCGAAGAACTTCACCCCGAGTTGTGAGGCAAGGAGCGGAACGTATTCGATGATGGCCAGACGGACACGCCATTGCTTGTCCTCGGCGAGCTGGACGATCGCAGGGAGGAGGGACTGGGACAGAAGTTCAATGCCGATTACTACGTCCCATTAGCAAGTAGTCGATGTAATGGATGAAGGACTCCTACCATTGTTGACAAGCTCGAGCTTTGAAATTATGTTTAGTCGCACATCGGGGAATTCATCCTTGAGCATTTGAAGAAACATGGGAAGAAGATGTGAAATAGTTCTGGGCCGTATCAGCAAGGCACGTGGCCACGCGCAAGGGCGACATACTCGTCTTTTCCGAGAATCGGGGCCAGCCCGCTAATCTGGGTGCCAAGAGCAGCTCGAACGTGCTGGGATTGATCCGAAACAAGCTCCTCTATACTCGGCATGACTTCGTGGAGGAGAGTCTCTCGTTCGAGTAAGGCGCAGAAGCCTGAGAATTGCATTGTCAGCCACACGCCAAGACGTTGCAAAATATTGGAGGTTACCTGGGATCTGCCCCGCAATTGCACTCCGCACTTCCGCCTCAGTGTCTTTGAGGAGCTTCACAAAAGCAGGCACCAAGTCTCGGTTGACCACCTCCTCGTCGACAGCTTTCGCAATCTAGATCTTGTTAGCGGGGAGTGTGTTTCGCCGGAGACATGCGCCAACCTTTTCGTACCGATCCGCTACCATGTATCGGACTCTCCAGCTCTTGTCCTCGAACAAGCTTCGTAAAGCAGTCAGTAAGACTCCGTGGCTTGATTGCTGCTCTTTGGGCACCGCCTCTGCAATTGCAATGAGGATGTCCACCGTCAGAAGCCGAACGCTATCCTGGTCGTCCGCTGCGAGATGCTGGAAAAGCGGAATCATCTCCTCGATCACAATCGTAGCTGGCATCGTCTTGATGAACTTTGCCAGGTTGCTCGCCGCTTGTCTCCGGACCATGGGGGTATCATCGTGCACGAGCTGCCCGTACTGCTGCCTCAAGTGCTCTTGCGACGGCGGCGTAGCTCGAGTGTAGGGGACATTGTAGAGGCCGGTAGCGGAGATTTTGGACGTGAACCAGTCGGCTTTTGAGAGGCGTATGACGAGGGGGATGAAGTATTCCTCGATCTGCGATTGTGACAACTGCTCGCAAATTTTGTTTAGGGACTCGACCGCCTGCAACGGTTAGCACTGCGCTCTGGGGAGGCTTTGGTGTCGAGTCTGTACCTTCTCGCGCACGAGGGGCTCTTCTATCGCAGCGAGGTTCTCCAAAGGCGAGAGCAACACGTGCCCATATTCGGGGCCGCCAACGTAGTCGACGAAATTGCCCAATTCTTCGCTCAATGCGGTGAGGACCTCGTCTTCATCTTCCACCGACTCTGCGTACCAAGTTAGCTCGTGCCACCGTCGGCGTGATGTTCTGCCTGGGCCGTACCGTCAAGAAAGGGTATCAGCTCCTCCCGCGTCCTGTCGGCGCCCAGGGCAAGAGCTATGGTGGACAGGCGGTGGATCGCATTCAGGCGCAAAACCACATCGTCATGCTTCAGCTCATCAATCAGGACGGCGATTGGGTATAGCTCGTCGTTTTGATTTGCCTCCATGTTGGCCTACTGGGATGGTCACGAACGAGCGTCTGCGAGGCCGGGGGCAATCCTCGGGGCGAGAGCAAACGAGGGGGTTAGAGTAGCAATACAAGGAGGCGAAGGTGTGCACCGAACTCCTTATGTAGGCGTTAGCGGTGCGAGAGACAGGTTGCGTGAGCCCGACGCCGCGCCGTGATGTTGACGTACCTGGGGCTGCAAGGAAGGCAAGGCGGGAATTTCAGGGTCAGGGTCAGGGCGACGTCGTGGGTTGCGCAGGGTGGTAGCTGGAGAAATGCAGGTGAATTAGCCTCCGCCCCGGGATTCTGTGCGTGTTGGTGGGTGTAGGGTATCGGCGTCGAGGGGTGTTTTGTCTGCCGGATGCCATGCTGTGGTGGGCTGCACTCTGGGAATCGTTAATTTGCCAAGACCGTGGCTGGAGCTGCCCCGCCACACCTGGCCAAGACAACCACCATCCATGAGGGGCCACCCACTTTTCAACCTCAAACGCTCTATTCTTTCGGTCGCAAGTTTTCCATTGGTCCTGTAAGATAGTATTTGGACTCGGTGCCTTGACCGGGTAATATCATTTTCCATTCGCCTTGTTGTCCCCAGCTCAACCCTGACGTGCTTGAGGAGAAGTCACACGAGACCTGCACATCTGACAGTCAGATTGAAGCTCCTTCTGCGCTGGTCTCGCTTGATATCAGGGCGTATGTCTCGTATCTAGAAATATTGTCGAATTCCTCTTTGGGTCAGGCCCTTTTTAGGGCCCAGTGAACAGCTCGCAGAATGGAAGACTATCAAGAGCAAACGTCTCCAGATCACATGCAAGAAAGAGAAGGGGGCACCAGAAAAGCAGGCGACGATGAGACGGAGCCTCTCCTCCAACGTCGGACATCCACAACATCATCACATGGGACCCACCGACTACCGAAGCAGCTCTCCACACGCCATGCGTTCGCCGTTCTTGTCAGCATCCAGATTGGATCGGGCATCTTCGCCTCACCAGCTCAAGTAGACGGTAACGTTCCCTCGCCTGGCGCGGCTCTGCTTGTATGGGCCTTGGGAGGGCTACTATCCTGGGCAGGGGCTGCCTCCTTTGCAGAGCTTGGGGCTGCTCTTCCGCTCAATGGAGGCACACAAGAGTATCTTCGTCGCGTCTACGGAGACACCATGGCCTTCCTTATGGCTTGGGTCTACATCATGGCTGTGAAGCCATCATCGATGGCTATCCAAAGTATTGTTATTGCAGAGTCTATCGGGTCCGTCAGTTCCGCAACTGCTCTGACTGGGTGGAAGCTGAAGGCCATTGCTACCTCGGCTTTTGTGTCCATGGTTATAGTCAATTCAATTAACACGAAAACGACGATGAAGCTGAACGAGTCATTCACCATTGTGAAAATAACGACAGTGGTGTTGGTCGTAGTCACTGGGCTGACGGCAGTCATTGCTCACTTGATCAACCCAGCATCGCCGATTTCTGGCTCCAAAGATTGGTTCACCAAAGACTGGTTCAGCCCCCGCCATAGTATAGCTGAGGGAAGACCTATTGATTGGACTTCAATCGGCGCATGGGAGCGATACGGACACTACTCGACGGCCATATACGCAGGCTTGTGGGCTTACGATGGGTGGGACAATGTAAGTCCTCATACTGACAAATACACTGCTCTGTTTCGTTATTCAGTCAACTTCTTTCTCAGTGTAAGTACTAAATAGACCAGGCCAACTTCGTTGCAAGCGAGATCAACGACCCAGGACGCGCTTTACCCCGAGCTATCAAAGCTGCAATGGCTGTCGTTCTTAGTTGTTACGAACTAGTAAACATCGCATACTACATCCTGCTGCCGTGGGATACGATGAGCTCAAACGATGCAGTGGCTGTAGCAGCCGCTAAATCTCTGCTTGGCCGCCCTGCCGGCATCTTTATCACTATTCTCGTTGCAATTTCCTGCGCCGGGTCCATAACTAGCAACGTCTTCTCGGTAGGAAGACTTACTGTGGCTGCAGCACAACGCCACTATCTACCCAATTTCCTCAGTAGCCGAAGGTTTATACCACTTCACAGAAGGCAGATCTCAGAGCCGGAAAATGTATCTAATTATATTGCATCCGAAAACACGCTCGCTCCATCGACATCAGCCGTAGAGATAAACACTACTTCTAATTCTCCCTATGATGCCCCGATATAAGTAGCTCCTATCTCTTACCAGTTGCTTTCGCTAATAGCCACTTCAGACCCGCAAATATTCTTGCCCTCATGGTAACGCTCGCATACATCATCACCGGCAGCTTCCAGGGCCTTCTCATCTTTGTCGGCATGGCTGAGTGGGTTTTCTATGTCAGCGCTGTTATCGGCTTGCTCATACTCCGGCATACAGAACCCGAGCTTCACCGCCCTTATCGGCCTATGCTGGTACTACCCATAGTTTTCGTCATTATCGGTACGCTTGTTATTACACGTTCTGCGATGTTCGCACCGGTTCAGAGTGGCGTTCTTGCAGGACTTTTGGTCGTGGGAACTTTAATCAGTCATCTTCGTGGGTGAACAGAACGTTAAGTTAGGCGTCGTTATTCAACAATCTAGCATCGCACTCCCTTGCTGCCTTTAGCTTCAGCCTAGCTTGCAACGTCATTAATTCCAGGCGATTTAACCGGCATCCCTACGTTTTCTCACCAAACTATTTTCTCATTCTGTTACGATGGAAACCCATCTCCACCTCTCGGATAACTAATATGCCCCTTCTCTGCTCTCGTCTAGCGAATCAGGATGCCTGAATCAAACACCGCTCCCCCTTTGGAACATGCAGGAAGTATATGGTTGGTTCCATGTCCTTATCACTCATACCCTCGAGGTGCGAAACTTTGGCATTCGGAAAGGCGCGGAAAAACAGTGCTGTTGCATTACGGAGCTCCATTTGCGCGAGGTGCAGACCTATGCAAACTATCATTATGATTAGTCAAAGCTCAATCAAGGCTCGAAGCAGATCTTGGGAAGATGCAGGAGAAGACTCACTCCGAGCACCACAGCCAAATGGCATGAATGCTTCTTTCATTTCCTTCGTCTCATGCTCCCACCTCGAAGGGTTGAACCTATCCCTCCGTTAGCTTCATCAGCATGCCCAGGCATTCATCACAGCATCAAACTGACCTGTATGGCTCTGGGAAGATCGCTGGGTCTCGGTGGAAGCTGTATGCCTGCGTCGTCGCTGTCATTCCTTCAGGCATATAATACCCTTCTAAATCCACCCCACCTGGCGGCACCTCTCTCGGAAGTCCTGAAGGAGCTGCCGAATACAACCGTAGGGTTTCTTGAATTACCTGATCCAAGTATGGAAGACTTCTCAACTCCTGTTCTCCAAAGTCCTCGGGCAGTCCTGCGAGTTCCTCCACAAGTTTTTTTTGAATATCCTTTTGGCGGCATACAGACCAAATAAGGAACGTCAGAGTATTCGCCGTTGTGTCAGTACCTGCAATGAGATACGCTTGCGCCTCGGCCTTGATTTCCATAGGCGAGAGCCCTTCGTCGCCAGCGCGATAAAGTTTAGTGAAGAGCGTGGGTTTGACGTTATGGGGGTCTGCAGCCTCCATAGACCTATACCGTTGGATCGACTTCTCAGCATATAATCCAAGCCTTTGCCCCGCTCTGGCTGCTTCATTCAAAACTGGAAGGGGCAGGTAATAAGCGATTTTGACAAGCGTCGGGAGCATGGAGCGCCAGGCGCCTAGCATCGCGACTCGCTCCAGATCCAACGCATATTGGGTTTTCTGCATAATTTGTAAGTTTCCCTACCACTAACTCTAATCTCTAGCCTTGCCGTGATGATAGGGACGGAAAAACAAAATGGGAGTCGGAGGTTAGCTAGCTGCTTTAGATGTGCCTTACCTTTCCAATCTCGACCATCCGAAAACTATCACCGAAGCTCAGTTCCCCGATAATATCTGTCGCCATAAAATACCACCACTTCAACACATCCGCACACCCCCTCACCTTCATCTCCTCGCCGATCCTCTGCACCGTTAGTTCGCTTCTTTCTCGCACAACCGACGCTCCAACCGTCTTCAGAGAATTGTCGCTCAGGGGTGCGGACAGCAAGCGTCGGTGCCGGGCATGGAAGACAGGATCAAGCGTGCTGAAGACGTTGGGGAAGGGGCTCGAAACAAAGTTTTTATACCACGGAGATTTGAGAAACGGGTTTGTGAAGCTGTGGATTCGTTTTACGGCGGTGAGTGCGGTGAAGTCGACTTCGGTGGGGGAGAGGCGGACTACAGGGCCTACAGTAGATGTTAATACTGGGTAGAATGTAGAAGATACGAGAGGGTATGGTGGAACAGGAGAGGATGCGAACCATATTTCCTATGAAGGTCGTGGACGTAGAAGGCGCGGTGGCCACGGATCCAGTGGTATGAAAGAATGAGATCCGTGTATTTGGAATACCAAGGCCCTGGGATTGCAGAGAGAGGTGAGCGAGTTCGTTTGAATAGCGTCTATCGCCATCGTGTCAGTCTCCCAGCTTTCCTCTAGTAATGGAACGTACGAAAACCACATTTCCCCCAACTAAAGTCAAGATCGCCAGTACGGCAACATAAACCAGATCCGTACCCATGTTGCACTCGTTTACAAAGTCTCTTTCACTTTCACAATAAAATTATCAATGGATTCAATAAATCTGCCTTTCCATGTCCCAAGTCCCCTTCTTAAATACCCATCCCATTCTGTCTCCACACTCTGCCCCTCTGAGAAACCCTATGGCGTCCATCTCCTCTTGGACTAACTATCACGTCGTGCATGCACTACATGGCTCGCCTAAATCGGCAATGGCAAATGGCGAGTATCGGGTGCCCTCAGCGCGAACTTCCGATCTTACATGGTTCCAGTCTGTTGGTGCACTTCCCCGCAGTGTTGCTGAATTTCGCTGCAACTTGATTGCACAGTCTGGATTGAAATGAGTCAGTGTCGTGGCATGGAGGATTTAGTGGATCATGGGGCTTACATTAATATTTACACTCGGCCGAGGAGGTTTCCTGGGTCAGTTGTATTGGGATGGATGACATTGGGATTGTAGGGGAATATGGGGATTAGTGTGGAGAGGGCGGCGGAGATATGGAAAGGTGTCTTTGAAGCAGCTTTATAATTAAGATACTAGTCTGAAGTTTAGGTTTAGAATTTTCAAATGAAGTGTTGAAGTGCGGAATTAGGCCTCCTGGTCGACTCGACTCTGCGAACTGAGGCCTGTCTTGGGGGGTGAATGGCACTATCAAGCCTACCACACGTAGGCCTTGACCCCTATTCTAACGCTATGCTGTGGAACAAGGCGAGGATACACAATGCTGCAAAATTACGCACGGAGAAATTCGCGCATCATGTCGAACAATCAAATAATTTGTCCGAACTGCGATGTCGACGTCGGACTTTCTTCGTACAACGGCACTCGGATCGGGGAAAGACGCCACTCCATCCGTCCCTCCCGCTCGGCCCGCGCCGCACACTGCACCCCGACACCAGACGCATCAAGCTCGCACCCACCTCTAAGTATTTCATCCGTTTCAGCGTCGACCATCAAGTACTAGAATCTTAGAATCCCATTCATTCTCGTTTGCCAACAGTCAGGCCAGCCTCTCTCCCTCCAGTCAACTTGCCAAAGAACCACCCCATATGTAGCATAGCACATACAACCCTACCCTAAAATACCGCACGCAGAAGACCCTAATACGTACGACCTACCTCTCTACAACGCCTTCATTAGTATGGACAAGGTGTAGAATAATGAGCCTTAGTGTTGAAGATGGACGCAAAACCACTCCCCCCAACTCAACCGCCCCCATCAAATTTTGTTCAATATATCCCGTCTTGGTCCCCGAAGCACTCCTATCGATGCAGGCCATCTCCAAAGCGGTCGATCACCATTATGAACAATTTGGTCTGAGCAAAGGAGTGAGTGGATCATTTTGCGAGAAAGCTGCTTATCTATGTCGGCGTTTGCGAGCGTGTATGGTGGATGTTGCAAAGTAGAAAACAAGGTAAGCGCTGTAGAGACGGCCTTGAGTATATAGATAGATATGTTGTATCCCCAACAATTCGATTTATTTCGATTCGAAACGACGGGAATGAAGGCTCACAGTTGTCCGCAGAACGCACAGCCTTGCGAGCGAGCAGGCCATGTGACACGACAGACATCCCTTACTTTCCGTAACACGAAATAAATTAAAACGCGCACCTGCCTGAGAAGGACCAGGAGGATGAATGGCGTACAACATGCGGTTTAATGACAGATAACATCGGCTGTCGCAGCCTCATCGAAGACAGCCTTTACCTTTGCTATTGTTGAATCTATCCATATTTTAGGATAGTAACGTCTTTTCGTGTCGTTGGATTTGGCATTGAAATTGGTCGCAACGTTCCAACGCTACCGACTCGGACCTCAGCACCATGTCTTTAGTAAGACAGTTTTCGTCAGAATATTTAGCGGAGGACGACAGCACACCGCTCCTGGCAACATGTATATTCTTCGTGGGCCTGGAGACAATATTCATGGGCCTCCTTTACACTTCTCGGTACTTTGGCGATCGTAAGAAATCAAATTGGTGGATGATTATTCTCATGACGAATGGGTACCTCGTTTGTATGGGCAAACTCACGCTAGGGATATGTTCGTCTCTCTCTCTCTGTATCTATCTCTATAGCATGCTCGAATCTATCAGCTAATTCTGAATTCTCTATAGTAATGGTAGAAATTGGGGGAGCAGGTCGCCATCTCGCTACCCTCCCGTCTCATACCATCGAAAACACACTCCGCCTCCAAACTGCTCTTCAAATCATCTGCCCGCTCACAACTTCAATGACCAAACTCGCGGTTCTCTGTCTATTCCATCAAATACTCGGTCAAACAAGTAGAACGTACAGCCTCGTCATCAAGACAACCTTCATCCTCGTCCTAGCAATTCTGATCGCCCAGTGCCTAATCCCTTTCATAAACTGCCGCCCCTTCGCCTACACATGGGACATGACCCTCCATGGACACTGTTCCATCTCGGCCCTCGTTCTTTGGCGCTACCTCAGTATCCCCAACATCGTCACCACCTTCGTCTTGATCTCGATCCCATTGCCAGCACTGTACAAACTGAAAATCAGCCGCGCGATGAAGGTAGGGCTTAGCTTGGTCTTCATAGTCTGCGGTTTCGGCGTCGTTGCCGCGATAATGCGGTTTTATTCGTTCCTGGAAGTACAGGATTTCCATGATATTACGTTTGAGGTAGTGAAACCGCTTTGTTGGACGGCAGCGGAGAGTGGGATATATCTTGTGGCCGGCGTAATGCCGATGTTGAGGCCGTTGGCAAAGAGGGTGGTTGGGGGAGAGAAGTTTGAAAGGATATTGAGCCGGAGTTTTGGGAGGAAGGGTGCGGATGTGGGGTCTGAGAAGGAGAGCGAGATGGTGCAGGGGGGGAGTGTCGAGATGCCAGAGAGATTGGGTTAAAACCAGAGTTTGAGGCTAGCGAGGTGGATATGGAGGTTGGTGAGGGGAGACGACTAGGGAGTGGAGGTCAGTGATGGTGGTTGTTAAGACATGGGAAAAGCACGTTTGAGCGGGCGGCTTGCAGGCTGCCAGGGAATAGGGTTCACAGCGCCATGCTATCTCATACTCCTTCTTCGTCCATCTGGATCTCTTCGTTGTCCAAATAAAGCTAGCGCAACGACGAGTAACTGCACACGCGAGGCCATCGGCTTCACTAGGATGGTGAGTGAGGACTGGGGTGTATGGTGACCTTGATCATTCGCTCGCAGAATCAATGATACGGAAGAGGAGACGAGGTGCCAAGATGGGAGGAGTGAATCTTGTGAAAGAGCAGCCCTTCTCTAATGCACCTACGAACCACCAACCGCGGCTAATCCATTTACGGAAAGCCGAATGTAAATCAGTCCTTCCTTCACGTAACGCCGCTTCTTTCGACCCCCACTTCCACTTACCACTTAACCCTTGGGACCCTGCCTCTTATGCCTTTTCCTAAGCTCTAACTAACGAGGCTGCACAAGCCACCCGAAATTAAACCAATAGAGTCAGCCACCGCCTCCTAGAGCAATACCTCCCAGCGAAAGCGTCTCTTACTACCTGACGCTATGGCGAGAACGAAGAAGAGCAAACCAAGAAACGGTCGCCAGACGCGCGAGCTGGAAGAAGCTGTCGCGCGGCTCAAACAAGATATACGGGACGGCAAAGTCAATTTGAAGGTTGCGGAAGACGCCCCGTGGAATGTGTGGAAGATGTTAGTGGCGAAAGAGAAGAAGACGCAGATGGCAAAGGAGGCGAAGGCGAAGGCTAAGAAATATGCGGAGGGGGAGAAAGCGGATGAGGTGAGACAGCACTGAGAAAAGATACAATATGTATCTAATAGGGCAATTGGAACTAAGGAATTTATCTAGGGACTGAACGGCACTGAACTCGCTTTTCGTCCGAAACTGCACGATGGCCACAGGGACCGAACTGGTGGCGGTGCCGAGGGTGCTGAAACTAGAGATATGGACTGGCAGGGTAACTAGGAAGGAGTGAACTGAAGATGGGAATGAAATTGACGGACTACCAGACGAGATGGGCGTGAGATCGGAAGAGTCTTCCTCTGGCTACATGTCGAGGAACTAAGATCTTCTGCGGATATCTGGGAAGTGCTGCGATGTCTTACAATCGGGGGTTGAGGCAATTGCACCGCGATACGTGATTCCTTGGGTTCGGCCAGCCCTCGGATTTAGGTATTCCGCCCGGAGGATAGTAGACCCGTTCAATAGCATCCGAATAGGAGATTAGCGTATCTGGAATGTAAGCTTGGGGGCTGTGCATATACTCACTGGTGAAAGGTGTATTGGAGAGGTAGTGAGACATGCATATAGACCTACTAGGGAATGATATGACACTTGGAGTACGAGCGCAACTGAAACCTCAGATGATAGTGGGAATACAGTGTGTAAAGGTGAACGAAGGTTTACGAGGAAATATTGCTGCACACGCAGAAGGAGATTGAAAAAAAAAAAAAACATTGTCTCGTGTTTGAAAGCAATGTCCGAATAGCATTGCAACGAAGGAAACTGGGGGCCGATATGCTGGGAGGTTGAAAGGAGTAGTAAGAAGAGAGGGGATGGTAGAAGGTTATATTTGTGGGAACGTACGGCGTAACACCGCGTATGCAGAGAATAGGTAGGGCCAATCCGCGTCCCTTTCTTGCCTTTCCTAGGTCCAACAAGGGGTCCGTTTGGGGAGCATTGTGAATCCGGTGTTGGAGTAAAAGCAAGATCCTTCAGCCGTTCGTCCGCAAGCCCGTGAGAAGTTTCCGTGCCATCGGATCTTGGAAAGGATGGCTGGAAATATTACCCCCACGAGTTCAGGCAGTCCAGCTCGTTATCTTTATGGTTCTTAGTGCTATGCAATGCAAGATCTCATGTACAGTCTTCAGCTGCGTGACCTCCATGTCCAAATCTGGCCGGCTACATGCCCTCACGATCGCGACAGCTGTAATGCGGGTGTTGTCGATAAGGAAAAGAAGTACGATGGTGGTGGCTTAGTTACCAGAGATACAGCCGAAGTGGGCGACTTAACCTTCAAAATTCAGTTTGTAAAGTGACAGCATGATCCAAAGGTGAATTTTTAGAGGCCCCAGGTTTCTATTAATGGAGTTGAATTGCAGAGGGGCTCTGCTCCTTATTGTCGGCACTTTTCCCCGGCTCGGCGCCAACAGCACAGGGTTTCATGCACTTACTCATCGAGACAGGGTCTCTGGGCTTCTGGTTGGTGCTAGAGGCCATCGAAGCGCCTGCGTTCTCTCGATCCGAGATGCTCTCGTTACCAATTTGCAAATCACTCATCAATTCTAAACAAATCTGCCAACCATGAGTGTGATGACGAAAGCGGCGGCGCTTCTCGAAACACGAGGGGTTCCTCTTGTCATGTTAGTGAAAGGGGATCGAAAAAGACGAGGTCTATCAATGCCAAGTTGCGTTTAACTCAGGGTGTTGTTTCTGCAGGACGATGCATGAAACTGCAGCTGGGTGGCCGACGGTCAGTTTCTCTTATTCAATCTGCTCCAATGGCCCCAGAAACAAAGAAACAACCATATCTTAGTGTCGGAGTTGGTTGAGGTGTGGCATCACTTCAGCTCTGACCCCTCTTTGGGTATGGCCCTGAAGGCAGGTGTTGGAGAAACCCAGCCCCAGAAATCAATACTAGCCCGCAGCGAGTCCAACGTCAGCCGCTGCAGAGAGGCCGATGGATCTGGTTTCTACGTTGATTGTGAGCCTGCTCGGGTGGGTGTGGAGGAGTTTGGGGGCTCCGCTCGCGTGGGATCAGGGGGTTTCCAGGTCGAGCTCTCCGGGAATCAGCCTTACCCTGAGACGTGCGTCGGCCCAGAAGGCTGCACGAAAGGCACCGATGATGTCGTTTTGTGCATCGTGACAACGTAAGAATTATGTGTTTTGTGGATGGAGCGCTTGCGACTGGAGACCCAGAGGCCTTGGGGAACGTCTCCCCTCCCCTATACAACGCATAGCATCAGGCCCTCGAATGAGGCCCGCATACGTTGCGCGCGGGCGGGTTTTGAAACAAGCTGCAGAGTCCACTCATAAGTAGGTCCAGCCTCAGCGCTTGGGCGGGTGCCATCAACGAGCTGCTGCTTCTCAACTCCGGCGAAACGAGTCTGCGCCGCACACTGCCAGCATCCTGTTGAGAGCATTCTTCCAGTCTGTCCTCTCCCTCGCACACCCACACCCTCTCGCACCACCAGAAAGCCATTATCTCGCCGTTCGGCCGCCACTCCGGGGGAGCCGCTGGTGCAGGCAAAAGCAAATGGTCACTGTTGACTGCTGCTGCGTCTCATTATCCGCCTATTCCCTTCTCGGCAAGCCTCGCACGCGCTCTCCTCCACACCTTCGTGAGCCCCTCAGACCTCATCCGTCTGAAACTCTTCTCGAGTCATAGCCTGGAGTCCCCCGTGACTGCTGTGTTACTGTTGCTCTCTTCGAGGCAGGACCACGCTGTTCGTACGCTCTCACCCGCAATTCTCCACCGTCTGCAGGCCCGCACGTCGCAGTCACTCACCTCAACCCGCGCCAGCCCAACGTCACCTCGATCGTCTGAGCAGGCCCGCGGCACACACTCCTGCCTTCCTTCCTGCCCGCCTCCCGCCGACCACCCTCGCCCGCACCAAACGCAGCCTGCTCCTTCTTTGCCAGAGAGTCGGTCAGCGTCCTCGGCTGACGGCAGCTATCCGCCCGGCTGGGACCAAGCAGCGTGCATCTTGCGGCGTACAATCTCAAACCCTCCAGCGACATCCCCTCATCTTTCCTGGAACCCGTCCAAGAGCTTATTACAAGTTGCGGCTAGCGACCCTTTGTCCTGTCGCCCTGTCACAAGACTCTGTCGCATCCTCCTCGTCCTTAACCCCCAGGTTCGCTGGTGGTCAGACCTACGCTTGTCTGTTGACTTCAGGCTGGCTCTAGTTGAGATATAGATGCAGCCTTTCTTGAACGGATCCGCATCTACACCACCGCCTACTATGTCGTCTCCAGCTCCCCTCCTCCGACCCCCGATTCCAGGCGGACGCTCCCAGAGCGGCAGTCGCACTCCCCGTCTCGGACTCTCCATCCCCCCATCACCACATGCTAGGCAAGTGGTCAATGGAGCTGGTGAGGGGCTGTCTCTCGGCCGTCCTACACCACCCCAGCTTCGTCTAGCAACGCCAATGGGGAGCAGCCATACACCCCACGAGGGCCGTCCCCACCCTAAGGGTCTACCGCCGCTACAGATCGGATCTGGACTATCAGCAGGAGGCTCAAGCGATGCAAGCGCACATTCGAGATCAGGCAGTTTCAGTGAGGCTCAAGCAAACGGATCGACATCAGCCGCATCGTCTTACTCTGCTGCCCTTGGCTTTCCCGGTCTCCAGCGTCCCCACCAAGGCTCAGACCCAATATCAGCAATATCACAGGGTGGGAGTGAGAGCGCGCCGTCGATGGAGAGAGAGAACAGCTCCCAGCCGCTGCCAGACCTAGAAAAGATGGCAGCTGATAAGGGCGCGCCGTTAGATGTGGAAGATCTAGATGATGCAGGCTGGAGAGCTGCGAGCTCTAGGGGCATGATTGAAGAACGTGGTGGTCTGGGCGAAGGCGCCGGCGGTGCAGTGACAAAATGCCTCCTGAAAGGCGGGAAGACGATATTCGCATTGAAGGTATAACAGCTTCCCCTTCCACTCACTCATCAGTTCGCGCTAACCGCTTTGAACAGATCATAACTACGAATCCTGACCCAGACGTCAAGAAACAAATCGTGCGTGAGCTATCCTTTAACAAGAATTGTGCTAGTGACCACATTTGTCGTTATTATGGTGCTTTCATGGATGACAGCACAGGAACTATTAGCATTGCTATGGAGTTTTGTGAGGGCGGATCCCTGGACTCGGTTTATCGGGAAGTCAAGAAGCTTGGTGGCCGGACGGGAGAAAAGGTGCTCGGCAAAGTTGCGGAAGGCGTTCTGAATGGCCTGACCTATCTCCACTCTCACCGCATCATTCACCGAGACATCAAGCCCAGCAATATTCTTCTGTGCCGAAATGGGCAGGTTAAGCTATGCGATTTCGGTGTATCTGGAGAGTTTGGTACGAAAGGAGATGCCAACACCTTCATTGGGACATCCTACTATATGGCGCCAGAGCGCATCACTGGACAAAGCTACACAATCACCAGCGACGTGTGGAGTCTAGGCGTGACGCTGCTTGAAGTGGCACAGCACCGATTTCCTTTCCCGGCTGATGGCACAGAGATGAACCCTCGAGCTGGACTGATCGATCTGCTTACCTACATCGTACGACAGCCGATTCCGAAACTAAAGGATGAGCCAGAGCATGGTATTAGGTGGTCTGAGAACTTCAAGTATTTTATTGAGTGCTGGTAAGTAACATTCAATCATGTAGGCTATGGCACCCGCTAATTCGAGCAGTCTTGAGAAAGAACCGCCACGACGGGCTACGCCATGGCGCATGCTGGAACACCCTTGGATGGTCGAAATGAAAGCCAAGAAGGTCAATATGGAACACTTCTTAAAGCAGGTCTGGGACTGGAAGGATTAACAACATACCCACATTTTCAAATTCCGATTCGACGACCGTTTCTTCTCCGACACAATGTTCTTATACACATCTTCCGGGAATCACACCTAGGGTCATGTGCTAGGCATAGACTAAGGGAAGACGGCAATCTCTTGCACTTCTTTTTTCTGGGCTCTGGAGAGGAAAGCATTGATATCAACATGCATTGAGTGAACGTCTCAATAGGGCTCTGGTACGGGCTATTGAACTGCTTCGGTGGGCTTTGCTTATTTTGGAGGGGACGTAGGGGTAAAGGGGAGGGGAGGGGGGGGAACGTGACTTGTGTACATTGAAGTGCACTATGAAATGGCATTGGAAGGCGTTCCATATTTGGTTGTTAAAGGTGTTGCATATCCGCAACATAATTGTCGAGTGTGCTAGGCCGCCTAGAGCGGGAATAAATTTGATACCATCTGGCATTGGAATCGTGGTTCCTCGGGTGCTTCTGTAGAGTAATCAAAGACAGTTCATCACATTCCACGCACAGTGAATAACCGTTCAGGCTAGCGCATTTTTGCGGCCCGACGGTTTCTCCGGTGTCTCGAAGTTTGGAGTCATCTCGAATAATTTAACCACCGAGCGGCCCCGAATACCCCCTCCCACGTACACTCTCTCGAGGCAGGTGAAGCTCCTGTGACATTCACAGGCTGCAGAAACACTCCTCTCGATCGCCTACCTAAGAATACCTCGCCGCCTCCGCCAACATCACCTCCGAACTACCCCACCACGTCGCATCAAACCCCCCAATTTCGAACCTGCTAAACCTACTCGGTCAATATGCCGACCATATCGGTAGACAAAGCTGCTCTCTTTGCTGCTCTCGAAAAGGAATATACAACTGAGGAATTCGACGAGCTATGTTTCGAATTCGGAATCGAGTTGGACGAGGATACCAGCCAGAGTAAGAAGCCTGAAGACTTAGCTCAACCCCCCCAGCTCAAGATTGAGATACCGGCGAACCGATACGATATGCTTTGTTTTGAAGGAATTGCGCTAAACCTAAGGGTCTTCCTGGAGAAACAGAAGCTGCCGAAGTGGACGCTTACTCCGCCTGCATCTGGCGAGTTGGAGACACTTACGATAAAGGAGGAGGTATGGATATTATACTATGGGGAATAATCTTGGCACGAAGCCTGGACTGACTAGTTTTAGACTATGAGGATTAGACCGCTCTGCTCTGGGGTTGTGCTACGGAATATCAAGTTCGACAAGGCCAGATACGAATCCTTCATAGCATTGCAAGACAAACTGCACCAGAATCTTGCGCGCCAGCGAACGCTAGTGTCAATTGGAACACATGATCTTGATAGTACGTCGCACGATGGCATTTCGAGGCAAGAAGGCTAATACAAGCCAGTGATCAAGGGGCCTTTCACATATGAGGCTCTGCCCCCGGAAGAAATTGAGTTTGTCCCACTGAACCAGACACAAATGATGAACGGAAAGGAAATCATGGAATTCTATGATGTAGCTCTCCCTACCAAATAGTTCTACCCTCTTCGCTAAATATACTTAGAAAGACAAGCACCTCGGCCGATATCTACACATCATTCGAGACTCCCCTGTCTATCCCGTGATCTTCGACTCACATCGAAATGTTCTCTCCCTGCCCCCAATTATCAATGGAAATCTCAGCAAGATCACCCTAGACACAAAAAACGTCTTCATTGAAATCACGGCACTTGACAAGACGAAAGTCGAAATCGTGAACCACATGCTCGTTGCGATGTTCGGAGGATACGCCGAGTCAATAGAGCCAATCAACATCATCTCACCGCACAACAAGGAATCAAGAGAGGCGCCAGATCTAGCCCCGCGAGAAATGCAAGCTGAGGTGGATTATCTAAATAACGTAACGGGCTTAAATATCTCTCCGTCTGATATCTCGAACCTTCTCGAGCGCATGGGCTACATTGTCACACCCTCAGGAACTGACAGTAAACTACTCGACGTTTCAGTCCCAATCACGCGAGCAGATGTGCTCCACCAATGCGATATCATGGAAGATTTGGCAATCGCATGGGGCTTTAACAAGCTTCCGCGAGTGTATCCGAATAAATCTGCTGCAGTTGCAGCACCACTGCCCATCAACAAGCTCGGGGATATCGTTCGCTTCGAAGCCGCAGCCTCAGGATGGAGCGAAGTCATGCCTCTAATTCTCTGCTCACACGATGAGAACTTCGGGTGGCTCAACCGAAAAGACAATGGTGGAACAGCAATCAAACTCGCGAACCCGAAGACAGCGGAGTACCAGATAGTCCGGACATCATTACTACCGGGTTTGCTTAAGACCATTAGCTCGAATAGACATCATGCTGTCCCAATCAAGGTCTTCGAAGTCAGTGATATCGGGTTCATTGATCTCTCGAAGGAAAGGAAAACCCGCAATGAACGTCACTTCGCTGCAGCGATTATGGGCAAGACGAGCGGATTTGAACAAGTACATGGCTTGCTGGACAGGATGATGTTAATGCTGAAGTCGAGTTTCCTTACGCCAGAAGAAGGACTGAAGAACGACAAATTGGAGGGCTATTGGATTGAGGAAGTTAACGGTGAGAAATTTGTGTCTTTGGAGTGAATCCAGCTAATACATCTGTATGCAGATCCGACTTTCTTGAAGGGACATTCGGCAGCAATCAAGATCAATATTGCGGGTGTACATCATACGATTGGCGTCTTTGGTATTCTACATCCGTCGGTGTTGCATAAATTCGAGCTACCGTAAGTAGATCCCAAGCAGGAGTTAGTGAGATAATCACGTGCTAAGTCGATCAGATACCCTGTCAGTACCCTTGAGATTAACCTTGAAGTCTTCTTGTAGCCGTTTCCGGCCAACATGTGCGGTAAAAATCGGAATTTCTTGCGATAGACGTCTAGGCTCATTGTATGAATGAAAGTGATCAACAAAAAGAATGTCGCGCTTATTGCCTGCGGGATTATTGGACGACGGGCATAGGTGAATTCTTTGAGAGGTGCAGGTGACGCTGAAATAGATGTCGCATCTTTCTCGCTGACTGCTGCTATGGAGCACTCTTTGCATCATCGAATTCAATTGAGACCACCCACGGCACTTCCAAACCATCAATTCCAGGACATTTAGGCCACCAACCTACGTTCCTCCAAGACAGCGACATCCAGTATCCTGTCAGGTTCGCGAGGCTTTAAGTAGAAGCAATCTTGCGCCCATAGAAGAACAGTCTCCCAACGGCGACAAAACCCTACTGATTGGTGTAGCAGAGCTCGAATCTTCCTCGCAAAGTGATAGGTGTCAAACGCCCCTTGATGTGTTTGTCACCCTGTGAATGTTCGCAGCCTTGCATGCATGCCAGCACGGTGAAAGCAGCGCCTAGCCGAAACCCAAGTATATCAATGAGAATAGTTGTTTGACTTTCTTCACAGAAATGTTTGCGTCAGATCACTTTCATCTTCCAGTTATATATTTTCGCCATAGACGTTCCAAAACTCATTACAGGCCCAATCTTTCTATTTGATGCAAACTACCAAGTATGGTTGAACGCGCGGCTCTTCTGGAAAAGATCGGGAACAGTGAACCATCCAACATACAAGAAGCTCGTGCACTCTTGAGGAAGATTAGAGAGGACAAAGGTTATATGGATCCCGACTGAAAGCATGACCTTCAGATGCTTTCGAAACCGAACCAAGAGAAGGTACGCCTGGCGTATACCAAACAGCGAATGCTTGAGGCTAGGTACACAAGGGAGTATGGAGTTTTCATTATTTTCTTAGCACCATCCGTCTGACCTACAATAGCATAGCATTCAAGCTTTACTCAACACCATACCGATTCTTGCATGAAATGATCCAGAATGCCGACGACCTCTCGTACGTCAGCGCCAAAGCCCGCGGTCAGACGCCCAAACTGATGTTTACTCTCACTCCATCCTCTCTAATGATCGAAAGCAATGAGGATGGCTTCAAGAGGGCCAACGTCGAGGCCATCTGCGCCACGGGAGAAAGCTCCAAGGCAGCTACAGGCGACGATACTATCGGCGAGAAAGGCTTCGGCTTCAAACCCGTCTTTGCCGTTTCCCACGACGTTCATGTTCAATCCCTTTTATGGTCGTTTCGTTTCAAACACCACAAGGGAAGACGGCATGGGTATGGTAACTCCATTTGACGCCCAACTGGTAACTATCAAAGAGGATATGACAACCAAATTTATGTTAAGTCTCTCAGACCAGGAAGCAGAATACATCAAACTCGAGCAAGAAATCAGAAGTCTTCCAGATACGGTAATCTTCTTCCTAAAACGACTCGAGTGCATCGAGTTCCGCCTTCATGACCAGAATTCTCATTCTCGAATCATCACCATAACGAAGTCTCAGGTACATCCTAAAATGAAGGCTATTTCTAGAACCGAAAAGCAAGAATTTGAAGATGGAAACACATCCTTTAAGGAGAAGAAGAGTCACTACTACCACTTCACCCACACTATTCAAGATATGCCCAAAGATAACCAGCGAGTAAACCAAAGCTCAGCCAAAGTTGAGCTTGCATTTCCAATTAGCCTGCACAATGGACCCCAAGTTTCAGAAGAGTGCCAACATATTTATGCGTACCTCCCAATCTCTCCTAGAATTCCTCAATTACAGGTGAGTGCAATGTCTGCATACTCGTATGTTTCACGACGAAACTTAAAATGAAGCGTACTACTCGTTTCATTTCTTAGCATATGGTTAGCGATTATATTCCAAAACTAATAACTCGTATAGTTCTTGATACAATCCAACTTTAACACATCTGCAAGCCGAGAGAGTATTGATTGCAGCCCCTGGAATCAAAGACTTCGGCGTGGGGTTGAGGATGCCTTTTCAAACGCTGTTAGCGAGTTCGCCGCCGACCACGCGTTAAGGCATTCCTGGATGGAATACATTCCAGGTAAAGGCATGCAGCATCTCTGGGAAGGGCTGTACGAATGGGTCATCGCCACGTTGGGAGAACGGCTTATTCTACAGACTCGTCAAGGGAGACGGTTCAAAACACCGCGAGAGCTGCGGATACTATCAGACCGCGACTTTCATAAAGATGAGCCAATCTCCCCAGATCTCCCAGAAGAGCAATATCTGGCTCCGGAGTACGATTCCTTCAAACCCGTTCTATCTGACCTTGGGGTCCTACCACTCACTAGTAGCGAGACTCTGGGTAGACTTGAAGCAGATCTGCTCAACCTGAATTCAAGAACGAAGTATCGCCAAGCAGACGACCCATGGCGTGAGTCCTGTGCTAAACTTCTTCTAAATATTATAGGACTCTCCAATTCAGAAAAGCAACGAGTCATGAACATGGAGATTATTCCACTCAACGATGGCAAGTCATGGACGAAGGCAAACACCATAATTTCTAACGACACTGCGATATACTTTCCCTACACCAAGGATGTGGCAATTCCAAGTGGGCTCTCCCTAAGGTTGGCTGAACGAAACGCCGCTGAGAATCCTAAACGTGCCGAGCTTTTCAGATGCTTGGGCGTGAAAGATTGTCCTCCGGATGTGGTACTACAAGAAATATCAGACCTACATCGAAACAGCAAACAGGTTTTGCTTGAAGATATACCTTCTCATTACAGGTATCTCTTTCGCAAGCATCCCTCTCCACATGACTTGAAATTCCATCTCCGGGTTCCCGTCACCCCGGCCGTCCATTGCAGTCCCCAAACCCCGCTATATTTCAAATCCTCGTCAGAGTATCACTCCCAAAAACTCCTCCCTGAGAGTTACATCACCAAATTTAACGAGGATGCGGCTTTCTTGGATGAAAGCATTGCGTCAGACTTGACTATGGAAAACTTCCTATCCCCCACCGGGCTGACGTGGAAAGGATGGATAGCACAAATCACTGGCGCAAGATACTTTCCTCCGCTGTTGCAGCGTCCAGATAAGGGCAAGTTGTCATCCACGCTTTTGGCAGTCCTCAAACATTCCCCACACAAGTTCATCGGACTTCTTCAAGCCCACTGGTATTCAGAATACAGGTCTTCATTTGCCACCCCTAAGGCAGGCTCTATGCTTGTAGCCCTCAAGGTTCCTTGCGAAACTGGTGCTATGCTACCACTGAATGCCACTTGTTTGCCAACTCCTAAGCTCCGAGCACAAGCGAAACTTTTGGGTATCGAAGACAGCCTTCACTTTCTCCGAATGCCAGAAGATCTGGAAGACTCGAATTATGAGAACTGGAGCTTTCTACAGAAATTAGGAGTTTGCTGCACACCAGGCCTAAGATTCTACAAAGCAGCTCTGGCAAGAATGGTCGATAGAGTTGATTTGGATCTGAACACCGTCGCTCAAGTCTATTTAGGAATGGTAGACACGGCTCAACAAAAAGACGAGCCGGAGTTAAGGTATTCTAACTTAATCACTTGTATCACATCGCTAATAGTTGAAAAGGAAATTCTTCAAGGAAAACCGCGCAATTTATTGTCCTACTAATGTTCCCGAACAATCCTGCTGGAAGAGCCCAAATGAGTGCATTTGGAGAGGTCCCGGCTTCCTTAGTGCCCAGAAGCCTCTGCAGCAGCTCTACGCGAAGTCTCCGGAATCGACGAGATTCTTTTCAGGGATCCTCAAGATTCCCGACGCCACGGTTGCCTACGTCCTTCAAAAGCTGAAGTTTCAAAGTCAATCAGGAGACACGCCGTTTAAAGTTGAGCAGGCCGCTGAAATCTACTGCTTTCTTGAAGTTCAGGGGAATGTTGAGGTGGCGTGGGATTTGATCAGGTTTGTTAATCCACTGTTGCTAGACCTTTGAGCTGATCATTATAGGCGAGATTTTTTAGACAAGAAGCTCATCTTCGCAAATGGCAATTGGCACACACTGTCGGCTTGTCTTTGGGAGTCCAAGTTCCACCTATCTGGGTATCATCTTTTACACCATATCTACCCTGAACTAGAGAGATTCTTCGTTAAACATCTCAAAGTGAAAATAGGAAGTCCACTGTTACTCATCGAAAATTTTCAAAGAATAGCAGAGAAAGGTCACCCGAATAAGAATGAGATCGGGCGTACTCTAAAGCAAATTGGAAGAATATTTCTGGAACCCGACCTTGACGAGACGTCTCTGAGGGCGTTAGATAAGCTCAAACGCGTGCCTTTTCTACCCCTAGCTGATGTTGACGGAAAGTCGAAGCTGGTCGGAATCAATGACGAATTCGCTATTCCTGACCACCCGCGATATGCAAAAGCATTTGAGGGGCATCTTGTTCTGTTGGACTTTGAAGTCGCGGACGTTCCGGCCTTGGATTCCCTCTTCAAACACTTTGGACTGACAGGGCGATATCTATCAACCATGGTAAACGAGACCTCCACCGTAAGCCAAGATTTCACGGAAGATGAATTACGTGGAGACCACTTGAGGAGGAGGGCCTATGCTCTTTACTGGTAGGTGACTACTTTGCTTTGTGGATACCCTCCTTCGCACAATATTCTGGGCACAGTAAAATGAGCTGACGCGTTCTAGCTGCGCTGCAAAGTTCAAGAGCAAGATGACACTACGTGACGACACTCAATTGTTTGATCAGTTATCTCACCTTCGAGTCTTCACCACGGATACGTTTTCCACACAACTCACCCTTCAATTTCAAGGCAAACCCATTGAAATACCGAGCGATAAGATCATTCGCGTTCACCATGAGATCCAGGAAGATGGCCAATTGAATCTCTACGTCCCAAGGACGCAACAGGAGTGGAGGAAGTGTTACGAGAACCAATTACCAGATCTCATTGGCAATATTATAGACGCTCCTGATGCAGCCCATCGAATCGCGATGATACTTAACAGCAAATCTCAGGAGCTCGACGACTTGCTCACTGAATGCGACATTCCGCAGGTATCCTGGATACCGAAGCCCACTTTCGATTATGAGACTGCGAATGATATTGATACTCCCAGAACTGACTTCTGCCCCAATATGAACATCGATAACAGACTAAACCATGCAAGAAGGTCGGATCAAGCTCAGCAGTACGTAGCACCATCACCTCCTTCTAACAAGCTATATGCACAGTTCTTGGATAAGGTCATCAAATACACGCAGCGGAAAACGGAAACGGACCCATTTGACATGTCAGGTATGTCGTCCGCGCTTCCGGACCGCATCGACTACGACAAAACTTCGGTCATGCCATGGATGAATCCAATGTTTCCAATAACAGGATCGGCGCTGCTGGGGAGCTCTTTGTAAGTTTTGGTAGAGAAATCATTGGCGATTGTTCATATGTAAGCTAATGTCTTCATAGGTATTCGAGACGTTGTCATGTTTGAAACTGCCAGACTTCGGAATTTCCAATTGGAAGAGTACCATTCGAGGAACCGTAAACGTACACAAAAAGTACAGTAATGTTCAAAACTGGCCAGGTACAGAAAGCGCGGATATTGTGTATTTGGACCAGGATGGAAGCTTGATGCTGCATCTCCGGAACTTGTGTACAGGAGGGTTTCCTCAGTTCCCCCATCACGAGGCTGGAAATTCCCCTCCTATCGAGTATTTCATTGAGGTTAAGACGACGACCGGGCGCTCGTCGAAAACCTTCTTCATAGGGCATGGGCAGTATGAGCTGGTAAGGCTAATCCTTACCGTACCTATCGACGTATACTAATAATTCCTGCTAAGATGGAGAAATACCAGACTAGGCCAGAGAAGCGGCCGGAGAAAATCTACGTCCTCATTCGGGTGTTCAATCTAACATCTGGAGATATTGGGATGAAGATTTTCGTGGACCCTTGGAGATTTAGGGGTAACATTCTTCAATTCCAACATGATAAATGGGAGGTGAATATTGAATAATTGATCGAAGTGGGTAATTGGTTTGGGGGATTGGTTTACGTACCGTGCGAGCTTTCGGGGTGTACATGTACATCAGCTTATATTAGAGATCGCTGATTATACCGACTACGGTGGTAGCTATGGAGAGGGTTTCTATTTCAAAATGATGCGAGTAGAAGAGAGTTAAGCAAAAAGCAACCTTGGAACTCAGCCACTCCACCACTTGACCTCAGCCTTGTTTGCACATAGCTCCTTACAGAGCTCATAGGCATTACTAGCCCGTATGCTGAGACGTCAAGTTCACACTCTAATATCTCGAGAAGTCACCAAAAAAGCACCAAAACCCAGAACCAAGAAACCAACCCCAAATGCCGTTCACTTCCCCTCCTCCTCAATCGCCTCATAAGCCTTCACCCTCCCCAGTTGACTCTCCTTAACCCGCCAATCCTCAATATACCCCTGGACATTCTCCATCTCATTTTCCTTCCCAGGCATCGGCTCCCCCCACTGATACCAAACTGGGACTACTCCCGTCCACGTGCCCTTTACCAACTCCTTATTCTTCAAATCCGCGCGGTCTTCGCTCGGACCACCTGTCCTGACTTTCGCGCTCGCAGAATGGATTTTAATCCGTAGGATGGATGTGCTAGATATCTCGGCCCTGGTGGGTGGCACCCGAGAGTTCTCCCAGCGGGAGGGCAGGATATTATTTGTGATTTTTTGCATCGCGTACATCCGCTCGTCTGAATCGGTAACAAGGCTTGCGTAGCCGTATGCGACTGCGGAACGGTAGTTGCAGGAATTGTGGAAGGGTGTTAGGCTGAGGACTAGACCGTCAAGAAATGTCGCGGAGACAGTGATAGGAAGGCCTTCTTCCGTGGCAGAGGTGGTAGGAGTTTTAAAAAGTCGGGAACTGACGTAGCCGTGGATGTAGATATCTTGGGGTGAGGCGTTGGGGTCGGAGGATGGGGAAGAGAAGGAGCCGGTGCAGCCGATCATGGGGAGGATGATAGGGAAGGGGTGAGTGGGGTCTATGAAGGAGACGTGGAGGATTGGAGAGGTGTTGAAAAGGGTGTGGATTGTGGCGTAGTCATAGGCGCCTGCGTGGTATTAGGATGGTACATGAATGAAGATAGAAACGGCAGGATCCTGGGAGGAAATTTGTGGTACACGATTGTGGGGAATGGTGAATAAGTAAATGTGAATCTAGTAGGAAAGGCGGCCGGAGGGTTGTATGCCATACCTCGTTTTGCAAGCCGATTAACTGCATTCACTGCTTCCTTAGTATATTCCTCTGAAGCCATCCCAGATACAGTGTCTCTCGTCCCTGATTTTAGCAAAGGTTATGGTCAGAGGCGGAGCGATAAAGTGAGGTCCATTCCAGCTTCATATAAGGTCAGTCAGCTCAATATACCGTGCGGCCCATGCGATGACTCCTCGCCACGTGACCTCTCCTTCTGTCTCTCCTTCATCAGAACATCCTGGGCGTCTGGGGCGTATGTCGGTCGTTCATGGATGCCGCTCCTTTGGTGTTGTTCGGCAGCACTTGCTTCTAAGAGGAAAGCGGGGTACTAATGGAATGTGTGTGATTGGTTGGATGATGGAGATCGGATTTGAAAGCCGGGTGGAGGGGTTTAGTGACCTGTAGGTGGGCACCTGGAGTCATTTTGGTGGGCCTGGGGCTGGATATCAAAGGATAGTTGTGGAGTTTGGAAGGGGGGTTGCATAGGGGGGAGTACTTTGTGACCAGCAATTCATAAATGTCACAAGACGTAGAATATGGCTGAATTTCGAATAATGAGCTGTCCAACAAATTGACCCTCCTCTGGGCTAAGAATTAGATCCATTGTTCTGTTTTGGGCTGAATGATAGCCGTAGGGAGTTTGGATGAAATGGGAGTAGTGGGAGGCTTGTGATCCGAGCAGCTGGCGAATATTTAGGGTCTGCCATCAGGCCTTCTATCAGGTAATCGAACGACCATATGCTACTTCTCCGTTAGTGTGACTAAGGTAACTTGATGTACAGATGAAGTGGTGCGTTCTAGCAGGGCGAAAGAAGCGTTTGATAGAAAAAAATGACCATGAGCAACCGAAAAGTGCAAGATGGAATTCTTCAGCTTGGCCTGAATATTGGGAACTCAACTTTTTTTAACTAAATTTACTAAAAAAAATTTTTATCACAATCTTAGCATCTATTTCGCCACCGCGGACTACACCAGCCTATACGCACATATGGGATGTAAACTCTGACACCATCTCCAGTAGTTATTTTGTCGGATTCCATGCGACGAGGGAAATGCGATTCGCACTTGGGGAAAACCTCGTGGTGTAGAAAATCCAGAGCAAGGAATACATTGCGAATAGTCTCCCAAAGATTGGGCTCAGCCTTGGATGTAAATTTCTAAATGACTGCAAGATGGGTAAAGACAAAAGTGGTCCTTTCGTATAGGACATCAGCAGCTTCAGGGTCGCTACAGTTATTAGTTCACATACCAGGAGGCTATGAGATAGGATTTGAGAGAGAGAAGGAGAGGGAGAAGGAGAGAGAGAAGGCGTACATATGTTTACAGGTCAAGAGGAGGTGAGAGAAGCTCCAATTGGGGACTTTTCCGATGCGGGATTTGCGGTTTCGCGGAGAATAATTAGCCAACTAGTGAAGTGTTTGAGGTGCGCGTGGGAGGATCTTCGAACCCAATACAGGGGCACCTGTAGGGGCATAGCTTCTTTCCCTCATGATAGGTGAGTATATATATTTTCTTCCAATCGCGTATTCCCGTATCCGTAATGCGCAGCTCTACCACCAGCCGTCCTAGAAAGTATGACCTCAGTTGGCTGCCAGATGTTTCGCGGATAGATCGAGTACCATAGAGGATTGTAGCTAGTCCTGTAGTGAAAAAGTCCTGGCAGTAAAGATGTTTGGACCCAACCGTAATTGTCTATGGGCAACGGCAACCAATAACATGGAGCAAGCGAAAGAGGTAAGGAAGGCGGTGTATATGAGAGAGCGAGGTGTATTGCCTTGATGTCTCGGCTAAAGACAGGAAAATATAAGGTGAAACAGGCCCACCTGATGTTTGTTGCTTCTTCAGCCTTCTGCTTTCGTCTAATCTAGCACAGCTGCGATCCTAGAGCCAGTTCCACATCCTCTTAAGTTTTCCCTACACTTTATCTATTGTAGACATACCGAATGCTCTCGAACTCAATATTCTCATTGGGACGGAAAACTCCTACAATCATTGAAGCGAGCGCCGCGGTCCTCAAATTTCCACGAGTCCGTAGCCCAGCAGAAGTGAGGAGCCGAAGTGACTCCTGGGGGAGGCCTGCTTTTCTCTTGAAATCCTGGCTTTGCAATATTAAGAGTTCTCGTAAATGCAGTTGGTAGTTGTGATACGTGCCGGTTTCCCTCAATCTTTCGACGTTTTGCTAGTGGATAACTTCTTACAGAAGTAGATGGCAAACTTGGAGGGGAGCGATATGTCGAAGATCCAGCATTTGAGTAGGGTACAAAACTCTGATCGGCTCCGGTGAGCGCTAATTGCAAAGGGTACAGTTCCTCACTAGTTTTGATTAAGCCACCTGTAGAAACTGTAATGTTGTTGCCCATTCCCCGTTTCTTTAGTTCAGCTTCAAGTCTGGCCATACCCTCGAGATCAGGAGTCACGCTGAGCCAGGTTGGGCAATAACGATCCCATTGGCACCGGATTATTGGACCCACGCTAGGGATGTGAATGTTGAGGCGTACTCGGCGGAATTGAAACGCAGAGAGTGCCGAGTACACTTCCTCCCTTGCAAAGTGAGAGGTTTCTGGTAAGAAAATCTGAAGAACTCGGAGATTTTGAAACGTCGATAATGTTGATAAGACCGTCACCCAGTGATTGCTACGGTTGTAGTGGTGGCCCCAACCCTCGGAAGGATTTGGAGTGATCCAAACAAAGCGCATGCTTTGCGAATGTAGGAGGTATAAATAAAATCGTTGGTGTATGAAGTCGTAGAAGTTAGTAAATATGAAGGTGTTGGTAGTAAAGAAAATGTCGATAGATTCGAGACAACTTCGTAAGTGTTAGCTGGTCAACTCCTCTTGATCGGGCTTAACCTACATTTGCCTACACACTAATATCAAGTTGAGGGGCCCCCAACGTGTGTAGGGTGTGGAATATTCACTCCTGGCCCTGAAGATATGGTCCTGAGCATGTTTTTTGTCGTCTTGTGCACCTATTGTGGATGGTTTCCCGTGCCAGGTTATAGGATTGCAGAGCCGACAGACGAATCTTCCATTTTTGGTAATGACTCGCACATGGAATCCTCCAATCACATATTTCCATATCATAACGCGGATCTCTGCTGGCAGCTGTAATAGAAGCGATGACGGTGTTGGTGGCGATGAATCACCAGAGCAAAAGGACCCACTTGGGCGAAGAAACGAGTCTGTGAGCTTCAGTCAGTCAACCAGCTAGGTAGAAGTCTATTTTCAAATTCAAAGCTCACTATTACCATCTCGCCTGCTACACATAGTTCTCCCGATTTATGGATACTTCTGCTAATGTAGCTAGACTGGAGTATTACGACGGTAAAGATTATGGTGATGAAGGGGGAGTATTAAAAGGATGGAAATTGGGGAAATAAGGCTCCGGTCGCTTAGAGGGGCACAAAGTGAGGCGAAACATTATTAGCCGACATTCATGCCTTCTGCAGCCTTCTGCAGTTGCCTTAATTGTGGCGGAGCACCATCAAGACGTAGCCGAAGGGCAACATTCATCGCTCCGCTCCCGCATCTTATTACCTGAAATGGAGCACAATAGGGTAGCTTGTACGGTCGCTAACGAAATCGACTTCTATTCGAGGGCAGCTGCAACAAAATTCAATCTAACTTATGAACGAAAAGTCCTGGCACCCACCTTACATATTTAGTAAGAGGCTATTCCCCGAGGCACATGATTTGCCACTGTATGAAAGGGTACCTCTCTATACTTGAGCCCACAAGGGTGTGGCCGGAACGGATTGCCCAGCCCCCCTGCTAGGCGTGGAGAGCTAAAAAGTATTTATGCTGTTAATCATCTGCTGTAAATACCACGTTAAATCTATCAGCCACTCCGCCAGGATTCTAAAGTGCGAAGTCCTTCGCACAACTCGCACCTTAACCCCCTATCTCACGACGTAGCCGCTGAATACACCCAGCTCCAACCCTTGTATATACGCTATCAAGACTAGCCAGTCTACCAACTAATATGTAGCACTTATACCTTAGCCCATGCTCATCTTCAGGAGAGTTTCTCCAAACAACAATACACTGCACAGTATGAAAGTCTCTGCTTAACTTAATATCATACTAAATCTTTCCTCTTTCTGCCCTGCTTAAGTCTAAGACGGCGTAGCTTATGTCTTTCTGTTCTAGGGTACAGTTCTAGAGACTTCCTATGTTAGTGACTAAGGCTTCTCTTTCCTTCTTTAAGATATAAAATCTAAGCTTGTAGTTCTAATCCACGCCGCGTTTAGGAGCGTCCACTAACTAAAAACCTCCGCGAAATGCCATCCATAACTAAAATGGCACGATCCTAGGTTTGTACCTAATCCGCTGTGTCTTCTCCCTGTCAGACCTCTGCCAAAGGAGATTCCTGTGAAGTTACTTTTTAAAGATGCTGTGTCTGCTTTAACGCCCTATAACCTGTACAGCGCAAGCCTCTAACCCAGTTATTGCAACACGCCTCTTAGTTCCCTTTGTTAGGGGACGTTTTAAGTAGGCCTTAGAAAGAAGATAAATAAATTTTATACCACGTCCTTCTGTAAGAGCTAAAGAGCAAAAAGGTCAAGTTAAGACCCTCTAAGGCTACTAAATATTGTTAATGTAAGGACGGAGCTCTATACCACTGCGCCAATACAACCAAAAAGGTGCGAATAATCAACCAACGGTTGATTCTTGCGTACAGAATAGTATATATACCTGTCGCGCGTAAGCCATCTCGGCCTTACAGTTAAACCCTTACCTTTTCAGTCTAGTACGGGCTTCGCAGCGCCACCCTCACCGCATTCCTAGAACACCTGCTTGTTACTGAAATGGCTTGTTTATGGTGACAAGACCCTTTCTTACATTACCGTTACTTGCATATTAAGCAGAGCCTTCTCAACGTGGTTGTTAGAATCATACTTATTAGAACAGATATAGAACTGCCTCCTTAAGGCATCATAGACAATGGCCCCTTTACTGTTCACATTCTATTTAAGGAATCCCGCTGCTAAATTAACAGCTGAAACGGCAGCAATTGGGCAGTAGGCCGGAGCGAAGACGCCTTCCATACGTGTGGCCTTGTACTCCTAAACTTCTTAGTTCTATTAAATCATGCAATGGGAGTTAATCTGAAGACATTACGTGCCTGGCTTCTAGGTTACTTGGAGTGCGCCTTAAAATGTCATTAGGAGCTTCCAGAGACTAAACCCTTTTAGTTCTGCACTAATATTTGTCTGCTGTGCAGAAATTATACTTTTCCCTACAAGCAAGTCCTTAACAATAGGACAACGCGAGGTATTTTATTCTCTTATTTCCCTTAGGAAATAGAGGTGTAGGATGCTAGGATTAGGACCTCTAATGTAGAGGAGCCTAGTTAGCAATTCTGCTTTAGACTTAGCGCTATATTTTTTACAGTTTCAAGGCTTGTTGCATTAACAAAGCCATGTGCAAAGTAGCCTAAAACAGGCAGGACTTTTAGCTTTAGGTAAGACTTAAAAGCTGGCGTTAATGTTATTACAGTTAGTTAAAGATTCTGCAGTAAAGATATATAATTAGTGGTAGCCCTACACAGTTTAGGTATATTAAAGATTCTAACCTAAATTAGAACAAAGCTAGAGAATTTAGCGACCCTTGCTTCTTAGTTTTAACGCTGGCACTTCTTAGACAAGTGGAACATGTAATCTAGAACTATTGCAGTGGTGTTAAGCCGCCTAAATAGTCAGAGTAGAGAGCAGATCCAGCATTTCTTTTAGCAGCACTAACTTTAGAGAGAATAATTTTGCAACTAGCAACTACAATTAAATTACTCCAGGTAAAAAAAACTCAGTGGAGCAAGCTAAATTAGTAGCATGCTTAATAGTAAGCTCTTAAAGAACTCTAGAGTAAAATTATTGTTAAGGGTACAGCGCCAGTTGTTGCGCTACATTTGTATTAGTACTTGCTTAAGGGCAGACATTTGCAAGTCTATTTCCCAGCTATACCACAGACACGCCAGCATTAGCAGCAGCATAAGCAGCAACATTGCATGTAAATATACGCAGGTTAACTCACTTCCTGAAACACCGTATCTTAGTATAATATTATCAACTATCCTGCAGCAAATACTTACCTTCTAATTATAATGTTAGCCAGGATTAAATAATGCGAGAACTACCAGGGTACTGTAAATAACCAGTTTTTCCCCATGTGTTTACTCACTCTAACTAAGAGATCCGTAGCTATAAATAAAAAGGATACTTTGTAAAGATAGGTGGATAGGTATGTGTCAGAGAGTAAAAGAATGAGTCTAAGTTGTCGTTGGAAATGTGGCGCTATATACTGCTGTCTAAATGTGTCATTCCTAAAATTGTTCCGATTGTAAGCTGTCTTTTTAGTGCCGTAAACTAATCAGGAAATGTTCCTAAGTGAAGTAAACCATTGCGTAGTAATTGCTTTCACCTTCTGCATAAAAGTGGCATAATTAGCATTATTTACAAATAGATAATCAACGTTCAAGAAACTTCCGCTCACTACTACTAGCAAGGAGGGTGGCTCCGCATCGACTACACCCTTTTGAGCACAAGCTGTGATAAAAATGAACCCCTCATGTACCGGAGCAAATCACCTGTATTGAGTTTGTAACGATTTGCTAGATATGTAGGGCGGGACGCAAGGACTTTCGCTAGCAAGCTGGCAGAACCATACTCCGGCTACATTTCAGCGGAAGCCGATTTCTCTAACCACTGTAATAGATTTTGGCATCTTGTCAATGTCCTCTTGAATTCTAACTAGTGGTTAACAGATTAAATGCACCCTACCTAAGTATTTATGCTCTCCAACAGATGCTAGCATGGGGTAATATGGATGGAAAAAGGTCACAAAACCGAGAAGGTGTATATATATTTCAGCCTGATCTGTCCAGTCGTCCCATTGCCCTTGATCTCCGTCTTCTGCTCAATATCACGCTCAATATCACGCTCCGTAGACTAGTCTCTAATGAATGCTCTGTAGGGTCCCCCTGCTTTGACGACTGTTTCGCGCATCCATAACTACTCAACCGCATACATGACCAACGCCAAATACAGTAGTGGCCCCAGTATTTTAAAACGTAATAGATATGTTATCCATCATCTCGTATTCTCGGTGTCGTTGTTCGTTGGAACATAGTAAGACCTAACGTAGGCATTGCAGTGCGAGCCCAGAATACTTTGATTGAACCGCACAATTCTGCCCACACCCGACCTTTTTGATTTATGTCCTTGTCGGTCTTATTGCCGTTTCGCTTTATTGAGAGTGTTTGTGGTGCTCGCGATGGGTGCCTTGGGATAAGCTTCCGCTTTAGACGATCTCTATTAGGGAGTGGCTGGAGCTGGGCTAGCTGTTTTGTATTTTGCTATGAATGAACTTAGTTTCTAGGAACACTAAAAGGAATACGCGCTTTACTTTCGCATGTAGATGAGAAAAGCTACCGATGCGGCAATCGTGGTCTTCTTGATTGTCGGGAGGGGTGATGACGATGGAGGGTATTGAAGAACGATTCTCTTCCACTATGTTGTGTTGTCCCATTGAGGCCGGAGGAAGGTATGTTACGGGTGCGGTGTAGTTGGAAGTTAAGAAGGGAAATCTGTGTGTAGGGCTTGTGCGTTATGTGATAATAGAACCATGGTCCGAAAATGTGTTGGGACACACTCCTCCGGTTTCCTACCCAATACTCGTCGTTCTATATAATATGACTTACACCTTAGTACATACAGCATGTTACCACATAACGTGAAATATAAGTAGGGTAGAACTTTAGATAAAAATTCTCTAAGAAGTAGGGAAAATATTAAGAAGAAAAACGAAGCCCTGAAGTACCATCCTCCAGTAATACTGCTGAGGCTTTGGTAGGTACCAATTAAGCGGCCTTTAAGATCTTTCCTAGACCTTAACACTAGATCTGATCCCTAGATCTGATTTAGTGTGTATGAGAGTCTGGTGCTATTTCCTGATCTTAAGAAATTGTGGATTCCAAGTTCGCATGTACCCTATCAAAGAATGACAGAAAAAGGAACTACATACTGCGTACAAAAAAAAGAGCTGGTAACACCTACATAGTCTCCTCACCCAGTAAGATGAATATCGCTTATCAGGAAGGTCATAGAAGTAAATAATTTCTTTTTCGTTCAGCTTGAGGGCCGTGCAAGGATCTCAATCGTGTTGCCAAAGCAGGAGGTAGGATTGCTTCGAATGAAGTGGCGTGTTGCTCCGTATCAAAGGATGGCTTCGGCTCGGCAATTCGCTGAATGACACCAGAGCCTAACTGCCGACACTGGACTAAGCTTCATTATTGCAGTCTGCTATCGTTTCGTACGACTAGCCGCTGAAAAGGCGACGGTCTGGGTGACCGGCAGTTCGTGTTGCTCGTCAAAAGTAGCTCTCGCAGGCCAATGTTGTACAAGATGTGTGGGGGAAACAATTGATACCGAGGAAACACTGGACATTCCGTTAAAATCTCACAATAAAGAATTGAGGATTATCAAAGCGAATATTAGGAAATCGAGAGCTAAAGAGGATATAGAGATGGGACAGTTTGTAGAAACAAGATGGCGATGTCATTGAGGTTTAGGAGTTGGGGAGAAGAGACCCGCCCCGCCTCAAAAGTCCAAGCTCTTGTTTCTATTCCCGTTTCCCCATCGACTCCGCTGCTAACGCTCGATCTCGTCCTTTACCAACTGCCGACACCCATCATAGCTTGTCTTCGCCTCTGCTAACCCACCATGCCGAATGCCGCGCTATCATCAAGTCAGGCTACGGTTAACGGAGCCCTTGTCATCACGGCTGTTTTCCCTGATATTACAAGGCTCCTCTCTCCCCCAAAATGAAAATCTGAAGACCTCTCTCTTTAATATCCCTCTATTCAACACACTGGATATTAGGCACAATGCTTCTCAACGAAGTACTTCCACTCCTAGTCCGATACTGGCCTCTCGTACTCGCCTCTCTCATCATCAGCTATCTAGTGAACAACAAATTCTGGAAAGGCTTAAATCGATATCCGGGACACTGGTTAGCTGGGTACACGAACTGGTGGCGCTTTTATGATGTTTGGGGACGGCGACATGAATGGACGATAATACGACTTCACCGCGAGCATGGGGACATTGTAAGGCTGGGACCGAACGTTCTTTCATTTGGAGATCCAAAGGCCATCAAGATCATCTATGGCCTGAACAAGGGAATGACGAAGGTTAGTTCCATGGGACTGGGTTTGAAACGATGCTAGAGCTAACATCTCGCGCAGTCCGACTTCTATCCTGTCCAGAACGCCGTATCGAAAGGTCGACGCCTGCAATCTCTATTCTCTACCACTGATGAAAACTACCATGCGAAGTACCGCCGTTGCGTTAACAATGCATTCGCGATGAGTTCGCTGGTCAACTACGAGCCCTTAGTTAGTTCGACGTTAGACGTCTTCCTCGATCAGACCCAGAAACTTTACGCTAGAACGAACAAGAGCTGCAATTTTAGTCAATGGCTACAATTTTTTGCATTTGATGTTATTGGGGACTTAACATGGAGCAAGAGGCTTGGTTTCGTAGAGGAGAATAGAGATGTGGATGGAATGGTCGCATTCTTGAACAAATTTCTCAGTTATGCAGGGCCGGTAAGTTGACGGCAAATCCATCTCAGCCTGCAATCTCACGTTGAGAATTCAAAACTCTCCCCCTTCCTAACTTTCCTGTAGATTGGTCAAATGCCCATCCTTGATCTCTTCCTCGAGAAGAATCCTATCCGCCTCCTAGCTCAGCGGCTCGGGCTTAATAAAACCGTCTTCCCCGTGACACTTTTCGCCCAGACCCGCTCCAACGAACGAGCGGGCGAGATCCAGAAGATCAAAGCCTACGGACTCCCAGACAATGAGTCGAACCCCCGCGGTGTCGACCTATTATCTAAGTTTGCTCAAGCCGCTCACGACCACCCAGAGTTCATGACAGATACCCAAGTTCTGACATCCTGCGTCTCCATGGTTTTCGCTGGCTCCGAAACGACCGGTATATCTCTATCTAGCGTATTCTACTTTTTGCTTAAGCACCCAAGGGTTTATGCGAAGTTGATGAAAGAATTGGATGACGCAGTCACAGACGGCATCATCGAGTCCCGGCCTAACAAGAGTGTGTCGTGGTCAGAATCTCAGAAACTGCCATACCTTGATGCCGTAATCCAGGAATCCTTCCGTCTCCATCCTGCTGCCGGCCTGATCCTAGAGCGTATTGTTCCACGACAAGGCATGGATATCCTCGGTAATTTCATCCCCGGAGGAACAATCGTTGGATGCAACGCTTGGGTCTTACACCGGCGTCCAGAGGTCTTCGGTGGGGATGTCGACGCATTTAGGCCAGAGAGGTGGATTGAAGCGAGTGCCGAGAAGCTCAAAGAAATGAAGGCTACCATGTTCCAGTTTGGGGCAGGTGCGCGGACGTGCATCGGCAAGAATGTGAGCTTGTTGGAGGTTTACAAGTTGGTACCGAGCTTCTTGCGCCGGTTTGAAGTAAGCACTCTTAAGATGTTTGATAGATTAGTGGCTGATGAGATTCAGATCGAACTTGAGCGTCCAGAAAGCGAATGGAAAACTCATAATGCATGGTTTGTTCGCCAAATGGAGTTCAATACAAAATTCAGACCTCGAGAAGTATCTCCTTGAGGGGCTGAGCTGTTTGAGTTTGGAGAGGGAGGGAGAGAGGTAGATAGGACGACATGAATGAGAGTGCATGAAGGTGATGATGATGAACGACACATATTCTCAAATCAGCTGTTATTACCATGAGTCGTGAAGCTCCCTCTCCTTGTAGAAGTCTAGAGTGAAACTTCAACCTGGGCAATGTGATTGTAGGATTCTGTTGTTAGGCCACGGCTGGAGCTGTAACTTCCAAGGCTGTTAGTTGGGCTTAGGAGGGTTCCAATCACGTATGGTTATTTAGGAGGTAAGCGCAGCTTCCTCAGGAGCCATAAGCTTAACGGCCACTTCCAACATCGAAACTTGACCCAAAAGCTCCACTCAACCGCACCATCTCTCTCCAAGACCTCCGTGTCTCATATAACAACAATAACCTGCAACTACGCTGGATGCAGCAGCGAAAACTTTGATCAGATCATGATCGCCCACTCCTCAGCTGCCAAAGACGTGAAACCTGGAGTATCGGTTACCGCGAAAGGATTTCGACGCCTGACGCGTAAGACGGACTCGCAAGACTCTTCAGCATGCATAAGACGTTATTGACTGGGCGGGATGTTCCATAATGCCTGAACTTTGAAGAATATTGAGGCTGGGTACTGGGCACGAGATGCGGGACTTTTGCGAGCCGTCTCTTGCTTCCAAGATTGTCTCAGAGACTCGTCCGGGGTACATCAAGTGGCGTACTCGAGACTATAATTTAAGTATTGGGGAAAGCTGGCAATATGGCGGGCGAGTTGGCCCTCGTGACCCGCTCCTTCAAGGCTCCTCCAATCTACACGCAGGGCGCGCGAAATCCAACAGCATTGGATGAGTTTGAGATGGACATGTGCTGAAAATCGAAGATGGAAAACAGAAAGCAATGCGGGCTCAAACTCAAAAGTTTAACGACATAATACCAACAGAAATTTGCAGCTCATCTGATATGGTCGAGAGCGGTTGCGGCCTACCTTTTCGTCCACTTTTTTTTTGCAGTGGTGAGTCACTGAGACACACGTCGCAGTGCATGCAGGACGCATGCGGCCTCACTCTGGCCAGCAGATTCTGAAACAGCGACAGAAAGTTTACCTGCACGTACGATCATTGGCAGTGACGACGAGAGCTCGTCAGAGGAGATCTCGGGCGACGCAGTTGAGAATGAAGCCTACGATGTTGGAGTTGGAGTTGGAGTTGGAGTTCGCCGCTTGACGTCGGCTAGAAGTGCACATGACAACAAGGTCCCGTTTCGATCAAGGCCCCTGTTCAGCTGAATGTCACCTGAAGCGGGACGATCGGTCGCCAACCTTCATGCTCAAGATGCATGATCAACCGAGCGTCTCGAAGAAAGACTTTCTCCCAAAAAGCCAGCGAAACACCCGGCAGCGAATGACGAATTCCGCCACAACCGAGTCGGATGAAGTTGGGTTGAGCCCCGAAAACCGTCTGCTGTGAGGCGCAGCCGACAAGAGCCCGGCTCGCAGGTTTCGGGGTCGCCTTTGCAGATTTTGAAACATCGTGGCCATGGGTTGCTATCGATAGCACCACTGATATGGGACGACGATAGGCTAATCCGGGGTCGTCAATACTTGCGCAATCGCCATACGCTGCCTCAAGTGAGGATACTTCTCTCCAATCGATGACATGTCAGAAAAGGGGAAAGCTGCTATTGAAACGGCCAATCTATGCAGGGCAACGTTTAGACAGCGGCCGCGAATATGCCTCATCTTTCAACCGCATTTTCAACAGCATTATTATCTTAGCATCAGCCGGCGCGAGAGTCGAAAGCTAGCGACGGGGGACGTCTTCCTTGCATGGCAGAGGCCGGATAGCGAAGGATGGGGAGGTCGGATGCTGGAAAAGGTCGGCAAAGGCGACTCCGAGGAATGATCGCCGGCACCATCCACCACTTGGTGCACAGCCGCAGAGTCGCAAGATTTCCACGCAGACGTCGTCGGCTATGCCCGATGCAGCAGTCAGTGCTTTCGAGGTGTGGCGTCGCCTTACAGACTCCCGCGAATATCGCCATCGACGCGATGTGAGGTAGGTTGTCTTCGTGGGTTACAGACTGCTTCAGCACGCGCCCAAGCTACTCGACGACGGCCCTCTGTGTTTATTCTTCTGGACCGTGTCGGATTGCCCATCGCGATCACATGAGGCAGCGCGAATGGGCTTTCTTTGCGGCCCCAATCCCTGCTCGCATCCCGGCTGCCTGAGCTGATTGGGCTGACTGTTTCTCGCCCATTTTTAGCCACAGTCAACGACAACCTGTCAAGAGTCCAAGACGACGTCGTCTGCCTCCCACGACTCCCACCTTCTTCGACTTTAGGGCAACAGTGAGAAACACTACCCCTAGCCCGCTCTTTGCGCCGTGAGTCCCTTTACCCGCGCATTCCCTATGAGGCAGCAAAGCCGCTGCGGTGCGCTCTCCTTTTGGACGTCGAGAGAAGGCTTCTGGAATCCCCGTTCGACAGGCGGTCATGTTGCAGAGCCGGTCTTTCGAGGTCCCAAGGGGCAGAGCATCGGCTCCTCTCGCATGCGGCGTGTATCAGTATCACAGGCAGAGAATCTGGCTGCCTGCGAGCGCATCGCTTCATGCTGTAGTGCGCCTGCACAGTCAACCGTGAGCTCGAGCTTCAGCTGCCGTGGTGAGTATCGAAACGCAGGCATCTTTCGATACTTTTGCCATTTCCACATGGAAGGCTGATCAGACGCCCTCTCGTCTACTGTCATCTCCGTTCTGCATGGCCTAGATGGACTTTTGCAGCCATGAGGACATCGCAATCTTCGCTCAGGCAGGCATCCGCCTATCCACGCGCTTCAACGGTGAGCAACGCGGTCGCCGTGCCGGTCGGTCAGCTTTGGATCCGACCTAAACCTGCAGCTGCATCTCTCGCCATATATGCACGATTAAACAAGCTAGATGCGCAGTGCGTCCGAACGGGGCAGTGTGCATGATACCCTTGCCGAGCTCTGTGGCCACGCCGACCGGCCCATCATCTTCCCCTCGTCTCGCTCTTAAGATGGATCGCACCCACCACCGTTAGCCTTTTCTACCCTCCACCCTCTCACCTCGCCTCTTCCTCACCTCATTCGTCCGTCCCTTTCTTGTCTCCTCCTCAACCTAAGGCGAAACAGCAAAAGCGTAATTCCGCCTGAGACATCCTTTTTGAATTCCCTTTGTTCCTTTCCTTTCGTTGATACCGTCGTCCCATATAATATCGCATCGCTCGAGCACATCGCCACGAATAGACATAATGCCCATCTCATTATTACCAGCTTCGGCCGCCGCATTTGCGCCGCGTTCGGCGCCGACCATCGTTCTCAGTTCTAAGGTTGAGCCGTGGTTAACCCAGACGTTAAAGCGGATAAACCGGGTCAAGCGCCCGCTCAACAGCGTCCCCCAGCACAACCGATGTCTCACAGAAACCCTGTCCGGCGCGAGCGCCATATGGTCGCTATGTTCCATAATGCTCCCCAAAGCCCCAGATTCGGAACTGCGAAGGGACTCCAACCCGCTGGTTGAAGCGCTGTTCAACTTCCAGTTGGTACATATTGAGGCATATGTCGTGCACGTCGACATGGTATCACAGCATGAGGTTGCATTCAAGCTTACGCAAGACACCATCGAATCGCTCATCGAGTACCACAAGGACATCTACTCGATCGACGTGTCGGCCAGCACATGGAACTGGGCTGAAAAGGAAGTACAGCTGAAGAAGCTACAGGAAGAGTTTGTGCAGGCAGTCAACCGCTACGTCTTCCGGACTGGAGTACGGGCTTTGGAGGGATTGGAGGAGGAGGGTGCGGGAGAACTACTTGAGGGCCGAGGTGAGGACGTCAAGAGTGCTATCATGGGACTGTTCCTTCCACTCCTTCCCCCTCCACCAAGGATTGTCGACGTCGTGCGACCAGCGCCGCTCCTTCCAAGTTCACCAGGAGCTGCGAATTGGTGGCACCCGGGACATCACATCTCACAGCCCCATCCTGCGCCTGTTGATTCTTGGAGAGTGGTTCCATCAACACCAAGCCCAACGATCGCAACCTGCAGTGAAACACACCCATCCTTCTGGAGTACAATGGGCACCAATGATATCCAACTCCCGTCACCGACACCCTCATTCAGCCAGCCAATCTACTCCACGAGTCAGTACTACAGCCCACCCCAGGCCACCGCTCCGATACCCGCCCTCCCATTGCCCAGCGTGCTCGCCCAGCAATGCGGGTCAAGCGCTGTGAATAGTAGCTTCGGCGGCGGATTCGGATGGGACACGGGATTCGCACCACAGTACGCAGCATTTACGTAAGCGGATGAGTAAGACTGTGAGTGCGATCCTCTGTCGAAGCCTGGGAAGTGCGGACCTGGCCAGTCCTACTTCTTCTTCCCTACTACCGCACCAAGGTTGATGTGCACAACCTTGTGGACGCCCGACATGAGACGATGTATGCGATGTGCATGAAGCGATGTGTACCAACATCCTACAAGAGCATGGGACGGCGTTTTCCTCGATTTTAGCGACTTGCTTTGAGCAGAGCCATTTCTCTTCTCTCTTCTCTGGTACAAACTTTTCCTTGGATATCCGTTTAAGTCCTTGTCGTCTGTTTTATTAGCGAGCGTCCAGTTTTTCCGTATTTCCTTTGTGGAAGTTTCGAATTTTTTGCATACGGCGGCCGGACCAGGCCATTTCTTACCGTGTTTCCTTTGGTTTGCATACTCTGGGAGGCTTGTATGTCGGGCATTTTAAAGACAGGTTACAGACAGCCTCACGGCTACGAGGCGGGCACACTCGGATTTGGATTACTTGTTTAATGTCGTATTGTTGGACGGCTGCGCTATCTCTTCATTGAACATGGCATGCCAGACTCGAATGATTTGGCGCAGGGTACTCGTTCCACTCGTCTACTCAGAACTGGCATTGAGTGCCAGCAGGAAAAAGCTGAGAGGCGGCGACAAAATCTATACACGCACATCTGAGATGTTCGGCGTAATCGTCTGTCCTTGTGCAAAAGGGAAAGCTTGGTGGATGCCGGGGACGCGGGGTTCTTAAGGGGTGAGCTGAGACAAGCTTCCGTCTGTGGCGGGCTTGCTTTCTGTCAGGAAAGTATCAGTCGTCGGCTTCTGCTTGCGGAAGGGACGCGACATTTCCTGAGGCACCTCGGAATCGGCGCTTCTGGTACTCTGCCGAGCACACTGGATGGCAGGGACTGTAGGGTCATCTCCTACTCTTCAGGACTGAGTCTTGGAAGACGCGCTCCGTAGATCGGGGTGAATTGGATGCTGGACAGAAGCGTGCTTCTACATATAGGCAGTCTAAATGTAATAAAAAAACACAATTTCAATGAACATGGATATCTTGCCGATGAATGAGGGTGCAAGTGGTGGGTCAGATGGGTTTTGGGGGGGAAGGGGGGAGGGGGGAAGAGGAAAGGGGAAAGGGGGAAAGGGGGAATGGGGGAAGGGGGGGGGGAGAAGTGACGATGGCGTAAACGACAATATGAGCGATTTCCGAGAGTGACTAGGATTAGGTGGCCTTGAGGATACAGACCTCTGCCATATCCCGGGAGTGATATATTCTAGACATGTGATGCATAGGAAGGCGGGGTTTAGCAAGTGGTTGAGGCATGAGGTTGGCCACTGGCTGACTCGCGGCGGCTCTGCGGCTCTCTGGCCAGAGTGTCGGGATCGCCAATTGGAGCATATGGGGATCTTGAAGATGGAGGCGCACTCTCGGAGGGGGAAGGGAGAGGCGCCGTGTCATTATTAATGCGACGTTTGTGACGTTTGCTGGCCGAGTGTCGCGTTTTGTCGAGGCTGTTTCAGCGGGCCTATCCCCGGCGGAGCATCTTGGATTGGGCACTTTGAGGCGATGTCGATACAAGTCTCCGGCACAAAGCCGGTTGCTGCGTCTGCCTTCTTCCTTCTAGACGAGCCTTTGTCATCGCCCATTGCCCATCTATCTCGCCCTCAACATGTCGCCCGCACCTGCATCCCCATAGCGCCCCGAACGACGGACGACTCCATCGCGTGCACTCGACCTGCTTGCCGTCGCTCGCCCGCGCGATGCCCCCGGCCAACTCGCGAGCGACAAGCCCGCCCGCAGTGAGTCCCCTCACCCGATGCAGCTGTGCAGCTGTCTTGCAGCAGGCGGCCCAGCGGCGGCCCTCCGCAGCCTCACGTCCTGGGCTGCGACTGAGTGACTGATGAGCGACTGACTGTGTTGCCCTCGCAGGACTCGGCGCAGCGTGCTGGCACCCCTCCGTCGTATCTGTCGGCCCTCCGTGAGTTGGAGAGCCCGGTCAACCAGGACGTCCTCAATCTCGCAGCCACGCTAACCACCCAAGCCGAAGACGAGGCCGACCAGGAGAGCCTGCGACACCTGCGCCAGGCCGAGCACGACGAGTGGCGCATAGAGAGGACCCGCGAGCGTCTGCGCCTGCTCGAGAGGCAGCGCGACGACATCGAGAGACGCGACCGGCTGCGAAGGGTCATGAACAGGCTTAGCCGCATCCACGACCCGCCAGCGTACGGCGACCGAATCCCCAGCCAGAATAACCTGTACGACTGGTCGCCCGCTAACGAGGCCGACGACGAGGACGAGCTGGACCGGATCCTCGCTGAGCTCCGCCGTGAGCAGCCGAACACCCACCCCGAGATCCTGCGAGTGCTCGGCCGCTCGCAGCTGGATGCGGAGCGCGAGTCGCGCATTCGCACATACTCGTCGAGGCTGCTGAGCTCGAACCAGCCGTCCCAGTCGGCGGACAGCTCCCTCAGGTCGGCGACAATCCTGCAGTCGGTGCGAAGACACCCCCGCTTCTCTGCCAGCAGCAGGAGAGGCTACGAGCACGCTTTCCCGCCGGAGACACAGCGAGACTCGGGAAGCAGGTCGCCGCACCACAGTGAGTCCCGAGACCGGTACACCGTGTCTGAATCCGCTCGTCAGGCTGCCCGGCAGCGCCTGTCCGAGCTGCACACTTCTCTAGAGCGAGACCGCGACCGGGACCGTGACATGTTGGCACGTGTAGACTCATACCGGCGGAGCTATCTCGACCGAAACTCGACCTCGCCGTCGACCGTCTCCCCATTGCTCGAGCAGACGATCAAGTACCTGTCGCGGATACGGCACTCGAACACGGAAGATGACAGCCTAAACTTTGCTCTGGATGCGGGCTTCTTGAACAAGGACTACTTCTGTGAAGAGAACTCAGATTTCGTACTAGACACATGCACTCTCCCTCCCCCAGCCGAGACGTCATGGCTAGCGCCGGGAGCTGTATTGAATGGATGTCAGCATGCCACCTCCGTCACCTCAACCGTCACCTCCACAGCAGGGGGCGCCACAACAACGCTGTACCGCTTCAGAAACAATGATTCCATGACCTCTACCACATTCGAGCCCGGCCGGCCATGGCTAAGTCACAGCTACACTCCCCCACAGAGACGAGCTACAAATCCTACAGGCCCCGAAATCGTGACCTCGCATACGCCGACGCAAGATCGATGGCCAGTCAAGGTCACCATACACGCCGTAGACTACAGTACGATGTGTCTGTCAGCAACTATGGAAGCGTACAACGTACCCTCACATCCCCACTCCCACCAATCCCTCCTCAGCGCCTCGGTCGACAGATCTCACACCCCATTCACCCGCACATCATCAATCACCACCTACCTCGAAGGTGAAATCCTGGATTTCAACCAACACACCCTCCTCACCGAATCCTTCAAGTCTAGCCCCTCAAACGACGCAACGTACTGGCGAAAACTGCCCCCGTTCCAGAAATTCACCGATGACGAACTCGTCCGGAACCTCGTCAGCAAGCGCTGGTTCACAGAAGTGCTAAGTCGGGAGTGGATCCTCATGCGGTGGAAGGAACGGTGTTTCGTTAAATCGCTGAACCGGTCCACGGCTGATCCTCCAGCTGCGCAACCCCCTCATCCCAACTTCGACTTCGCGTCTACCACCTCATCCGATATCTCCGCCAGCTCGACGGCGGCGGTGGTGTCGTTTAATACGACGTCGTCGAGGGAAAACCACCCCGATTCCGCCGACTACCATCGGGGGAATGCAAGACAGCAAGAGATGGATAGAGATAGAGAAGTTTTTGATGATTCAGGGTGTGGGCTTACAATCTCGGGGTTTTATTATGTGTGTTTGAAACGTGCGGATGGGAAACTTGAGGGACTGTATTATGACCCTCAGAGTAGTCCGTATCAGCATCTGAAGCTGGAGAGTGTTAATGGGGGCGTCTTTCCTGCTTGGGAGTTTAAGTAGGAGGGGGAATGATGAGGGGCAGTGGAATATGGGATTATGGATGGATCATGGATTCGATGAGATGATGGAGATGGCATGCCGGATCACACGGTTCTGTCTGTTCCATTTAACTTTAATATTGCATCTGTCCGGCGTTCATTGCTTCTTTTCTTCTGTTCTCTCTCTCTCTCTCTCTCTCTCTCACACACACACACACACACTGTATGTCTGTCTTTCTCTGTCTATATCACTGACTGACCCTTACTACTGGGTCGGAGGCTGGATCTGGTTTCTGGTTTCGGCGTTCACGGTCTTTCGAGCCGGCAAAGTACCCGTCCAAATGGCGTTACACGGATGGCATGGGATGGCATGGGATGGCATGGGCTGGCATGGAATGGGTGAGGACGGTCTGCATGTGACATGATATGGCATGGCATGGCATGGCATCCTTGGGTCCACTCGCTATTTTCGTTATATCTACCAATTATATCGTCACTAAGGATGATAACGGTTGTAGTGCTGGAGGGTAGGGTGTTAAGAGGCGGAGATATCCGATATATACCATAACAGATATCTGCATCTACTTAGACCTGCCTTCAATTCTAGCAATGGGTTGGGTGGATTATGTCCTTCCTGTATATGTTTCAACTTGTGTGCTAGTACCCCTAATCATGTCCGGTCGTATCTAACTATCTGCACCCTGCCAACCCAGTACGCATTGCTAGAACAAGAGACTATGTCTAGCTTTGAGCCTGTTGAGGAGCTTGAGAAGCAGCCAAAAAAAATAGTTCTTCGAGTATCAAGATAAGGTGGGAGGGCTTGCCAAAGGGGTAGTAGAAGCACCCATCACTCACCATCCGAGAATTTCACAACACTTAAATTACAGTTAGCTATCTGCAGCACGCATATAGCAACAAGACATCCTCTCCTAATACGAATACGTAAGTATTCCTTACACTTTACTACTTCAACATGTTACGTAAGGGCATTGGATGTTACAAGACATAGCTTTCATCCTTTTCGGAAACACCATTGGTATACAAGAACACTAAATACTGACATGACAACTCTTACCGCGATGGATGAGTTGTCCTAGTCAAGGACAAATTGAGAAGGGAGGTTCAACTCCTGTCACACTTACTCCCGCGGAAGATATGGTTTCCAAAATTGCTAGTAGCAGAGTTAACGTCCATCACTGCAGGTCGAAGAACACCCTGCGCCGAGAAATATAAGGGGTAACGTTACTTGAAATTCAAATAAATCAAATTCCGTGCACACGATAATTTCTGCTTTAACCCTACGTAGGCAATGTGCTGTAGCTATTCTTAAACACCTAGGACCTGTTTAATCTAAAATTTAAGTGTGCATCGCTGCCTTCTCACCTAATTTACTTAGAGCCTTCTTTTAGTGTAAAATAATGTCTCCTTGCTCTAGCACTACTATTAAGCTCTTACTACTTATAATGCAAATAAAAGGACTATATCTAAGCATATAAGCCTTACTGCAATAGGAGGAAGTTATCATCAGCCCTATGCCTGCTATCGCACGCAAATTCATGCAAGATCGCCACGCCAATCACTATCTCCAACTAAAGGAATCACTAATCTAGGCTAGACAAAAACAGCCCTATATGTTAACATTATTATTAAGTTGTAATTACTTAGAGTGGCTGTTAGAACTGTGGTTGCGTAGAACCTTTCTCTGTTAGTCTTAAGGCGCTAAGGACAAAGACTCTTTGCTTCCGTCAAAGGTCTTGAAGCCTTTTTCTAAACTAGATTAGCACAATCTTGAACCCATACTACTGAGATGCAAGCACACTAACGCTCCAACGCGAGTTATTTTTCGCTTCGATGGGAGATACGATCTTCAAGAGGCTGCGATCCAGAATCTGTGCACATGTTTCATATTTTCATAGTTCTTTTCAACTATTCTCTGCTTCATTCAACCCCCCATTGAGAGTCCTACATGCCCGCCTCCAGCATAAGAAATCAAAGGTGCTGGGCTAGTTAGAAACTCTATCGCGTGGAAGACCCTGCCCTGTTCACGCACAGTTGCAGTTTATCCCACCAAGTTCCAGTCCTATCCAACCTTTATAAATTCCCAGATGATTCCCTCAGATAACTTATTCCCATTTCTCCCTATCTTCTGCAGCCCTTCTTCTGCATTAATCACTATGGGGCGAAGTGTCCACCAGTGCAACATCTGCATGATATAACCTCCATTTGGCATCGGAGTGATGGTAAAGTGCCTCCATCCATTATGCTGTTCTGCCGAGCACTTTAGTCTTCCGCTCCAATCGTGACACAGAAACCTATTCGAAATGGGATTTCGGAAACCGATCCAACCTTCGGTTTCCACACACTTCCAGTGGATGGAGCCTTGGCCGCCTGGTGGCGCCAGTACAACCTGGCCGTCAAGTAGTGTAATTACATATCCCGACGAGATAGAGCGGATGATAACGGTGAAATCATGCGAAGGGACACCGCTGGATAGGTCGTGATTTTCTAGGACATCTGCGGTAACGTTTTCGGAGGTTGCAGTAGGCGTGTAATTGGAGTTATCGGGATCGGAGACGGATTCAGAGTCGAATTGATAGAAGCTCATGATGGCGTGTTTGGCCTGCGGAGAGTTGTTCTGTTTTCGAAGAATAATCCTCCAGAGGGTGGTTTGGTCAGGTGTTTAAGCAAACCCGAAGCAGCTCGCAGCCTTCTTCGGGCGTTGTCGTTGTGGGTGTAATGGACGGATGAGGTTAGGCGTGAATATGTTTTTAGTGTCTGAGTCGACTGATCATGAATCAAAAACCCCCAGTTGTATTCAGACCCTAGCTAGCGCGGCGCTAAAATGCCAACACGTGATCATTCATAGACGCTTCTGGAAGAGCGCCAGCGTAGAATCCAATACATGTAGCCAATCATCTAGTATTATATTATGTAAGCGCGCTAATTTCTCATGCAAAAACTTATTGTAGACTACTTCGCATAGATAAATTCGGAGTGCATGTTTTCAGAGGCTGAGCATCTTGAAAACTTGAAAACATCTTCTCCTTAGGTAGAACTATCATCCTAGTGCTCCGAAATCTGAAGAGGTATCAATAGCCGCAATGGAGCAGGGATGCAAAGCTAAAGCGGTCCTCGACAATGCGAACGGAATGGTCAACGGCAAGATCAACCGTCGTGTTTTTCGCGCTACAGACTGGTTCCTAGAAGAAAAATGTCTAAAGAAAAATATTACAAGCGCTTTTACTTTATATACTCACAAGTAGAAGAATTGTGGTGCCTAAACAATAGATTCATCTCGGCGTGGGGTGTTTCTCAACCAGCAGTGATGGACGTTAGCTCATAATACAAAATAAAAGGCCCTAATATTCCTTATATCATCTTGGACTATGGTATTGCATCACACAGCATAGCATAGCATAGCATAGCATAGCATAGCATAGCATCAAGAATATGCCGTACTTGTTAGCGTGAGTCTTAAACCGAGTCTGGGGTGGAGCGGGAGTCATTCTCACCAGCATAAAGGAAGCGGATGAGCAGCGGTGGGGGAGTAAACTCTGCGCTAACATTACCGCGCTTATTTTCACAGCGACTAGATGCAGCACAGCATGGAGAGCGAGCAAGCTTGTAGGTAGCTTCTAATTACGTACTGCACCCCGTCATCTCTAGAACCTGGCAAATGGTAATTTTTGAACAGATCCTTTTTCATTCTATTAGTGTACTCTTTGATTCTGGCAAGTGAAAAGTTGAGGTCCCCGTACGTCAAGCCGCTTCACCATCATTAAATTAACAATCGCTAATCTCAATAGTAGCCACTCTAGCCCAGCCGTAGACCCACAGAAAGAGGAATTAAGTGATACCTAATCTATCAGACTAAACACGCACGGAGCCGAAACAAGCAGCTGCGAACTCTCTGCAGCTCCCTCACAAAAATCGTAGCTCTGTCAGATCGGGGGTCCCGGGACCACAGAGCAAGTACACTTGCCTCTGGGTCTACTTCTAATTTAGGCCCCTGTTGGACGGTAGGAAAGAGAGAGGTTTGGACCGGTAGGCATGGTCAGATGTGGGAGCTGAAGAATAGAGAGATATAAATAGTTGGTGATCCGTTTAACGCCATGCTATTCCATTCCATGTAATAATGTACAGAATGCGCTGTGGGAATCTACGTATGCGTCGTTGGGTGTATAGAGGTCCATCATGTACGTATGTACAGTTACAATATGTACACAATAGCAAACCAGCCTACGCCTACGCTTGCGCCTCTTAGACTCCGAGTATTGTGTTGTATGCTCCGAAAAAGTGTCGACAGTAGCATCATGGCCCCGGATACCCGATCATATCGCGATTATCGTCAATAATCCGGCCATACCTATTCTCACCATTAGCTTTATTCTGCACCGCATTCGAGAAAAGGAAGGGGGTCCACATACTCAAGCAACAGTCTAAAAAACCACACTTCAAAATCCACATTCCTCAAGACCTTGCCGGCCCACTCCGAACTCCGTTCCGCGATCTCCCTCGCCTTTTTCTCTCCCACACTCTCCCCATTCCCGTCTTTCCTTGGCTTATCCCTATCCTTCTCCCTATTCCTATCCCTATCCCTATCCCTACCCTCCTTTCCCTCACCGCCTTGCCCATCCGCCGCCGCCTCTCTGTCCCCTTCCTGCACCCCCCCAAACCATCTCACTAAATCTAAATGTTCTTCACCCTTCAAACTCAACGGCACATAATGCACCCACGGCCTCAACCACTCCTGATGCCACTCCCTAAACACCGCCATCTTATACGTCAAACTCCTACTCCTCAAAAAAGCATAAAACCTCCCGCTAAACGCATTACCATCCATATCCAACAAATGCTTGAAGTACCACGCATCCTGGCCATCGGCCCTGGGGGCGATATTGAAGAATTCCTTTTGTGCGTCGCAGTCGCCAGGGTCACATTGCCCGATGTGGCTGAATTTGACGTCGATGAGGCGGGTGAGGGACTTGCGGTCTACATCTTTGACGACTAATTCTGGGGTTTGGGTTTGTGGGTCAGAGTCTCGAGGTGGGAGATGGGATTGGGATTGGGATTTGGAGACCAGGATTTTAGCTTTGGAAGGCGCGTTTAGGTTGCGTACGATGTGTTGACGGTGTTGGCGACGCCATCCTCCGCTTCGGCTGAAGCCGCCCGTCGTGCTGCCGCGCCAATACATGGCGTTTGTTTTATTCTCCCACGTTGTGTCTCTATCTTCATCGTAACCGACTCTGCCAAACCAGTACCACGGACTGGGATACAGGATATCCTGGAAACTACTGATTTTTGATTGGGAGAAGATGGGAGTTAGCTCGTGGACGATGTTGAAAGCGTTAGGACGCTCGAAGAAGCCAAAAGAGGAAGAGAAGGAGGGGGAATTGCAGATGTCGGAGAAGGCGGAGACGTTGTAGACGTAGTTGAGGGGGCCCACTGCGTAGGAAGTGAGATTGTCGGCGGGGGAGTCCTCGTAGTTCCTTGCTTGGCTGTGTTGGCTACAGGAGAGCCTGGAAACGGTCCAGGTCTGCTGATGTGCGAATCGATTGAACTTGGTTGTCTTCGCTTCCTCGAAGCGCCGGCCATCGTTCATATCGCTGGGTCTTGGCGAAAATGCGTTTTGAGGAGATGGGTTCCTCATTGCGTTCGGGATGTCGTGGTCTCGAGCCTTGGTTACAAGAAAGGAGAGTTGATCATGTGGCACGACGACGCGAGGTTCATCGTGGATGTTAAAGGCGAGGTCCATATCGGGGAGATACTGGACGAAATCCTTTATCATGCCGGTCGTGGCTTGTTGCTGCCATTCCTGTCCATTTTCAATCTTAACCACACTGCCATCTCGGATCATCATTCCAATCAAAGCATTCTCGTCGGAGCCTAGAGCAAGTCTCACGCGCGCCCTAATAGTAGAGGGTTTCAGAGCCCAGAATGGATACAATGAGCGGGTGATTGTGTCAAACTCGTCGATTAACTGGACCCCGTTCCTTGTTGCAAACTCGTACCACTTGTCGAAGTTTGGGGGGGGAGGAAACCCATGTCGGCGACGGTATTCCTGAACAGCCTCTCCCAGAGATTTGGATTGCCTATTCAACAAATCACCAAATCTCTTCTCGGCAGACTCAATCAACTGCTCGGCCGGATGGCCCTTCTTCAAATCCATCGGAACCGGGCTAAAAGGCGATTCCGGTGAGACAACACCAAAGGTAGATAGGTCATGAGTCGTAGAGGGATAGCGCCGCGCCCCGGATGCATATCGCAGAAAAAGGAAACCAAAAGACGCCGCCGTAACACCAAAGATGATCCGTCTGAGCCGTATAGAGCTCCGAAGATCGATGGATGATGAAGTTGAGGAAGTGGTCATGATTAGAAGTGCCGTAGCTGAATATATGACAGTAAACCAGAGGCCGGAAAAAGAGACGGCCAGGTGCAATCGAGCGCACATGTACGAAAACAGGACCAAGAAGGAAGTATGAACAGCACCCTGCTGAAAAGTCTGTAATAGCAGTCAGAAAGGGGATGGGTTTTGGAGCCTGATATTACGAAATGTTCCAATCGGGAAGGTACAAGAACGTTCCAGTTGGAAAGGGACAGTAAGGAAGGAAGGAAGTGAGCGATACGTACGATGAAGAAGAACAGAGTATTTACTATAACATCAACAACAATCATCCAAATGGAAATCTGGACCGTCCTACGATGTTGCATCGCCTTCCAATCTCCTGGCAACTGTCGATAGACGGGTTCCCAGGTGAAACCATTCGGTGTCATTGGCTCCACGAGATACGCAGCCAGTCCGCACAGGATAGTCATGATTGCCGCAACATCTCTCAAAGTGGCAATATGGTGCTCTCTCTGTGTGCCTTCGATTGGGTTGGGCCGAGAGAAGGTCCCATCGGCGGAAACAAACCCCCTCCTGCCAGAATGGTTGTCATCCTTGGAAGTCTTGAGCGCGCTTTCGAAGAGCACGAGGCCGACAGCCGCAAAGAGGACGCTACTTAGTCCGAGTGTAGTAGTCGGTGACGAGCTATATCGAGTGGAGAGGGCCGCAGCCGCAGCAACAGTGACTATAACCAACAGCCGGTAGGACCTTGCATGCGACTTCCTCTCGGAACCGGCGCCACTATCGGACGAGTCGTCTAGGGAATGGTAAGACGGTAGAGCGAAATGATGGGACCAAATCTCGCTCTCGGAGAGTAGGACCACGAGGAGCGGGAGCAATGCCTTGGTCGACCAGATGCCCTCCTTATCGCAAGCAGCTCTGTCACAAATCTGTGCAAAAGCCAGAAACCCTCCCGCCGCCCAGCTCGTGGCTTTCTTCGAGCCACCACTCCCACTCGCCCCCAGGCCCGCGCGGCATACCGCCGGTATCCATATCAGCGCCCAGGACACGGCCGTCACGAGCAGCGAGTGCTGCACGGGTGTGTCGACATTTGCGACGGTCGCGAGGACAGGGAAGAGCAGCGCAACGACGAGGGCCTGGTTCTTGAGGACATTCTCCGCGATCAGAGACACGGCCGGGTGCATCGGAGCAAGCCAAGAGTCTGCAGAGGTCAGCGGATATCGAAGGACATATCCTGAGGTGGGTGTCGAGGTGCAGGCTCGAAGAGTTAGGATGGAGGAGTTACCAGACAGCTCGATCGAAATAAGGAGGATCGGAGGCAAGGCTAAACTTGTCCGTGAATGGCTCGGCGGGGATCGACGCCCTAAACGGCGCCATGGACAGGGATACGGTGGGGTTGTTTCTTCACTCACCTCTTCAGTCTTTCTATCAGTCAAACAACCTTACCTCTATTTCTTTAAGCTATCTTCGTAATCCTAACCAGCCTTATAGACTATGAACCTCGTGCTCTTTGTGCTCATAGTTGCTACAAGTTCCTTTTCACTCCATTACGAATCCGTACTGTCAGTTCTTATCTAAATTTGAGATCCTTTTGCTGCTGGCGCGCTCCTCTGCACACTGATGACGGCGGGCTCTCCATTCGCCTGCTCTCTAAATTCACACCATATTACCCTTACTACTACTTTCTAACACGTTTAGGATTAGCAGTGCGCAACTTCCTAGCATAGTGGCGAAAACCTGTACATTCTAGACATTCCTGTAACCTTCCAGGAGGCACGAGTTATGAGAGTCATGTTTTGTGGACTGAGTGTCCGAAGAGCAAGGTGGTTTATATAGCGTCATGGCGCGCTAAGCTCAAGCTTGGCTAGGCAGCCCATCGTGGAGACTCCGGCTTACAATATCTAAAGGCGTAGTGCGCTGTCTTTCTGTGCGTTATTGTGTGCAAGGCAATGTCTATTCAACCGCCTGTACGTTTTTAGGGAAAGAAACAAGCTACAATTCATGTTAAAGAAATTAAGAAAAAATGGGTACGAGAGAGGTTTTGCTCTCTTGCTTGTGAAGTTGTAGGAACAGGAGACATGTTGACACGACTGTAGTTTGTAGCACAACAAAATCGGGTAAGATATACGTTGGAACAGAAGACAGCACTCGGGCGTAGGGCCGAAATATGATCTCTAGCTAAGAGCTTTCTAAATTACTACGATCATATAGATTTTGATATCGCATATTTGCCTGCAACAAGCCCAGCTTCACTAATCATCTCCCATTCTCCATTCTCAAACCCGACCGTTCCTAGGGTAAAGTCGTGAATAGAAGTCCAACCACCCTGTCCTGGGATTTCGAAACCGGTCTCCAAGTACTCAGCAGCCTCTACAACGTTGTTCCCGTGAACCACGATCTCCCTCATCCCAGTTTCCAGCACCAGGCGCCAAATGTTCCTTCTATGGTCTCCACTCCAGACAGGCTTCATGCGACATAATACTCCGGCTGTATAGTCAGCGCGGAGTTGAGCGTATGTATTCGCCTGCACAGGTTGTGAGTCGCACTCCAAAGAGCAAACTTCTTCAAACGAACTTACCAGACACTGGTTGAGCTTGGTCTGCCAGTTCAAATTATCACGAGTTGGCATAGTTTGCCACCTCCGGCAGATTCCCTGGGTTACAAAGGCCTTACGAGCCTTCTTGCTCATTTCCCAAGCAAACTGCCACTGGGCGCCTTCAAGATCTGTCCCCGCGAGGTCTGTCTTGGCGGGGAACCTATCGAGCAAGAAGCCGATCCTGTCGCTAAGATTGTCAATAGTCGTCTCAAATTGGCGGGTTGTCGGCAACGAGAAATTCGGAAGCTTCGATTGAATCGAATCCATCATCTCTCCTACGTCCTTTCCCTCGAACGCGTGATTGACACTCGCTACAGCGGCATCAGATAGAGTTTCCCAAGCCCGCCCGCAGCCCCCTTGCAACTTCCCCCAGTCCAAAGATCGAGCGCGTCGATGAACAATCGTAGTGGTCCTGCGCGGTGACTTGATATATGCCATTGCTTCAGCCCACCTCGTGCCATTTCGATCGGAGTCGAAGTACTCAGCCGGCGGAAACAACACCGTTTCCGCGGCGGGATTTGCGAAGAATGAGCCCAGGTCGTCGAATTCAATCGGAGAGGGTGGAGTGGTGTTAGAGTCATGCGACATCCGCGAAGGAGAGGTAGAACGAGAAGTCGTAACGCTTCGTGAAGCTACGGTGCTGCTGCTCGGAGAGGCAATATTGGTGTCAAATGGATGAGACGATAGAGGAGACATGCCTCTCGGGGGTGTGGCAAGACAACAGCGGAAATCCAGAACTTTTGACGTCGTCATGGTGTTTAGCGTTGTTGTGCTCCTCGGTAGGCAGGTCTTTCGGGTCAATTAGTCCGGTATAAGATGGAAGTGAAAAAGATGAGGCTATATATTCTTGGAAGAAAAATAAAAATGGTGAGCAGGGCTCAATGCACGGCTAAAATTGTGCAGTGACAATGTCGGTGAACGTCCTGGTGCTGCTGCCCTAGGAGTGAGAGAGATATGGCCTCAAACATATATTCTTCCGCGAGCTCGTCTGTGAATGACGTATTGAGCGCGAAGCTTCTTTGATGGCATGGCGGGAGGTTCTTGTAAGGGTTGGTGAGAGTGATTGGAGTGGGTGTTGTCAGTGATGGGGGTGAACGTGGTGAAGAAGGTTCGCTCGAGTCGCTCGTCCCTCCTCGAAAGAGCCAAGCGTTTGCGTCGCCCCAATCTTGTGTATGCTACACACCACGGCTTCAAATTCTCCTGTATATTGTGCTTTTAGACTGGCAGCTGTGGTATCATACTGTTGGGAGCGTTTCTTCGTCTCGATTCATCCATGTCGAGGGACTATTCTGAAGGACGTCACCGTGAGAGTGAAATTGTAAGGTTAGATACCCACCACTGCAGACACGCCTCGCCAGAGACTACGAATTGCACCCATGTTCATCGAATTTGAGCCCCGAGGGGCTGCATTCGCTACTCGTTTGCCTACACCTTCACCGACTTGAAGGTAGCAGCATCGTGAAAGGTGCCTTCACTAAAATGGAAGCTGCTCAATATAATATCCTCTTAGGCCATGCTTTGTGCTTCTCTTGGATTGTCCAAATTGTTAACCGCGGCCGTGGCCACGTATTTGTATGTATTCGGGGAGAGGCAGGGCCGCTGGGATCCTCAAAACGTGCAAAAATGTGACTGCTCCGTGAGCAAAATTCGCTTCAAATAAGAGTACACAATAGGAAATGATGACTACACCCGAGAAAGGAAAGGAGTCACAGTGGATTCCAGGTTTTAGGAGAAGGTCCTCGTGATCTAACATCGTAAACTGCATGGGTGATTGAAAAGGCATCTGGATAGAGGCGATCAAGTGTGATCATCTCTGATGAAAGTGAGTAAAAAGTTACAGGAGTACTTTTGAGGTGTGGCAATATCACAGAGAGTTTCGCTGAACGTCTGGTTACGCGTGCTCAAAGCGTCATGCTCCTTCGTTGTCGTCCGATGAGGCTTTTGTCGATTGGCCTTAACAGTAAGCGCCGTACTGTTTCCATTCAGCCAAGTAGATGAAGCGGTAATTTTATGACGACTTCTTTACTCCCTGTAATGGCATGCCTTCATTCAAATAATTCAGCTTACGCATCGAGGATAACCGGGGCGGGCGGTTCTCAGTAGCCCTTTCCAAGTCAAATTCAGTTGCTTGCTAAGTCTAAAGGCTGAAGGCGGGGTGGTTGATCCCAGTCAAGAGCGGACTGTTACAATCAGCAGCAGGAATTGACGCAAAAGTTAAACACTATGAAATTCACGTTAAGGGCGGTATTTATTCATGTAGAAAGCCAGCACAATCCCCCTTCATATAGCAATCCAAAATATACAGTGGATGTTGGGCGATTCGGCCTCAGCGCTCACTTCAGTCCTTTCGTTCCTCATCCAGTGCTCAGAGTAGGCATGACTAATGCCCACCCTTAGGTTTTCGTCTACGATTAGGATTCTGTCCACCAGCACTGCATCTCGAAGGATTGAGATGCACCAATGGAGGTCACTGGAGCGGCATGCACCGCTGACATCCTTCCGTGGTTCTCTAAACTACTGGCAGTGGTATGCATCCAGGAAGAGCCATGTTGAGCGGTGCGAGGCATGCCGTAGTGGAGTTGAACTTGTGCTGCTTCCTTGAGGTAGAAGGAGATGTGCCAGTTTGCCTTGAATCTCTGGCACAAAGTCGACCTCGGGATGCATACAACACGTGTTATGGATGCATGCCGTGCTGTCTCACGGTGCTTTGAAAGGCGGTGCGAAACTTCTAAGTGCATGGCCCCGTGGATAGGGGTACAAATCCTGCCGTTGCATATCACGGTCCATTTGAGTTTTCTCGCAATGCTTCAGTGAAGTATTGATATATGCTGAGACGGTGATGAACTATAACGGGGTGTGATAAGTTCTCAGAGACCTTCGCTACAAGTCTTTGAGACAACTCCGCCCTGAGAATTACTGTGGACCTCAACGGAACCCCACTTACCATCAATTGAAACGGCACCATCTCCATTACCCTCACTCTCATCTCGCAATCGGCCCTCTTCCCATCCCTTCGAGGTGATGAATCAATTGAGTATGAGAAACCGGGTACGTACCTCATGTCTCAACTCCCGGTGTGTTATAATACGTTCAATTAAGGTTTCTAGGCCCTCGAAAGATCATGGTCCAAGCTCCGGAGGTGCGCATTGGTTCATATCCTGACAGGAATGTCTGGCGAACTAAACTAAGGTGAGTAACAAGCAGTGGTGTCCGACCACGGTCAATTCGTCGGCAAAACTAGGATTTGCTCGTGTTTTGCTGTTGTAGGTAAAGAACGTTAAATTTTCGGCTAGTGAGAGTACCGACGGACGTGCCTTACCCCTGTCAATCCCTTCATCCTTACCCTGTGAAGCTCAGGCCGCAACCCTCAGGTACGTAATTGTGCCTGGAAATTGCTCACTTCTGCACAATGGCACCCCACTTCGGATGTTGAACCTTTGACAAAGTGAGGCGTTAGTTCGATTGTAGAAATAGCTTGATGGGCAAATGGGTGAGGGGATGGCGATCGATGACGGTCCGTTTGAGGAAAATGAAAAGTGATCGCGAATGGCGAGTAGATGAAGCACACCATGACAAAGGGAAGGTAACTTGCCACTCCCGAGGTTGTCAGGCTCGCATCAATGGTTTGTGGTGCTGGGCTAGGCTGTCTTGTAAAGATCGTCGATAGGCCGGAGCTTCAGTGTCCCTGTCAGGCACGGGAAAACTTGGCTTCGCTGAAGAAATTGATCCTTGGCAAACGGCAAGGAAGGTAGCAACATCTTTCATCCATGGCCAGAATGCGCATTGTGATGAATTGTGATCGGGTCGGCACGATTGATAAATGTCAGCACCTTGATGCTGTTGTTGGAAACTGTGCTTGGGGGTTTGGAACTGGTCAATGGATAAATGCACCGGACTTCGGATCACTTCCTCGCGGAACTAGTGTTCGTCATGGAAGTCGCGAAGCCGTGATAGGGAGGGACAGTACATCATCCAAAGTACCTCAACCGAGATTCATCACCAAAACAACGTCTCAGGCATACGAATCCGAGATGAGGATTGGTTAGGGTGAATTCGGATACTCTGCTTGAAGTACCTCGCGAAACGGGTGAGGGTTGAGCAGGCGACGGGTCGCAAAATGCGTAAGGCTGGGAGGCAATAACGGGGATATTGTTGGCTTCGACGGGGATTGCTGATGCATATTTTCCTATCGTTATCAGCGGCGTTGGTGCTTCGAATAGCAGTGCACACTGCACAGCAAATCTGTCGAACCCTGTCACTCTCAACGTGCAACGGGGATCTCCATGCTAACATTAAATGTCCGGCAGCTGTCAACGTATGTTTCTTGCAGTAGTGCTTCTCACTGCTCTATACAAAAATGACTATCGATAGAAAACAGGCCTGAAAAGGGAACTAGGGCGAGTGTGCACAGTGCGCGGCGTCCCACGGCGATATTATTTTCTCCCCAGCCGGCACAATCTCCGCGACGTTGACCTTCCTTTGTGCTTTAGAGGGATTAGTAACACTCGTAGCAAGCTTGGATATCCGTACCTGAGGCACTTCCCGAGCCCAGGAATAACTTCGGCGAAGTTGGTTGTGGATTCTTAGTTGCAAATAGATTGATCCAAGAACAGACATGCATACTGCTTTGTTCCGATTCCATTTCCGCAGATGGTAGGTAGTGAGCTAATGAATCTTCCCCCTTTGTTGTAGTCGGGACAGGGTTGTCATTTCTACTCTCATATGTATTGATGGCGGAGGAGTGTTGAAAGAGTCTACACTAGGATTCGCCGGTTTTGGAAGAGGTGTTTCGTACCTGGCGGCTCATCCATCAATCGAGCCGCCGGTCGATTCGGCTACCTTTCGAACGTCGTCCTTGAGCTCTGGTATAGCCAGTATGATATCCTTTGCAAGTATGTCGCGCATCTGGGCATAGGCCTCGCTGCGACCCTTCAGCATCTGGTTCATCCTCTGAGTTGTCTCGACTAGCTCGCGGGTATAGATGTCAGGATTCCGCGCCTTTTCGACGTAGTCGGTAACTTCGGGGGGGATGTCAATGTGGACTGACGGGGCCGCTCGTGAGAGCTTGACGAGGTTCTCGATGAGCGACTGGCTATAGGTTGAGTTAGCTAACGCAATTTTAAGCGATGCAATGGAGGATAGGAGTAAGGTACATTTCTTGCTTCATAGCCTCCTGAGTTGCGCTGCCCTGGTGCTCGAGACCTTGCACAATGAGGTTGTAGAGGCTCTGCACAATAGCCTTCAATTGGGTTTCTACGAGCTTCAGTTTTTGCTGCTGGTCGTCAGAAACCTCCATTTTCAGCAGATTCTCGGGAGCCATTGTGCCTGATGTGTTGAGAGGGTGAGGCTGACAGGTGGGGGGTCCGTGAAAGTGAAAGTGCAGGGGGTGAGTGCGGGGCGCTAAGAGTTTCTCGGCTATACGTTATTCCATCCCCGGACGCTTCACTGGTCCTGCGTCATGGTGTTGACTCCAGCTCAAGTATTACACACCCCCCAAACTACGCAACTGTCATTACTACCGCGTAGCGCTACGCGCCCTACTTGCTACAAGTCTGCCTGGCCACGGCAAGCAACAATGAACAACCATCGGCGATGACTGAGAGCACTCTTCGAGAGGCCAATTTCCCTCAAGTGAAGCCACCGACCCTCCGAACTGCAACCCCATCTGCGCCGGAAGGACAAGGAGGAAACCTGCAAAATAAACCCCGTGCGACGGGTGCAACACGCCCGCCTGAAACACAAAAGCCCTCCCCTGACACTACTTCCGATAAGGCGACAGCTGCCTTCATTCGACGTACTCTCTGCGCTCACAATGTGCTCCTTGGAAATGGAGAGAAAGGACGGAATACCCCGCGCCCGATTGACGAAGTACTACCGCCGTTGACAAGCTCCAACGAGGTTGACCTCCAACTGTACGCCATCATCGCAGTAATTATCAAAGAATTCGTGCAAACGTGGTACTCTAAGATCACGCCCGACCACGTATTTGTGAATGAAGTGATTCAGATCATCGCACACTGCACTCGGGCCTTAGAACAGCGACTACGTAAGGTGGATTTGGAAGCGGTTATTCTGGACGAGATCCCTGGGCTTATTGAAGCTCATGTGAGCGGTAGGTGGTCCCATTCCCCGGAAGGCATGAAGACGATCTATGAAACGGCCTGATTGATTTCCCAAAGCGTTCCGCCTCGCACAACAACAGGCCCAATATCACCATTCATTAGTTTCAGACCCTCGTACTGTCTACCATACGCTCCACCCACACCCTGCACTCTCTCCTGTTCCCTCCGAATACGTACCATCAAGTGTGGTCGAGCAGCGGGAAAATGAATCCGTATGGCGCCAACTGCTAGTCCAGGGCGTGTTAGCTGTGCTGCTACCCACCGAGGATCTTGAGAATGGATGCCTGCGGGCGCTGGTGGCGGAAATTTTCGCCGAGATGATACTTGGGAACGGCATCAGCGACAAGGCTTGCGAAGGATGGTTGTTGTGGGAAGCCATTACGAGGATCGCCGAAGTCCTACAGGACGCGTCTAAAGGCGCAGACTCCCTATCGAAAGATGCCCGGCGAGCGCCGGAGCAAACCCTGAGTCGTCTCGAGCGCTACGGATTGCTGGCTCCATCATCCTTGGGCGGATCGACTGAGCCTGGAAAGCCACTGTTACCCAACAAGCGACGTCATGGGGGAGGGCCGTGGTCCACCATGTTTTGGGTCGTGGTCCAATATGCATTTTTGGCGTGTAATGCGATGCGCGCGGTGATCATAGGATTTGCGACATCTTCGTCTTCCCCTCCGAGATCTGGCACAGCAGCTAGCGGGCAGTCACCCGTTGAGGCAAGCCGCCAATCGCATTTGCCGCACATGGAGCATCCGACTTCGAGGCGCCCCCTGGCGTTGAAACGGCCTATCGTAAGCATGAAGTTGTGGAGCTGCACGTCGCGACTTATTGGGCTTGAGTTGCGCATGCCTTGGCTCTCAGGCTGCCTCTCACTGCTGCACTGGGGAGTACTGGCTGGGCCTGGCAGGGTGGGTGACACTGACCATGTATTGGACAGGTGAGTGACAAAATCCTTCTCGTCTTTTTTCTGGTTGGTTGGCAGCTCTCACCCCCCCAATTTCGTGCAACGTATGCTTTCCACCCATCCCTTAACTGCAGGACGCCCTGCATCGACTTTCGATCACTTGACCTGGACGCCAGCGAATGCGACGGCCCGTAGTCTCTCAGACACAGTCACCCTGTGCCGGCGTGCATCGACTGCTGCAAGCCCCGGCACCCGTTCCCGGGCGGTAAGTCGAAGCGTCTCATGCCCAGGCCGCCCTGTTCTTGGCGCGCAGTGGCCCCTTTTCTCCCTCGGGCTCAACACCACCAGCCTGTCCACCACCCCGCGAGCGGGCACTCTTCGGGACTGACTTCGCAGACCTCAACGCCGTTCACGATACACGAGGTCGGACACGGGACGCCAGCCCTGCGCCGTGAGGGGAGGCCTGTTCCGTCTTATCGTGGCCCCATCCTTTGCAGATGTCCCGCTTACGCGCCCGGTTGATCTGCCCAACTGTTCGTCTTGCTCGGGACTGGCCGTGGTCGCAGGCGCAACTTAGCTGGTCGCGAATGCTGTCCACACGACCCAGACCGCCAGAGGAGTGCGCCTCATTTTTGTCGACGGCTGATTCGGTTCACGACGTGCGATATCGCTGCCCTCCTTCTCAACATGGCGGACCTGAGGGGCTCTCTCGTGGCTGGCGAATGCATGCTCGGCATTAGTGCAGTATTCAACGCTATTTGATCACTGCCCCGGATTGGCCTCCATTATGGGACTCTCTAGAACCCAGCAAACAATAATCTTGTGCCACGATGAATGCGTCCTGTTCAATCTACGCATGCTATTTGAGCGGGCTTCACATGCTGCAGATGTCCTGGACACTGTCTCCTCATCCTCGAACAGACTCGACAGGAGCGTCAGGAAAGACGGCATCGACGCCTCACTTCTACCACCTTAGGAATCTGATGGCCAGATCGATTAGTGTTTTCCAGCTTCGCTTGGTTTCGCACGTATCGCATCCCAGGTTTTGGCACCGTTTCCACGATATCTCACTTTCTGCAGCCGTAAAATTTTATTCGTCGTCTGACTGTAGCGACCCACCCATCTAGATTACACAGCAGACATTTTGCATCATTTCGGACCAATCAGATAGCTTTTTTGACACTGAATTTTCAGCATATCCGACGAAACTAGTCAAGCTGATTTTGATTCCTTAGGTTTCTATCTCACACCATGCGAATGCATGTCCTGAACCCCGCCTTCGTTCCCATCCTTCTCCGCACTGTCCGCGCGACCCTCTTCCCAAACAACACTCTCGGGCCCCCACGCAAGACGCCCAACGTTGAAGAGGCTAGGCTCATTAAGCGCCGTTGTGCAGCCACGTTATTGGGCTTGCTTCCCGGTAGTGTGGCAGCTATTTTCTTCGCGAGCGAGAATAGCGCGCTGCAAATGGTGCAGATGGAGGAGTTGCTCGAATGTCTCGACGATGCTTATCTCAACAAACACCTGATCTTCCAAATTGTAGAGTTGATTGTGGTAAGGTTGGTGCCGGAGCTGGGGGAGAGAGGGGTAAGGGAACTGCTCGAGGAGCGGCTGGGTTAATCCTGGTTAAACTTATTTTTTATTCCTACCGTGGAAATGGTACGGCGTCAGCTTTTTGCCTATATGTGGTGTTCTTTATAGGGCTTGCTGCTGGGTATCTGTTGCGTCTTTTGGACTCATCGAACGGCGGTGCATAAGCCATATACAGCATGTTCCGCAGTTCTGTTCTGATGTGAGGTCAGAGCTCCGCGCATGTTGGGTGGACAAAGCTCAAGCTACTTCACCGCCAAAGACCTTCACCGAGATCTTCGCCTCACTCACTCGAAGAGCGAGACAAAACACTTCCCGTATCGCAGTGGCACAGCGATTCGCCTCGGAGCGAATCGAAACGAATTACCGCCTGTTAGAATCACTGGGCTCGTCTCCCCCTATTGTTCGCAGATCTCTCCGGAGCGAACGACAGAACCGATTGTTTCAAATTCTGGAGGGCAAGATTGCAATTGGCTACATCGCAAAGAGAAATGCAATGCCCATTGGCCGCGCAAACATGCATCCGCATATCCCTCAAAGTAAGGGCATATTACAGCGCATACTGCGTCTGCGGCAGGCAGGTACCACACCGCAATGTTGGAACTTGGGCCAATAAGTCTTCACATATTGCTTGATTGCTGGATGGGGGACGTATGGAGGGATCCTGACTGCATCTCGTGTTGAGCACCTGATTGATGGGTGATGCAGATACTGAAGGAGGGGTAGTTGCTGGAGTACTTTGAGGTTCTTGCAAGGCGCTGTACACCGTATGTCGGACCGTGGAGGGGGCCAGTGTCCATGTCCTATTTGCGGAGGATCTGGTTCATTTTGGCGCGTTGACCGTTGCCCTGCTGCAGGAATGCCGTGTTAGGATGGAGCAGAATGAACCACATTTTAAAGCTTCGGATTTGCGGTACGTGGATGTGGTTAGTTGGAATCTGGCTGAATGAACGAGGTTGGATACGAGGACCTGCTGGGCAGTTTCTGAATGTACCTTCCTGTGCGTAACAAGAAGCTCGGGCACTCCGGACGCATGTCATTCTTTGGCATTGTCGATGCTTTTACCTTACTAGATTTGAGAGAGCTTGGGGAACAGAGTGGTCTTTGTTAGTGGAAGCAACATAATAGAAAGTGAGGCCTTCCAGAGGATTCTTTGCCTCCTTCGAATCGTTACGACCGGACGCATGTCTGACTTCGGAGAATGAGGCGTTGAAGGAGCCGGATTCTGGAAAGGTTGCACAAGACATGGGGTAGTATTCTGAATCGTATGGTGTTGGTTGTGTGTCATGAAGATGGATCGAGCCCTTGGTCTTGGATATTGGTGGAGAGCTTGTTCGGAGGAAAGCCGGAGCACCACTGGGTGCGCATCTCTGAAGGAGGGTCTGCCACGATCGTTCGACTTGAGATGCATACTATGGTACTCATCTGCCATTGAGAGATGGGTGACCTTGACAGTTCTCGGCGAGGTAATATGAACTTGAGTAACTTCCTCCAAGTAAATTAGGCCAAACTTCGTCTCCAATGTCGAGATCATGACATCCCCATCCGATCCATCGCCATCTTCCATGCACAACCCCACATTCCGAAACTGCTTGCTCCCCTCCTCGCCTCGTATCAGCGCCTTATGGTTCCAGACTTCAAGGTTTGGTTGCCATGCCCCACACTGCAGATATGGCGACAAGAAACAATGTTTCAGATTTAAAAAACAAGCGTCCGAACGTTCAGATGACCTCATGCAGAGCCTGCGCACTAATCCAAGTCTCTGGCTCATCAAATGAGCAGAAAAGCCATTAAGGTTCATGATTTTGTAGATACGGGACCCCACTTTTCAGGCACGCCATGATTGCCCTAATCATACCAGCCTATCTCGAAAGCCTTGGATAACGGGATGTACCTGCCATGAAAGAAGAAAATATGCGCTTCTGAGGAGAAATACGCCACACGTCATCAATCGCGGAAAGAAACCAGTTTTTCGTTTGGCGTCCGTCTCTCGCCTTTCGAAAGAAACTAAACGTTCGCGTGCCAGGCGAGCGAGAGGCTTGATGCAGGAACCGATAGGTCTCACTCACTCGTTCCAACCCGTTTCCCTCATCTTCAGCTCAACTTCTGCTTAAGGACCTGTGTACCGAACCCCATGATCCCTGACTCTTCCCTCCGCTCGCGTGTCGATCTATGATCTTCTTTAGTTCACGTTTCCTTGCCATGTGCTTTTCCCCATGGAAATGATAATCAGGGGCCGAACCGCTGCCTCAGGTATCCACTAAAGCAACAAGCGAGGTCGCTGCCGAGCCCTCAGAAAATAACCACAGCAACAACACCAGAATGGTGGTAGATTTTTACATGAATGAATATTCTCCCTGGAGCATGCCCATCTCGGGGCTAGAAAGTACGACAAAGAATCGCACGACTCAGTTCGCATGGAAAGCCGGGCAAACGGCAGCCCCGGAGATGTATTTCCTGTTTTAGAAGATCTCCAGGGTGGGCTTCTGCGTGTGTGTGTGTGTGTGTGTATGTGTGTGTGTGTGTGGGATGGAATGGGGGCCCCCCATAGGCGTAACACGTGTCATCCTCCACGCTCACCTCCACGCCCACCTCCACGCTCAAACGCATGAAACGCCACTTCCGCTGCGGGGAACTGGGTGTGGTGGTGGGTTTCCAATGCTCTTTTGGTCGTTTCTGCGAAATGAAGGCTGATGGAGCTGATGAGAAACACCGCATCGCATGAATATCGAATTATACTTTGGGGCATGAAGGCAATATTGCAATGAAACGGTTTCATTGCCATGAAATGGGAGAGCCTCCTAACCCGGTAATGCGAGATGAAAATAGTTGCGACTTGCCTCCTGAATTACGAATATGTCGAATGAGCGGAGGTGAAGTGTGTACCGATAGAGGAATTGCAGCACAGCTGAGACTCTCTGAGCATCAAAGCATCAATACTGACTACCCGTACGAGCCCAGGATGCTGGAATTCAATGTTCCTTGAATGGAGGATGCAGTGCTCATGCTCATATGCTTACTGCAGCTTCGCCCGTTCGGCCCGTTTGCGCTCTGCAAGGGCCCGTTGGAAGTGCAGCAAATTGGACAAGCAATGGGCGTTTAGAGGCCTGATACTGACCGGGGTGGCAGAGAGCAGATGGATTCCGTATGCCCTCCTACGGCGTGGTGTGGCGAAGCAGTATAACACTATAGCAATATAGCAAGCTTCTCTCACCGTTCGCCCCTGAATTAGAGGCAATAACTAACGCACTGATGTGCTGAAAGTGCTCCGAGCTAAGTGACGAGGCACAGTCATAGTATTTGAGTTTGAAGAGAGAAAAAAAATAAAGTCAAAACATAGCTGTTCCGTCATTGGTGGTTCTTTTGCGCGGAGCATAAGCCGGCACTTTCAACTGTCCCTGAATTTGCAAAAAGACAAGCTACTCTCAGGCTTTCAAACCACAGAAGAGATAAAACTCGTATGTTGATATACTTTTGGAAAAAGGATTACCAAGTCTAGTGGCAGGCTAGTTGCACCCAACACTTTCTCCCGCTCCCTAAAGATTCGCGCAATATAACACCAGCCCCAAACAAGCTGGCTCGGCATTCCCTTTTGGTGGCACAAACACATCATCCACGGTGGTCAGTTCCACAGCATGAAAGTCACATCACATGACTTCAGCCTTATCTCATCGTCCATCCTCTACACTAGTCTCGCACGACAAAGCATGCCATCTGGCATTCGCTGCACTCCGAACGTGCACAGATTCCACAGAGAGCCCAGTACATGCTACCCTCACACAAGCACAGAAGTAATCATTTTTAAATAGCCCCTGATGCTGTGCACGCGCACGCAAATAGTCTACGTTAGCAACTGCAACGCTCGAAGCTTGAAACGACGTTTCGCTAGAAACCACATCAGCATCGTCAGTTGCATCGTCATCAACCACCATTAGAGGCACGAAATATGGAATATGCCGTCCGTTGCGTTTCCACACTTCCAAGACTGTTGGACTAGTTACCCCCGCATGATCGTAGTGATCGCTCATCAACGACCCTTCGCTGCAACCTAGCTACATCAACAGGTGGACAGGCTAGTTTCGCGTCTTGTTCTGTAACTTGCTCCAGCTGGCCATGATAGCCTAGCCACACCCATCCTCCTATCAATCTCGGCACAAAAGCAAACGAAGCCAATGCCAAAAAAAAAACCAACGCTCTAATCCCGAAAGCATGAGCCCACATGAAACAATGAAACATTGCGCCAGTCACCTCGCTTTTCTGAAGACCGTGCTCATTCTGCTTTGCGCCTGCACTGACCTGATTTGACGGGCCAGAGTACCCGCAATGCTCGCTCTCGATATATCCCCGGAGCTAGACGCGAAGTAGTTAGACGCTTTGCACACAAGCCAGTGTCCAGACGAGTTGGGAAAAGTACCGGTGTGAGACGGGTGAGTTGCAGAATCGTGACCTTCCTGGAGGGCAGAGCCTGGGAACTGGGGACAAGGCAAGTCAAGGCAAGATTAAGAGGACCGTCTCTCTGTGATCTGTGAGCTGGCATCACGCAAACTTGTCTCCTGGTTAGACTGGCTTTTGGTAGCATGGCCCTGGACGGCAACTTCCAGGGTGACTTTCTTGCCAGTGCCAGTGCAGTATCCGTATTACCAGGAAGCTGGAAGCTGGCTGTCTGAGAGCGGTGCGAACGGGCGTTACCCTCCCTTCCGCGACCTCCGCAACGGCGAGACGCGGAAACCAGACGAATATCATCCAAGGCCGTTAATCAGGGCGAATTCCCAGAAACACTTCTGTCGCATATCAAATTGATTGCAATTGCATTTTTTGCTGCATGCATGAGTTCTAGGTATCCCTCGCAGCGAGTGATTGATGTCTGCGTGCATTAGCTACATGTGCCTCTGCTCCTGCCACAACTACCAAACTCTCTCACAGACACACATTTGCATAGAGTGAAGAAAGGGAGATACTGCATGTAGATGCAACCGACGGAATATGAGGCTTTGATTCACGGAAGAAATTAACATCCTCTCGATGTTCTATCTAGCTCCAGCAGGAGGGTTCAAAGATCAAATCCACCCGGTCATGTTCCGTGCTATGCGATAACAAGCTGGAGGGCAGCTGTGAAGGGGGTTGAACACTGTCCCAGTAGTAGATCTCCCTTTTACCCAGAGCCCCTCTTTGTCTCGCCTCTAGTGCACTGAGCGTTGATGAAGCACGCCCGACACTATCCCAGGCCGCATCGCTTGCCAATCCCACCGCTGCGCCATTCCCCTTTGCACAAGACTGTATCAAAGACACGCGAGACGAGACAAGACATAAATAAAAGTGAAAAAACGGGACAATACGGCCACAAAAACAAAAGTTGCTCATCAAACCAGGCTCCGGGCTCTTCGGAGCTCGGGAAGGGTGGTTATATCAGACTCAATTAAGAATCTAGTCTGAGGGGGTGAAACGATTGCGTGAATTGAAACCGAACCCGATCATAAGCGTCCTGAGACATAACGTATGATAGTGGCAAACTCAGCAGTGGCGCCAGTTCTGAAGATTGGAAGAAAGAAGTACAGCAATACTTGCCCGCGCGAGCGGTTACAGTCTTTTTGGAGTGATGAGAATCAAGATTCACATGCTCGGAGGGTATAAAGGCAGCCGTCAGCGAAGGGAAAAAAGGGGGAAAATAGTAAGACAGACAGAAATAAGAAAGGAAATTCTCAACCGGGCGTACGGAAATGATGATCATGCTAATGATGCTAATGCTCGAGTGCTCGAAAGTCCGATGAGGTGTCCAAAATCCCGCAGCTCCAATATCGCCTATATCCTGTTCCAAAACATATCCTATGCCGAATGTACTTAAATTCTTCCATCTGCCATGCCTCTTTGGACCAAATCCTACACTTCCCAGTCTAATTCCGGTAATGGGTACCAGGAGACGCGTGCTCGCGAAGGAAAATGTGCGTCCATTGTCTTGAACGTTCAGGAGCCTGGAGTCGTCAATCCTAGGCCTCTTCAAAGGAACCCCCTTCCACTCCCAAACAAGGTGACAACTGGCCGTTCAGGATGAAGAGTTCATCGTATCGAGAGAGTTCTCAACCTTGTGGACCATCCCAAAATCCGGCTCTGACACACGGCGCATTCCTGACGGCAAGCTTGGAGAGCTCCGGTTGAGTTTGAGCTTCTCCATGAGCTTGCCAATCATAACATACTCTTGAGGTTCAACAAATCCGCTCGGTTGTTGCTGGAAGAAACTCATAACGAGCTCCAATGCACGACGCGCTTCTTCCTGAGACGGAGTAATGGGCGATGTAGTATCCATTCCTATTGAAGTTGATTGCGATAGAGACTGCTGCATCGGAATGCTAACCGGAGGGACCGCAGGAACAGGAGGCGGCTGCATCGTGGCAGAAACCTGGGTTGGCGATGCTTGCATCGCTTCTTCAACGGCGGCCAGGGATGGTCGCACATCACCCATGGGAGACTCAAGCGCCGTGCTGTGAATATACTTCGGTGTTAGGGCGTCGGACGAGGGTGGTGGCGACATGTACTGCTCCACGCCGACAAGCATCGGGAACGTTTGGCTTCGCGGTCGCTGAAAATTGCTGCTTCCAGGCTGTCCTCTGGCTTGCTGATGTCCAATAAAGGGGCTCGTTCCGCACGCTGAGTCGGGAGTGAAGAAGGGCGATGTGGGACTAGTAGCCCCTGCAGAGAAAGACGACGGAGCGGTGTCCGTAAACACGCTCGAAAGTGATGTGTTACTCTGAGAATGAAACGGCCGATGATGATTTGAAAAGTCATAATTGTCAGGGCTTTCTGTCTTGAGGGAGAGATTCTCCTCGCTCTTCTTCAGGGTGATGGGCGAGGGGGACGCTACCCCGCTCGGCGATGTCGGTGAGATGCCTCCAGGAGTGTGTGCGTTTGACGGCGGGTTCGAAGTACCTTCAGATTCCTCTGCTATTGAACTCTTCCTGGATTTCGCACCCATGAGATTATTCTTTTGCTTAAATTTCTCGAGCCAGCTGGCGCTGTTCGCCTTCAGATGGCTCTCTGAGTTGCCCACTGTAGTCGCGAAGAATTTGGCCTTCTCTCGTATCATGGCATCATTTAAAGGCAGGCCTTGTCTCTGATGGTTTCGCGCCCAGTTCGAAAGTGCCCTCTCAATGTCAGGAAACTTGCCTTTGGACCTTTTGATGGGTGAACGGCTTCCGTCGTCCTGATACAGATACTTCTCTTTCTGGCGCAAGACCTTCGAAACGGTACTAGACAAAATCAACAGACGGACATTTAAGATTGGATTGCATCGCAGTACCTTCTCTCCACACCGAACATTGCTGGAGGAGTGTTAATGAGCTGCTGATATTGGCTCAGAGAAGCGATAGAGCTTACCTCCGATCTCAGTCTGCTTTACTGTTGGATGCTCTTCATGGTAGAGACACATTCGCCTGCGATCCGAATCCGTCAGGGTCTTCCGTGGGGTGGATGAAGTGTGCGATCGGGTAGATGTCGCTGATACTGGGGTTGCGGATGCCGGCGTGATGGGCACCGGTGCTGAAGGGAATATGGGAGGAACATAGGTCGACTGGCTGGTCAACATGCTCGGCCATTGGGGCATAATCAAGGGTTGGAGTTGCGGATGAGTAGTCCTAGGTGGGTGCATGCCGGTGGTATAAAGCGGTTCCATGGGCAGCGGGGCATAGTTGTTGAAGCCATTGTAGTCTTGCACGGGCGACTGGTGGTGGGGATGGCTGTATGTGTTAGTCTCGGCCCAGTTCGAGTTGCTGTCGTCATAGGCCTGGTCCTGGTGGTGGTGATGCTGCTCGTGGTCCATTTGCAGCTGGCTCATGGCGAGCTGCGGTGGCTACGGGTGGGTGATTGGAACCTTGATACAAACTATCCGTGCTATTGTGGGAGCGTCCGTGTTAGATCTTCAGTGATGCGGGTCGCAAGGCGGGCATTTGCGTCTTCCGGCGTGTTCCTGGGCGTGAGTGACCTCGCTGTCCGCCGCGCGCATGCATGCATGAGATGGGCGACGGTTCCTGAAGCGACAGCGGTGGTTCCGCGACGGCCTTTTGTCAGCAGTAGGCGGCGCAGCGGGGACTAAAAGAGGCAGAAAACGAAACGAGAATGCGGCTTGGGTGCGGCGATGATGGCTGAACTGGAGAATCTGGAGACTGCAGGGCAAGCGTTGCAAGTTTCGGTCTGCAGACTGCGAGTGTACTTGAGGATGGCCTGGAGGGCAGTGGTAGGCTAGCGGATGCTTCTGCGGGACCGGTTGTGCAGAGACGGGAGCCTCTGCGGGACGGGTCCCCTGTAGGAATGGGTTGTTTCGAGCCCAAGGATGGCCTGGGATGTCGGGGGGTGCATGCGGCGGGCCTGGCGTGTGCATGCGCTGCCCTGGCCGAGGGCGCCCCCGTCGCTTGGGGGTCGACAGCGTTAGTAGCGCCAGGACGTGGGCCAGAAAGGCGGCCGCAGTCCTCCAAGTCCCCCCTTGCACACCTACGCACGCCTGCATCTGTGCATCTGCCCGGCGGCAAATGGGAACTCTAGGCGATTTCGCGCGGCCACCGTCCCTTCGAGCTTTGCGGCCTTTGCGGGCCATAGGGAGGATAATCCATCTGACCCATCATGGCAGCGCAGCGCACTGCTCGACGGCCGGCTAATCTAACGCTGCCAAAAGCGGATGCGGCCAGAGTGGCTGCTCCATATTGGCACAAGACAGAGGACTCGTGCGCCTGTGTGCAGTGTTGCTGGCCGTTGCCGTGCTCTGGTGGCGTGCAACCCCAATTCACCACGGCTCTTCCCAGCCGGCCTGGCGATGACCGCAGGCGCTGCATAAAGGAGAACGACTGTCCGAGTATCGTCGCTGCCCAGAAAGTGTCGAAGGGCTGAAACGTATACGGAAAAGATGCAATGGCGCCCTGGCAAATCGAGCCACCAGAGACATTTTAGGTTTGACCGAAGAGCCACTCAGGCCCGAGAGAGCTGGCCGGCTGCCATGTCCAGCGAGCGATAATTAGCGCTCCGATGACAGCCAGTGCTCTGAGTCGGGGCCTTGCTCATCGCTCGACCGCACCCCTGTTGTTTTTCTCCGACTCGACAACTGTTGTGATCAATGGACCAATGAAACAACCCAATATCAGGAGCGAGGGCTTGAAAGCGATCGTCGTATTCCCTGAGGTTCCGAAATAACAATATGGAAAAACAATGTTGCTGAGACCGTTCCAATAGCCACCACCGACTCACGTTCAACGACGAGGCTCTCGCTGAGATGTGCCTCTTCGGGACGCGGTGGACCACCTATGAATGATCTGCCTGTCTGTTTCGAAGAGCACTAGTTCGAAGCGGTCGTCGAAATGGCCTGGCGAATGATTGATCCGATCCGCTGTGTAAGCTGCTCTGGCCGAAAATAAACGTGCTGATGTCGTTGCAATACTATTGGTACCGCGCCACGGCCAATCCAACATTCCATGCCGACCATTGAGCTCCGCCTTGCTCGCCTTGACGTCCCATGACACCATCTAGCTCTGATACGAGAATGAGACACTCAAAAGCCATCCTTTTATAGCCCCCTTATTGCACCATTCAGATCCCGTTGCGGGGGGAGTAAGACGTACATACACAATGACTCGCCGAAGACGCTGTTCCGTCTTCACGACAGTGTTACCGCTTGATGATAGTGACTGGATATGATGTAAGCGACCGAGATACACTATCTCGGGAAATCAGACTTACTGATGTCTTCATCGGCAAGCTCATGAGCCAGTCCCACCCGCTGTGGCTGATGTTTTACAGACTTGCCATACACGATGGCTTGCTTGAATTGCTCAACAATCGTCTTGTGGATCGAATTGCACTGCCGTGCCGTTAGCGGCCAATATATCACTCTACCCGACGAGCGACCTACGAAATCTTCCACCGTACAAGCCGTCGACCTCAGCACGACCGGGGCGGAGTAATCCGGCGTCTTTCCCTTGGGCTTCGTGTAGACTCGAACCAGATTCAGCTTTTCCCACATCTGTTCGAGCAATTCATCAACATTCCAGCCATGCTCTGAGCTGATAGGGCAAGCATTCGGAATTCGATATAACAGGTCCAGCTCCTCGATCGATATAGCATCAATCTTGTTCAGCGCGTAAATCACCGGAATGTAGCTTCGACTCTTCGCCTCCAATACATCGATCAGGTCGTCAATCGTCGCGTCGCAACGAATCGCGATATCCGCAGATGCGATTCGATACTCATTCATCACGGCCTTTATTTCATCATGATCAATGTGTGTTAGAGGGACCGTCGAGGTGATGGCGAGCCCCCCTTTGTCCTTCTTCTTGAACACGATGTTCGGGGGACTCTTGTTGATTCGAATTCCAAAACCTTCCAGTTCTTGTTCAATGACACGCTTATCTGTCAGAGGCTTGTTCACGTCCAGAACAATAAAGATCAAATGGCACGTCTTTGCTACCGCGATAACCTGCCGACCACGACCTTTACCATCTTTCGCGCCTTGAATAATACCGGGAAGATCAAGGATCTGGATGTTTGCACCATTATACTGGACTTGGCCAGGGACAGTAGTGAGCTACAGGAGGGTTAGAAAGGCCATGAGAGAGAGTTTCGGTCAAGTACCGTTGTAAATTCGTATGCGGCGGCTGTATACACGTCAGTTTCGCGAAGAAATGGCAGAGAATCAAGCTAGACGCAGACCTTCGGAGTGTTGACCGGTCAGTCGACTCATGAGTGTACTCTTCCCCACTGAAGGAAAGCCAATGAAGCCCCTAAATTCAATTTAGTAAATGAATAAAGGTGTGCGAACTCATGCTGAGCATACACACTGGCAACACCAGTTCTTGCCACATCAAATCCAACTATCGCTATGTAAGCCAGCTATCTGAGTCGTTAGCAAGTCGTGTTTTACCTCCCCCTCCTCCACCACTAGACGTAGGTGTAAGGAGCTCCCGCTTCAGCTTCGCAAGCTTTGCCTTCAGTTGTCCTGTTTTTATGAGCACTAATGTACCCGATCTCGATTGCCACTCACGTACCCAAATGAAATGACGTAGCCTTGTTCTTTTGTGTCCGGGCCATCTAGAGCAGTATATCAGCCATGGGAAGGCTCGTTGAGCCGTATTGGCGTACTTCGGATTCAATTTCCTTGATCTGTTAAGAAGGGTATTAGCACGATTCAAGCGATTCGTCTTAGGGTATCATGACTCACCTTATCCACCGTGGTCGCCATTTTGCTGTTTAGAGTCTAGGCTAATGGTTCGATAGTAACGTATGGGCAACGTTTGCGATTGAACAAAATTTGAGGTTGAGCCTTGCTGCAGGATGACGGAGGGGCGACACGTGGGGCTCGGAGAATGATTTGACCGCTCCGACTTCGCCGACAAACAGATTCCGATGGAAGCCGAGCGTTCAATTCACTCGTTTCAAGCGGCGAATGTTTGATCTAACGACATACGTGGCTGCCTGATAACGCAGCTGACTGATTAGCACATCACAGGATCCTCGTGAAGCATGCTCTTACATAAGTGGAAATGCTATCCCGTTAGCATTGTAGGGGCTCTCAGCATCGTTTCCAGTCTGCTCTACTTCACAATATCCTTTGTCCGTTGCAGCGAGCTCAACAAAACAAAGTATTCTTTCATGATACACGCAACCTCTCACTGCTCTCGTATGCCAGTCCTTCGTGTCTGCACCGGCATTCCTCCACTGCATCTTTAGAGTGACAGTCTACTGCTACGTTGACTTCACTATGCCTGGAATTAGGCAAGATGTCGAAGTGAATGACAAATTTCAGGTCCTGGTAGATTCGCTCAATGAAATACTCGGGCCTAGCTCCGGCATAAACTCCGAAGATGTTGACGAGACCGAACTTCAAGAGTTAATGAATAGCTACGTCTCTAACGAGTCGGAGTGGGGAAAGTTTGCCTTTAAAGACGGTTCTAGATCCTACACGCGCAATCTAGTGGACAAGGGGAATGGAAAGTGCAACTTAGTATGAAAATTTGGTAGCTTTTATATACCTCCGCTGACACACAGCAGTTGATTCTTGTTTGGACACCGGGGAAAGGGAGCCCTATCCATGAGTAAGACCTTTTTTCGCCACTTACGGGAATATTCGCTGACTTCACTTAGCCACAACAACGCTCATTGTATCATGAAAGTCTTGAAGGGTCGATTAAAGGAAACACAATATTCATGGCCAACCGTCCATCTCAACAATTCTGAAGACTCTGCACTCAAAGTTAATAATGAAACAATCTACCACGAGAATGAAGTCACATACATGTCCGACAAACTGGGTCTACACAAAGTCTCGAATCCAGACTCCTCTGGGTATGCTGTTTCACTTCATCGTAAGTATTGCCTTGCCTCTCTGCCTTGCCATCCTCTCCCTTTCCTGACCTCTCTCCCTGAGCCTAGGTTGATTGTAGATAGTCTATACGCCCCCAAATGTCGCAGTGTACGGATGCCACGTCTTCGACGAAAAAACCGGAACTCCATCGCACCGGAAACAATGCGGGTTTTTCTCCGAGTATGGGGTCTTGAACCCAGCGCGTCCGATGTAGGGTTAGCCATCCATCCTCCTGGACTTTAAATCTCCTCGGTGTTTTGGTGCCGGCGCATTTGCAACCGGCGGGCATCTATTCTTCGGCATTCTAGATTTTCCTTGTCCTTTCAAAGGTGCCATTGGGTAACGTACGCATGAATGTTCATGGCGTTTGAGTGTCTTCGAAACCTGGGTCACAGAGACGTAGATTGCACGGGTTTAGGTAAAGTCATATTTTGTCAAGTGAATCGAACGTCCGAGAGAACTCTGCTTTCAATATTTGTAAAGGGACGAGGCCGGATGTCAGTTTTGGTTTTGATGCTATTAGGTAGCTGCCCGAATATAAACAGGGTCCACCATCGACTCCTGTGAGTTTTGCAATGAAAAGTTGGTCCCACTAGTTAGTCTATTCCAGTAATTAGGCAAAATCTCTACTTGCAAGTCTACTAATTACAGCCCATGAAGTGACTGCAATCGTACAGGCGTACGAATTGAAATGCCTAAAGTAATCGAAGGCCTGCGAAGCTTAGTGTAGTTTTACCTGTGGGGCTAACAGGTCCATAGTTCTAGGTGTAATTCGCCTGATGGCATTTTCGTGAACCAATAGCTATTAGAGACTCTAGTTTTACCGGGCAAAGCTACTTGGATCTCCAGAATGTAGACAAATAGAACAATAAAACTAATAGAAAGAGCGGTTCCATTGTAGTCTGCTATTCACCTCATAGTCTTATCTGTTAAGGTTGTTGCATTGAGTAACCAAGGTTTCAGCGTGAGAAAGGCGAATGTTTGGCAAAACAGACCCTTTTGCTGAATGATTGATTTAGGGGTAGAATACTTAATTTAGAAGACTGCAAACAATTGGCAAAGGAATGTCTTAGCTATAGAGTATGAAGTTGCGGAGCTAACGTTTTCTCTCATGTTCTAAAGCAAGTTATAGAGTATCTAATAACAAATTTCAAACCCTCAATAAAAGCTCCTGCGTCAGCTTATAAGAAGTATGATAATCTTAAAGGACCCTTGCCGTTTAATCGTGCATGTTAGCAATCGCTTGTCTTCTAAGACGCTTTGGGTTTCCCTAAACTCACCACTTGTTGTGAGTGTTTTTCCCTTCTATGACTATGCAGGAAGCCCACTAAGAAGTTGCCTTACACACGCTGGATTCACTAGAGAACTGCATGGTACTTCGCTAGAGTAAAATTGCATGCAGCGAAGCCTGTGGTAGTAGGAATGTATGTAGTAATTCATCAACTTGACAGTAGCAAGTAGACGGCACAGGTGCCAAATACTGCATCCATGTGGTCTATGTTAAAAGCATCTCCTAAGTTTGTATATATATTAATTTAAACCTAAGTACCCTTCCGGGTTTATCCAAATATGCGCATGCCATTTCCCATACACACCAAGGAAGCATCATGGCTCATCTAGGTACACATTCCAAGGCTCACAACAATTGACAGCTCAATATATGCTACGAAATCTGGGGCACAATATCAGTCCCGCTCTGCCCAACTAGTCACTCTCGACGTCGCGGCCTTGTAGAGATATGCACGCCCTTTCCCTCTTACCTTACCAAATCTCGTTCTAAACACACTATCATTCACGGGCCTGATCCTCCACATATCCGCTCATCATTCATCCACCCAAAAAGCAACACCGCCTATGCGAAATCGCCTTCCTTATTTGGCCGTGCTCGCGGTGAGGACGAATATCGCACGTTGAAACATGGCTCCCCTAAGGACCGCGTGCCAAGTACCAATCCCAGTGCCGTCTCCAGTCCCAGGATGCCAATGTTAAACACTACTTCAAGCGACATGACCACCCAAGACGGCAACAAAAAGAGCATAAGCTACATCAAGAAGCTTGGCGTAGACCCAGACTTACGCTACAGAGGGCAGCAGTACATCGAGGAGAACTGAAGGCAGGATTTGTGCAACTCTGCTGATTCGAGAAGTTCTGGGGGGTGTTTTTTGGGCGATATTTGTGTTATATAAAGAGGGAATTGAACATGGCAAATCTTGAGTTTAGGAAGATTGTGGTGTGTCTAGTGAGTTGGCTTCTTTGTTTTCCTTTGCTGCGTTCGCCTTTGCGTTCAAATTGAAGGGATGCGAGTACGAGCTAACGAAATGGCTAGGAAATCAACATTACTACTACGATTGGTGGTGAAGATGCTCTCCCAGCGTGGAGAGTTCGTTGGCCCTGATGCCGGATGGAGCCCCGGTTTGTGAGTGCTCGCAACGTCTCCGCTAGAGCGCAATTTGGTATGGCGCCGCCACGGACGGGTTACCTTGATGGCAGAAATGAGTTGAAGGAGTTGCAGAGAAAAGGGGTGACTGGGAAACATTTGTAAGCATTTTTTTTCTAGAGAATTTGAACCAAGAAGGGGAGGAGATGCGAACAGTTCCAACAGCACGATTCCCAAAGACAAAAACAAGTTCTATACGAACAGTGGTGGTGATAAGACTGACGAGATATTCGGAAAGAAACTTCTAGACACTCCTCGTTCCACCCCTGCTGACTCCTGTGCAATATCCTCCAGTTTCCGGTCTAATTTCATTCGATACCACTAATGCCACTGCAGGACAGCCACCTTGTTACCAAAACAACCCTACTAAAAGAAGACAAGGAGGCCTGGGGTTTCATCAACGAGGCCGACACTAGCTTCAGTTTCCCCCAGATGATGAGGGTGAGTACTATTATGAGTATGTGAGGGACAAGGGTGATCAGAATGACGAATATGAGTATAAGGTGGGAGATTCTAAGCATGTGTAGAAGAGCTAGTTTAACTAGAGCTAGTAGGGCTTCAATGTGGGTGGTATATGATTGACGATTTAGTTCGATTTAGGCTGAGCGAGCCTAGGAAAGGCGAGGTTCTTTGTCACCTCCACGAAAACATTGGGAATGAGTGGTGGAAATGGATACAAAGGGAACGTTGGGGATACTTGGCTAGTATTTTGTACTTCTGCAGGCCGCTGCTAACTGTCTCGGCAATATACCAATGGATACCTTCCTTCTTCACAAGCAAACAGCACCTTATCTGTAGCTTCAACAAGAACTGCAATTCAAAATTATCCATCTCATGACATTCGACTTACTTCTTAAGCTTCTCCATCCCCATCTTCCTCTTCCCATACACGTCCTTTCCCTCTTCAATCTGCAATTGCGCCTCCCTCTTCTTCTCGCCTACAGGCTTCAACGCATCTCTTGCTACCCTCGTTTCTAAATTAACGCCCTCTTCCGCGTATTGATCCATCTTCTTTCCTACTCTTTCTTCAATGGCCAATATCAGCTCTACGTCCCTTTGCCCAATGAACGTCACACTCTGACCCGCTCTCCCGGCTCTTGCCGTTCGTCCAACTCGGTGAATATAGTCATCTGGATCCCGTGGTACATCGTAGTTAATAATGAGGGCGACTTCAGGGATATCGAGACCACGGGCTGCGACGTCGGTAGCGACGAGGATCCTGGCGGCTTGTGCACGGAATCGGGCAAGATTGGCGACACGTTGTGACTGGGGGAGGCGGGAGTGTAGAGCAGTGACGCGGTGCAAAAGTAGACGGAGCGTATATTCTAGGAGATTCGCTGTGTCGGTGCGGTTGCAGAAGATTATTACGGATTTGCTAATATTCTCTGGGGTGCCTAGAAGAACGTGGAGATAGTGTTCTTTGTGTGTTACTGGGATTTGCAGATACTTCTGTTGTAGTTTTGGTGGGATGGCTAAAGTCTCCGTATCTACTTCGCAAATGAAGATGGGTGGGCGACCAGGACGCGGCTGCTCTTTCAAAGCAAGCACTTCCGACGTGACTGTTGCCGTGAACAATAATGTTTGTCGTTCAGTAGCGGAAGGTAGAACCGAGAGGCAGGTTTCCAAATCTGGCAGCATACTTCCTCGTCCGGGTGCGAGAAGTCGGTCTGCTTCATCAAACACCACAAACCTGACCCTACGCAATCCGCAGATGGTGTCTTCACCGGAAGCCTTGATGTGCTCAGCAAGACGGCCAGGGGTTGCAATTACAATATGCGGCCGTGATGCAAGATTAATAGCTTGTTCTCGCTGGTCGCCCCCTCCAGTTATTAGGACCGGTTTGAGGGACTGTGGTGCTGATATGGCCTTGATTTGCTCGAAAATTTGGATCGCAAGTTCTCTATAGAAAGTGAGCAGAAGGCAATATCACTCACTACGCATGACCATTACCTCGTCGGTCTAGGGTCGGGAAGAGTTAGCAATCTTCGTATCTAAAGTTATGATTGAGGAGCTACTTACGTGATAACAACAGCAAATATCCCCACAGGATCTTCAGCCCACTTTTGAAGGATAGGAGCTGCAAAGGCTACTGTTTTACCAGTACCTGTTCGCGATCCACCAATGCTAGGGATTTCAATCAGCACAAGCAGGTATTTCAGGGAGAGAACAATCATACCAGTCCCTCCCTTTCAAGATCTCCGGGATACACGCCTTCTGAATCCCTGTCGGCCGTTTAATCTCCATGGCAGAAAGCGATGCAACTAGCCAAGGAGCGACATTGATCGACGCAAAAGATATCTTCTCTTTTCCACTCAACGCTGTTGATTCAGGATCCAATTGACCGGTTTGGCCTGGTACTAGTCCGGCCTTCTTTGTCTTGATTCTCGAAAGAATTGGGACTTGGTTATTCGAAGTTACATCTAATCCAGAAACTTCTTTAGGAGAAGGAGAGAGCTTTCTTCGCTTTCTGCTTCCATTCTGGTATTCTGAAATGTCTTCATTGGAGGATGAGAAACCTGGGTCCGAATACGAGGGAGGCTTCACTGGGACGGATTCGATGACCTTATTCTTCAAGCGCCTCTCCATGGTGCCCATTGTTGGCAGGTATAGCTTGAACGCGAGTTGATCTGTGATCAGCGTGGGTGGAGGTGGAAGCTGGAGATTTTCGTGCAAGGATCGCAGGCATGGAGAATTTCGACGCAACGCGTATCGATAAGCGCACAGGCCACATTGTTTCTTCAGCTTTTTGAAACTCTGGAGATCGGTTCCCTTGACTTGCGAAAGCTGGCTCAAGCACCAGTGCTTCCCGAAGTCCATGAAGAAAGTTTGCTCCTAGAGTATTTGCGAAAGCCTAATACCTTTGTCTCGAGCTATGGCAAATCTGATCGCACTAAAGCTTCCTGCCTCTTCCCACCACACCACCTTCATCATGTCATTCTCTCGAAGGCGAGGGACTGGTCAATCAATCAGAGATCCTACTTTGCTCGTCGATCAACAAATTACTGAGACGACAAAACTCCACCATTGAGTACATCATCCTCTCCTGTATCCATTACATGACTCTCCACATACCCACTTCTTGTTCTAGCCTCCCCAGTTCCTATCGGAACGGTCCGCTGTTATTTCGGACCCCGCTTCTATTCCTTTGTTAACAAGTACTACCCGTTAGATGTCAGTCTATTGAGCTGCTATAACTGGGCTTTGGCTTTGCAATTGTGACTTACAAACCTGATGTAGTTGCGCTGTCTTCCTTGCCAGACCTGATAGCTAGGCAGGGGTGTAGAACTATCTATTACGTCCAAATGCCCGATATGGATTTAGAGCGGTCAGACGAGCCAAGTTTGGCACCACCCAGGACGAGCAGACTCTATGCATTCGAGGGAGTGCGAGGATGTCGTCGATATTGGATGCTGAGGGCAGAATGGGGAATGTCCTAGGACGCTAAGCGACGTTTACCCTTATGCTGGAGTGATATTACGAATGCCTGGGCATATCGGACCTTTTAAAGCACGATCCGAATTCACTTCGTTGAGTAAGTGACTCGCATTACATACTCACTTTAACACTTACAGCCTGCTTTCTGCAGTAGCATATACGCTCAAAATGACGCATCGGACTGGTGAGTTCTACGGTATGAACGAGGCATTGTTCTCATCGGCATTGGTAGAAATGGTTTTCAACATACTTGTCGCCTGGCCCCTGATTGTCGTCGGTGTCGCAGGCCTGATCTCGCTCTTCTATATCGTCAAGCAATATGACGCTTCATTGTACCCTCGTTTCATGGCTTGGGCTTGTATCTTGGGCGTTATGGAGCTCTTTCGCGAATTCAGCGCCAAAGACAACTCCACAGGCTTCATGAGTTGCATTACCACCATCTCTCTTTGGCACAGTCTCCGGCCTCGAAAAGCTCGGGTCAAGCCCCATATGGAAGCTGTGGTTCCGAGCGTATCATCGCCGACTAATGCGTGAATTTTCGCGACGCTATTCTGGGTTGGTTCCCCTCATCTTCCAGAGAGTCTGAAGGAAACACATATTACCTTTTTCCTGAAACACAGGGCATTCCATCCTGTATAGCCGAGCCGTATGGAGATTATATGGAAATTTTTGCGACGTCGTTTGGGTTCCTGAAAATGTTATTCTATAATGACCATATAGGCTCCCTAGCTCTTCGTGTTGTGGTATATATATTTACTGGATGTAGAACGTAAGAAGTCTTCCTGTTTTAGCACGCTAGTTTCTCAAGAAACCCGCCAAAATTCTATTAGGATTTCTTCCTCCTTAGTTACGCAACCTTCATCGTAGGCATCATGGGCCTTCCCATGCCCAACGGACGTATTCCACAGGCGTCTGTTCATACCGACTCCCTCACTATCTATGAAACCCGCCTCGAAGTCATTCACACCGCTAATAGCAATAACACCGAGATCCGCAAAATGTTAGTCGGTCGAGTAGCAAATTATGCGTTTCCAGATTGGGCTTGTGCTGGCCGAACCGATGACCGGACCATCACTTAGTGTCTCGTCGCTACCCCACGTTCGACGGTCACGAGTTTTCCATGGACTACCATGGCGGCTGGTCCAGGTGGTGTCACGGGGGGCATTGTCGCTCCCCAACTTTGACCATTCGGCTGCAAAGGAAGAAATATAATAGGAATGTGAGTGTTTTAAAACGACAGCTTGGAGTCTTGGACGATGCATTAGCCGTAAAGCTGCCCGGTGACTGCCCGTAGGGCTGTCCAATGTAATTGTCGACGTACCGCCCACTGAGAGAGTTACAAGCAGAAGGGCCGGCCATGTAATTGCCGGCAGGGACAAAAGCAGACGTAAGACGGATAGCTGAGGCAGACTATAGGAGCGTTAGAAAGCTTTGAGGAATGCGAACAATCAGGAATACTGCATATTAGTACACAACATGGAACGTGACTAGGTTGTTAAACCTCTTGCTAAAATTAAGAAGAATGTTAATAGAATGCAAATTCCTAGCTTAAATCACTCTTGTTACTTGCTACGTTAGGCAATAAGATATAGTACAATGTTAGGATTGAAATAATTGCTTGCATTGATAAATGTGAACAAATATCTCTGAATCTTCAAACTTTTATTTCACTGTTGGGTTGTTGCTTCCCCGACTTGATCTACTTGGAATAACAATCTAGATATGGAGCGGGGATATGAAGTGACTACTTTGCGATCCTGCTAGAGTGGCTTCAGCCTTTGAGTTGGAGCAAAAGAGAAGGAGGATATTTGTCAATTTCTTTGAATCCGCAAAACAAAAAGAGGTTATTAGCGATAACCACCTTTATCTGCTTCTGAAATCAGGAAGGAATATCTTTTGGAAAGAGTTGGGAGAATAAAAAGACAAAAAAAGTGTTTCAAGCCCGATGCGGGGGCTACGAATTGTTAGAAGACCGAAATAATGTTTAAGAATGATTTGTACTGACTCGAACCCGCAACCTTGAGATTGCATGGGATCAATCGTTCTAAAGGAACGTGAATACTGTAAGAGTCTCACGCTCTACCGATTCTGACAACATGTAAGAGTGTATTCGGGCATTGACGTAGTGTGAAACTTACGAGCTAACCGGGCATTTACTGAATATTGAAGATGTTTAGAATTAATTGATTTATATACAAAAGCGACAGTAGACCCAAAAACCAATAGGTCCGGCTGCGCCGAGCTGAAGTCTAAAAAGCCGGCCGACCGTACCGCTCAACCCTCAGGCTCCAAACAAAGCCTGAATTTTGATCCCTGACTGTAGTTTATGTGCGGGGCTTCTCGTTGCATGTCGGGTACTGTTCCATTTTGGGTCTAGCTTTGTTCGGTGTCCTTGTCAAAACCCCGAAACTACTCCAAACATCAGCAGGACCCATCTCAGCGCAATACATCGAGCAGATCTCAGCATGTCGTGAATTATTCTAAATGATGACTGGGTGGCCACGTTGCCAGAACGCCCATCAAGGCTTGTCGAAGGAAGCCGGACAAAAGATATTAGCTCACCCTGCTCTCCTCACCACCCATTGGCGAAAAGGATTTAGATGTTTAGGACATCCTTAAGCAGGAATTTTTGAGCGAAGGGTTTACTCTGCAGGACTCCGAACCCTAAGAAATATAAAGATGAAATCAAGTCGTACACAAAGAACTTGGTTAACGGCAGCTCTCTTCATGAAGTCGACTCTTGCCAACTCGCCAATTGGCACTCCGCTGAAATCGACTGCACCCCTTCAAGCGATTTGCGAAGATGGCTCACAACCAATGGAGCAAGTTTCCACTTCACTTTTCAATCAATAGACGAAACAGAAGAGTTACCGCAAGTGATGAGCACCGATATTGGAGACTTCGGTAATTTGCCGCCGAAGTATGTCCAGCGCTTCCAACCGTACGTAATACGATTCGACTCGACCAAATCTGGGACGTTACGTCTGACTATCTTAGTACGTTTCTACTATACAATTAACATGAGGACTACTTACAAGTCTTAACTGTAACAATTAAAAATCCTTGTATAGCTTAACAACTTAGCAGAAGTTACAACATAACACTAGAACAAATATAATTTAAAAGAGCTAAAAGCTTAGAGTAAATTACTCTCTAATAGAGCTAGTTTTTCTGTAATTAAAGAGCTTTAATTATCTCTCTAAAAAGGCAGTTTCTGTTAAAGTGGCAAGTTTTTCTCCTACTAGAGAAGGCTCTCTTACAGTTGTAGGACGTACATAAGATAGAGAGAAAATTAAGAGCAATTTTAAAAAGTGTAGAGTAGAAAAAACATCTTACTTTTATCTACTATGTAAGAGGATTTGTAAACAAAGGGCTGTTGTTCTTAGCTATAGCAAAGTCTTTCTAATAAAAGTTATAATACTACTGCAACTCTAAGGTTTTCTGCTGCCTTTTATATAAGTAATTACTAGTAAAAAGAGAGATGTTTATAAAGAAAGTCTTTTTAAATCTATTATTATAATAGTTACTACTAAGTAACTTGCAACACTAGGGCAGCTAAAGGGGGTTATCCTTATTAACTTTAGCCTTAGCCTTTACATTAATATACTGCTAGAAAATAGCCTTTATTAAGACCTTAGCCTTTTTATGCTATAATAAGTGCTTTCTTTAATAATCCTTAAACTAAATAAGACAAAGTTAAGAGTTAAGTATAGTTATAATATAGTAATAAGATATAAAGGGTTTTAGGACAAACTTGCCCTAGTATAATGTTAACTTTTTAATGCTATATAATATGCTATTCTTAAGGTAGGAGCTTTTATTTTTATGCTTTACCTTCTTCTGCACTTTATAAAGTTTGTTATATAAGTGCTAAAGATTAATAATTATTATCTAAAAAAACTTATACTTACTATTACCCTTAATCTTTTTAGTTATAGAGTAAAAGACTTTAAGAAACTTATAAAAGTAGTTTACTTTCTTTTACTTATTCTTAGTTATCACTTTAGTAAGAGCAGAGATGCTAGGCGTAGTAGAGTTATTATTAGTGCCTCTTTACTTCTAGATAAATATTATAATAGTTGTTTTAAGCTTATAACAGCGTAATAGCATAAAATATACTAAATGCTAGCAGACACTGCTATCTTGTATAAGAGAAAAGGTTCTAAAGCTTTAAAAAGAGTTATTAGTGTTAACAGTAGCCTAATATGTTATAAAGGCCTTCTAGTGTTTGTGTAATGCTAACACTATGTTTATAAAATTATAAAGCTTGCCTATAACTTTATGCTAGCAGTATATATTAAACTAATCTTAGGGAGCAGCTTAGGCTAGCTTACTCTTAAAAGCACTAAGCTCTTTGCTGTATATTACTGCCTTAACAACTAGCTAGATTGTATAACCACCACAGCGTATACAGTGCTTAGAGGTAAGTAGCATGTTAATGTGCTTAGTAAGGTTAGTAATAGTTTCTTTATTATTATTTAATGTGTTATTAGTGACTAAATAATAGAATTTTAACATAATTTTAAAGTTATAGATAATAGCAGCAATCTTATGCGCTTAATTTGCCCTTATATAGTTACTATAAAGGTTTTAAAAGCTAATAAATAGGTTTTAGTGCTAGTAGTTGCTATCTATTTTTACATAGTTAATTATTATAAAGTTTTTAAGCTGCTAAGGCACTAGTGCTAAGGAATTACTAACTTACTAATAAAATAAGCTACTACTCTAAGGAAGAAAAAGTAGTTTAGTAAAGTCTATATATTAATGCTTAACACAACTTTTAACTAGGCTATCCTTAGTACTGTTTAAATCTCCTGCTTTTGCTCTATAACTCTAGAATTTATGTATAAAGAATATATAGTAGGCAATAATAAAAAAGTGCAGAGAAGGTTAGCGCAGTTTTAAGAGATAATACCCTAAAGTTTAGCTAATAAAGCCTTAGTAAAAAAAATATTATAAAGAATTACCTAGTTAATAACTACTTTCTGTAAAGACTCCTCTTACTAGACAGTGTAAGCAATAATATGCCCCCCTCTAGCAACTAAGTAAGTAATGTTAAAGGGATTAGCTAGAAGCTATAGCCTATTAGGTAAAAGACTCTTATTAGCATTAACTTAGTGCTTCTTTCTAAGATAGCTAATAATATAGTTGTAGCTGTTAACCTTCTTTACCCTAGCCTAGAGGCCCTACGTGTGGCATCTCTTGCATAGCTAAAGCCTTAAAAGGACGCCTTTATTGTCCTTGTACGCTAAATCTGCCCTATGCTGCTATATAGAGGAAACAGGACAATTACTGTAAAGCTAGCTCTTGTGTTTAACATAGTAACTAAGCCTTTTTAGTAAGAGCTTTTTATTTATTAGCTAGAGGTTATCTTACTTAATAGAAAAGTTTACACTATTATTAAGATAATTATTAGCTAAAAACTTTTTTATAAATTTAACTACTAGCGTCTTATTGCAAGAGCTAATAGATAGAGAGGATAATAAGGCTTTTAAGTAAGCAAGATAACAAGAACTAGCGTAATAAGCTACTTTAGCTTGTTAGAAGAAGCTAGCTTAGGAGGAGCTAGCTTAGGAGGAGCTAGCTTAGGATGAGGCTGTACGCCTGCTACGCTAGAGGAATTAAGACAATTAGCTTATAATAGGTAAGACAATAGCAAATTATAACTTAAGGACAATATAGAGCGCAAAAAAGTTAACTATTTACATAGGATTTAATACCCTAGCCCCCCCCTCTCTAACGCGTCCTTGCTTGTAGCACACGACAGAGTTTTCACCTATTGTTACTTAAAAACGCCCCCTTAAACGCCCTCCTAACGCTTGCCTATAGATGTCTAATTAGGTCTTATATTACTAGGAAAAATTAACTTTCTGAGACGTATTATAGACTGTAAGGGGACCTCTCTTAGTCGTACGTTACGATTGACAATCCTCTTACGTTTGTACGGCTTACGTGACCGTAACTATTCACTTTTCTGAGTCGTAGTACGTACGGTTGGAAGCCCTGAGTATGTCTGAGTGCTATCTCCAGACTTCGAAGGCTTGAATGCTTAATTCCTCTACAGGTCTAATACGCAAATAAATTGCGCTAGCTGCGGCAGGGGACCATGCATCTGTCGTGCACACCCGCCATCAGAAGAAGAGTTGATGCTGGCCTTGGTATTGCTCGACAGTACTCATGTATTAGATACGTGCCCCTACCTGCCACGGAAAGGAATATGGTTGCGTAGGCGATTAAGCTCCGAGTTCATCAACAGATTCCTCACTGGCTACATTCCTTCCTCTTCCTTTCCACGCGTCATTCATCCTCCTCACTGACCCCACTGCCTGCCAATTGGCGGATAAATTACTGGACATGGGATCTAAATTTAACAACAATTGGGGCTTGTATGGGGACTCAAATGATGTGAAATCATCAAAAAGTTGTGGGTGTGGGTGTTCAAATCAACCATACAAGCCGTAAACTGTAGAAGGTGGCGCTGTAGCATATAGATGAGCCGAAGCCAATAACCAATCTAAGGCGGTATCCCATACATCCTTCCGCAACCCTCTCACCTGCGCTTAAACGAGATTAATTGCCGAGGAAGAAGAATGGAAAGATTTTTCTACCACCATTTCACTATTGGCTAGCCACTCCTCATTGGATATTGATGGAGGTTGGCTGAATATGCTGAAGTACATCACAAATACGATCAACACAAAACCCCCCAAAGGTTTCCCTCCTTTTATTTAACCGACTCGATACTAAGAAATTGTCGATAGGGTCCCTCAATGGCATTACTAGATCTCCCACCAACCTCGATTCCCCCTCAAGCATGGCGAAAAGATCTATAATGAAGGCTGGAAAAGGCCAAGCAATCCTGATAAGGTTGGCGAGCTCTTGTATGAAGACATGCTTGCAGCACAGGGTGAGCGGATATGTTTCAGACGACGGCCACTCCTAGGTCCATAAAGGAACTCCCCCTCGCCTCTAGGCCGGATACATGTGGCAACAAGCAATGGAAGAGTCTTTGTCTTTCGCTAGCAGGTCTGGCGATGCTTTAGCATCCGTTGAATTCATCGCATATCGCATGTCAACCAGCAAAGTAGATGGCCTCACAACAATCGTTGTCTCGACACAGCATTTGTGGTTTTTTCTCTAATTTTGGGGTAAAGGGATTCTAGATTGTCTGCTTTCGCGAAAATTGTTTCGCCAGGACAATGATGGATCGCTCGAAGTTAAAAACTGAAGGCTACGATTATCCCTCTTTGCTAGGAGCCGAGTTCTTAGAAGACTAGGCTAGAGACAATGGACAGCAATCTGTCCTGAAGTGCATTATGTATAGGATGCTGAATAAACTGTGGGATACGTGAGCGTATCTAGGAACAAGACGAATTCCAATATCTGTTACATTGGAGGCTATATGACGCGTTCAAAGATACTTAATATCGCTACTTCCGTTTTTATTGCATCATAGACACGCGATGCTAGGAATAGTTAAAGCCTTGCGGCTTTCTTTCGCTTCAGCGATTTTGTGCAGCGGTATCCTAGGTGGTGTAAGCGTTCATTGCCCTATATCAACGCCAGTAACTCACAAGATAGACCTGATAGAAATCCATCTTGACAACCCCATTAACCTTTGTTAAATGTGCATATGCCGCCCAATCCACATTCGCTTCTCCACCAACCTTCAAACCATACTTCACTGTCCCATGAAGCATCACTTCATCGGAGTTTGGACCATATGGGAAGATCTTCAAGGGCCGGTGGACCCTGCTGGATACCTTCTCCCATAATCCTTTTCGTAATGCAAGAATCTCTGACAAAAGATTGAGCATATTGGGAACCAGATCCTGAATGAGTGGAAGTGCTGACCAGACGAGCCTTTTCCTCGCTTCGAAGCCATGATCAACGTCGCATCTGGAGTGAAGAAGTCAACATACTTCTCATGCGCGTCTGGCGTGTCTGAAGTAGCGTAGAAGTCTTCGAAAAACTTCTTGTAGCCTGGATCAAAAGAGATGGAGGGGTATTCGGAAGCGTAGGCACTCATGATAGCGTCCTCTAGGAAGTAAATTTACGATGAAATATATTCAGAAGAGAGCAATGAATGACTCGAGCCCACATCTTAAAGGCCTATTTAACGTAATTGGAGAACATCGGATGATGGCTAAGGACCTCGGATGTGTGTTAGGGAAGGGTTGGTCAGCAAGAGGCTAAGGTCCAGAGAGGAATAGTGCGGTTTACGGTTTCCCAAGTCTATCTCGCAACTCACATCGAGAGTCGACAACATAAATTGCGGAAAAAGAACTATTTTAAATGCACTCAACCGATAAAGATTTATCTCTGGGAACTATTCCGGCTTCGATTTGCCATCCTCCGGCCAATTCTACAGTGAAATTCTTTCGCCTTATCTTCAAGGAAGGAGGATCCTCAAGTCCTTCAATCACCTCGCTGGCTCCATCTATGAGCTGGGATGCCTTCCTTAGATGAAGTCTCTCAAGCCGTAGCACCATTGCCAATGGCCTGCTTTCTCGGCTTGCTAGCTGAGTTTAAGAAATTGATCTTCGAATATGTATGTATGTAGTAGGAGCTCTCGGATATCGACTCTAAGCTAAAACTTGAGAAATAGCTTGATAAGAAGGGCCTAACTGGATTATCCAAAACATGTTCGCCACTCTGGAGACTGCATATTCTATGGCATACACGAGCGCCGCCCTTCGCATTAAGCCAGCAAACCATCCAGCTGGACTGGCCTTGCAGTGAGACAACAAGTCGGCCCGCCAGGCCATAATTGGGTCCAATTTATTCGTCACCTTGAGATGCAGAGTTTCTATGGACATAGCCACACGCCGGGCAATGTAGAGGACTTAGCTATAGTTAGCATGCTCGAGTTCTTCCTCAACACAACCTCATCTCTTTCTGGTATGGTCGAAGTCTCGTACGACCACTAAATACATAATCACTAATGTGAGCACACTTACAGCAACACAATCAGAATCCCGCTCAGTGAATTCCTTGAGCGTCCGCGCCATCCTAGTGGCCCAAAATTCCCTTCAGTGACTTGAAATAGATGGCACACAATGTTGTAATATACACCCGTATTTAGGACAAGACCCGAACCTCAAAAACTTGAATTATCTCGCTCTCACGGCTAGGCCACACTTTTCCCTAGCTGAAGAATAGTAGTCCATCATAAATTCACTCCATGAGCTGGCGGTGACCCACCTTCATATCCTACTGCCGGACTTTCATTCCTGCGTAGATTCTGTGCAAAGTTTTCCAGTCAGGCATAGAGAGCTACAAACTAGTCGATTCCAGCCTGATAGGACTCGCGCCGGCGCTTTTCCCGCCTCAAGACGATCGAGATAACAAATTGCTGCGACATATATTTTTTCTTGACCCTTTTCCCTTCGCCAGCGTTTCCGAATTTGATGGCTTTCATGATAAATATGACGCAGCATACAGGTTGATTCTCAGTGGACTTCAGCATTCTTAAGAAGCTTCAAAGGCCACCGGGAGCTATTCATTGAAGTCCCTTTCCAAAGCTCAATTAACATTGCAAGTATTGTAGCTCATGCAGAAACACTACGGCTCCAGCGAGATACCGAAGGACAATACCCACATCCCAGCTAGATGCAATCATTCTTATCGCAATGCAACCGCATTCGACATCTGGCTCTATGTTTTCCTGCACCTATTTTGGTGTCGAAAGGCCGAATTACTCCAGCTTAATGATGAAAGCATTTCATTTATAGGAATCCCTTGAAGGGTCTGAAAGAATGCACGTCGGGTTGATCCGTTAACGTGTAAATAGAATATTCCAGCTTCGAAAAATATACTCCAAACTCTGCCCTACCGGTGCCAGGTAGGTGGGACCAGCTACTACAATGAATGGGGCCCGGACGAGTTGCGTAGCCTTCCTCCTGACTTCGCCAACATCTTCGAGGAGGATATAGGGCGTTTACTCTTCACAATCACAACACAAAAGTCCCATCCACTAATGACGTTCAGATATTGGAATATGTTTCCTTTATTCATTGTATCGGAGCTTTAACGTGGTTAAGATGGAGTAAAAGAAAGCAAATCTTTAAGCCACGAATCGTACTCAACTCAACAGTAATCGTGAAAGAGCAGGTGTCAGAGAGTTATGCCGGGGATGGTTATTATTTTTGTAAACCGGAGGGCTCTATGATGGCTACCCAATCAACCTCGGGCTTGGCGTCTCATCATACTCTATAAGTCACGTAGCTTCTCGGGCCCTCAAGTCACAATATATAACTTCTTTCATAACTCATGCCCCCTTCAAGGCTTCAATTTTCTAAGCTCCCTTCTTGAGGGTGCCATGATGCCCAGTCCCATCTGAACTATTTTCTATTCGCAGAATGTTTGCACTAGCTAAGATTGTGAAGGAACTAAGGTGAAGAATTCCGAAGGCAACTGGTTATCTGAATATGAGTATCGTGGTATTCTTACCTCTCTATACTCCACACCACGCTGTCCAGTGTCAAACTCTCTCAACATTCCATCTCCTATCCATTCCTATTTACAATTCACTCCATACCCCGCAAATCCCGTCCAAGCAGCGGTCAATCAACCCCATAGTTTATTAACCTGCCCATATTACGGAGCTTCAACAGGGCAAGTTGGCTCCTGAAGGCCCTTTTCTAGACCTTCACAGGGAGCAGAATATTAAGAGTATCTCGATACACCATTTTATTAGAGCCTACTCCTCCTCCCTTTAATTGTTCCTTGTGCCATAAAGTGCCCTCTAAGGTCCTAGTATCTGCCCCTGCCTCTTGTTGCATGTACTCCACGCATACCAGCTGCCGTTCATATCTAGCTTCTAGCTTCTGGTATCCACACCCGCTATTCACCATCCAGCACAACACTCCCACACACATCCTCCACCCATCCAAACCCTAACCAATCCCCAGCACCCACCCACAAATCCTACCCATCTACTTACCTTCCTTCCGAACAATCCGGCCATCACGCCTTCGATCCTTCACTCTTGCAATTCGGCACCCTTCTAAATCACCGCCCTAGTAGATAGACGTCGGGCGCACACATACTTAACACTTAACCCCCAACATTAATCCCTATAATTCTAGCTCGTATCGCTTAGCTCAATTCCATTTTTCTACAGCACCGTTAGATGGTCGTAATCATTATTTATGTAAGCAGTTCCTGCGCTGTGCTACGTTACCGTAAGCCCCGGGGTCTGAAATCGGAATGAAGAATGGGAAGGGGGAGCGATGACGTAGGGATATGCACGTATACAACCGCCCGAGCCCCTTGGTCGATGAATGAGATTGCCCCAAATGATAGAAATATGGACAATGTCACAATGCTCATGTCTCTATTCCAGATTCCACTATCTGTTATCCACTATCCATGATTTCTCTGAATAGCTATTTGCAAATATGAGAGGGCTTAGGAAGACGGCGGGATTACCGTATGGCATGAGGCACTGACTGAGAGATCAATCGCGATGCCTCCAGCATGAGTGTGTGTGTGTTCGTGCGCTCATCACCTTCCTACAGAGGGAGGTAGGCAGGATGATCATGATCAACGCCCGTAAGTAGCATTCATTTAGCCCTGCGTTCCGTCTGCCGTGCCTTTAGGACTCTATTTCAACGTCAGTCAGCCAAAGCCTCATCTCTTTCCAATACCTCTCCCTCTCCATTGCACATCACAACTCGACAACTCGCCAAACACACAATTATCGTCTCGTCTCGATATCAGAAGAAAAAGCTAAATTCAGTTATGCCAAATCCTACTTCTGAGTAGCTAATTTCCTACATTCCATTCATCCACCCATATCCATCACAATCACTCCCGCACCATCCCATCTCAACCTCTCTCCTCCCATTCCCAGCCAAAAATATACACAGGGTGGCCAGAAGATGGGATTCAAGAACCCCAACTCATCAAGAAAGACCCCAATCCAATCCAAAAAGCTATCCTTTCTCATCATCTCGAAAGGTAATTTTGAAAGTATATGGTTTATTGATTTCCTGCATGCGTATTCTGAAGCTAAAAACATCTCAGGTCAGACAGAAAAAGAATAATAGACTCCGGGTAAATGGCGAGATATTGTGAGTTATGCTCTCTCGACGCAAGACCATGGGAAAGAGGTTATTACCTGACCGAATCTGTAGCTTTAACCTCAAGAGCTGTCAACTTCTACCCCAGAACAGAATTGCCTGCCAGCTGGATAGACATAGCAGAGACAATGATATGCATGAGACAGATGAAGGCCCTCTCATCGGTGCTGCAGGAAACGCCTAGGTAGAGTCCGCGGAGATAGATGGCTGCATTGCTAAGTCGTTGTGTTACAGGCCGGAAAAGTTCGGTGAATGGAAGCAACAAAGGAGAAGTGCATATTTGTTCGGTCGATATCGTGAGAGACATTAAAACGTGCCAGGCGGAGTTATTCTTCCATTCTTCCGAAAAAGGCGTCGTCGTCCTCGTCAATACGTCCATGGCTACGAGAGTGCGGGTGGCGGAAGTCGTCGTCATCCGCAAAACTTTCTTCGTCCATGTCCACGTCTTTACTTTCGGGGTATTGGTATCTGCGTAAACTCGATTGGTGCGCAGTTACGGTGGTGCTGCCCGATATCGAATGCGGGTTGTTAAAGCCTAAAAATTTCGCTGGTAGGGGAGGAACGGGGGGAACATCAGGAGGAAGAGCGATAGGGCCCGTCTTTGGGGTCCCGTAAGAGCAGCTCAGCAAACCAACAGCAGCAGCGAGATCGGCCTGATCATTTTCATCATCATGGTCGTGATAAGAGCCTGCGACCGAGGTGCCGGATGTGGTGGGGCGATCCGACACGTTGCTCCACTGGCGATAATGGCCACCGTGACCGTTGTCAGAAAACACAGCAGACTGGTAGGATTGGCTGTAGGCGGAGCTGCTGTTTGTGGAATAGCGTTTTGAAGAACGATGCCCAAAGTGGGAGCGAGGGAAGGAGCCCACAGCGTGGTCGTCAATTTGCGGGGGCGGGGTAGTGTCCGTGGAACTCAGCTCGTCGCGCACGTCGGAAGACCCTGACGCGGGAGGAGACGCCGAGTCGCTGTCTCGAGCAGATTCGCCCTCCTGGTTCATGGCGACGAGAACCGAGGCTGCCTCCAGGAGCTGCACCTGCTGGTGCTTGGAGATGAGCAGCTTGGACGTGTACTGCCATTCCGGGGTGTGCTCCCAACTAAAAAAAAAATTGTCAACACAAAATTCAGAAAACTGCGGTCCAGTGCATGCGAAGTGAGGGAAGGGCATTCGTCTCGGGACATGAAAGTATGCGGGCGGACGGCGGACTGTGGGCTACTGACAGATGTTTGGTCAGACAACTACTGTGCTTGTACCCTTTCCCACATTTTTCACATCTCAATTCGCTACCACTTGTGCGCTTGCCCTCGCCTTTGGCGAGACGCGAGCCCTCGCTGGCGCGACGCATTCTAGACTTGGAGTTGCCCTTTTCATGCTCGGGCATGGTCGCCAGAGGGGGCCCGTCGGTCACAACTACCTCAGTCTTGGCAGCTGGATTGTAGCTGCCGGGGCTGTAGACGGAGCCATTGCTGGGGACGCTGCTGGCCATGGCGGGATAGTTGAGGGCAGGCCCTCGGAAGGCCGAGGCAGGCTTCGACGAGCGGCGGGCAGCAGTCGCGGTTCCCTCGAGGGGTGCGCCGGACATGCCCTTGGCAGCAGCCGTCATGGCAGCGACGTTGGCGGTCGAGGACATGCTCTTCCTCCGCGTCACACGGTGCGCGGGATTTATAGAGCCTACAGACAGCGAGTGTGAGTGCGGGCGGGATTTTGGGAGAGAGCCAGCAGCAATGCTCGACGAGTGGCGGTGCTGGCTGGTCGGACGAGGCATGATGGGCTCCTGCAGCGGGCACGGAGGGTTAGCGGGCGGGCAATTGAGTAGCGGGGGGAGTTGGGGGGGGAGGGGGATGCAATTGTGGAATTGTGAATGAAAAGCGCGTGCCTTGAGGACAGTCATTCTACAATCTGTCGCCGTCTTTGTTCGACGCTGCGAGAGAGAGCTCCAGAAGTCGAGTGTGCAGTCTGTCCAAAAAAAGGTGCACAGCCCCGACAGTCCGGCCACCTGTGTGGTTGACAGCGGCGAGGAAGCGAGATTGAGATGCGGTCGGGATCCGAGCAACGCAATGCTTACGTGCGGGGGGCGTACTGTGCGAGTGTGCTGGGAGCGAGAGCTGCGAGATTTGAGGGCCGGTGATGGTGGGGGAGGTGTTGGCAGTGGCAGTGGGCGGGCGACGAGGTCTTTCAAAAAAAATGGACAGATTGGAATGCTGCGTGGTGGAAAGACCGACCCCACCGAGCGCAACCGTGCCTCTCGATATTGCGTTACACGCTGGCTGGGGGCGTTTCGAATGCAGCCGCCTGCTCCTATGCGCGCGGGTTTCAGCGCGGAGATTGAGCAGTGCAGACAAAGACAGCAGAGCAAGACGGCAGTAGAGCAGGCGAGTGGGCGTGAGGGCGAGTGAGCGCCGGCAGCTGGACAGCGGAAATATTTATTGCGGTTTGGCACGCGGCGAGCCTGGTGAGCAGTTGGTCATTCGGACGCTTCTGTCGCGCAACAGACGGCTAGCGCATGATAGGGCAGCCCAAGCCCTCACTCAGCACACGGCAAGGTTGAGGAGCGAACGAGCACTTTGAGCAGGACCAGCAGGTACCGGCCGGTGGCGTGGCTGATGCGATGCGCAAGAAAGAGTTGAATGTTTCTATTCTGGCTCTCACTGGCTGCAGCCAAATTGGTTCCCAACCCCAGCGCCGTCACGGAAACATGATGAAACAGGAATTCCACTCGCCGTCTGACACTGTTCCTTCGTCACGAACGCTCCCACCCTTCAGCCTCGACTCTATTCTCGGTCTGTGGTGTCTGCTGGCTGTTCATTGTGCCTCAGGGACCAAGAAGGTTCCTGGCTTCCACGCAAGCTGGGACGCTACCAAGTCTCTCGCTCCTGATTCGAGCGCCTCAATATCCCGTTGTGACCGCTTTGGGACGTCATGGCCGATCTGCATCTCCTACAATATTGCCGCTTTGGCCTCACCTTCGCCTGCGGCACAGTGAACCACCTGGAGACTTCTCACTAACCCGCCCATCGCAGCGATCGCTGGTTTCGCTGGCAACGAGCGACAGAGATCTCCAGACCCGAACCGTTGCTCTGTGCTCGGCTGCCCATTATCACTGCCCTGACGTCCTGCTTGCGCGCTCGCCGCCCGCGAACGCCTGTGTGGCTGCGAAATCAGATGGTTTCCTCGTTTCGAGCGGCCTCTGGTTGAAGAGACGCGAGCTTGGCGCTATCGCGATCGGCCCCATGTTGCGTGCTGCAAATGAGAGCAGATAGCGCGCCCTCTCATACGCTATCCACAAGCCACCTCCTCACCAACATTCTAACATCCGTGGGGTCACTCGGCCATGCTGGGCAATGCCATGCCCACAGGATGCTGGGCTCACGACCATGATAAAATGCCGCTCACTACCCCGTATTTTGTCATGCAAGTCATGTCTGGATCAACCTCGATGTCGGGAGCGCCTTGGTCGAGAGCTTGCGCCATCAACGCTGTGCCGTGGCGGCCCGCCCGGAGAGCCCTCAGGGACAGCAATTGGACTCGGGGGTGCGAATCTTTTTCTTGCCCTCAAAAAGTTGCCGTCTTCCACTCCCAATCGCAGTGTTCGGCGCTAGCGCCAATGTGCCTGGAGATGTGGGGAAAGGATGCGCTAACACCATCTGGATCAGATGCTGTGCACTTCATCATGCAGGCCGTGAGGGGTCCACTCTAAGTTGAGTGTCAGGCCTGTTGGACCAGATGAAGCATCCGTCAACCCAAGGTTCCGGATAAGGTCGACCTCAAGGCTTCACAAATTAACCCACGGCTGAGGCTCTCGGGGTCGCTGTCGACTGCCAGGAGTGCTTGGAATGAACGTGGAGAGGGACGAATTCAAGAGAGCAACGCGAAAACAACCACGGGTCAAGCGATCACTCAAATCCGTTCCTGATCGATCCTTGGCTGCTGGTCCCTTTGCCCTGGAGAGGTGTCCTATTGGAAGAGATCATTTTCCGTAGCCGGCCCAAAAAGATGTGTTGCAACCAAGTTTCACCTCCACAATCCTGACGTCATAATCCCCTGTGGCTTTCCTAAGCCAGAGATAAAAAATGGAATTCTCGATTTTCCCGTCTCTCAAACATGAAATGGCCAGTGGTGGCTTTAACTGGGATGTATTCGCTTTTCTGCCGCATATTTCTAGTCTTGATGCACAGACCTACTCCCGGTGTCCGGCAAGCCAACATGTCTAACGAAGGTTGATTCTCGTCTGTTCAGCCTTTCCAATTTAAAATTACTGAGAAGCTAAGAATTCAGTGGATTGCACTAGCTGAACCAATACAGAGCCGAGTGAGCCATGGCCGTCCACCAATCCCAAGGGAATACTGCTAGGTGAGGTGTTAGTCGAAATAAACTTCCTAATGACAGGATAAAGCCTCCTGCGCTTGCTTACAGCACATTCTTTCTCCTTCTAACAGCCTGTGCCAATAGCACTCAAGAGGGTTAATTGCTTCCCCTAACATCCTCTCGCTAAAACTTCCTCCATGCGACTTCTCGTTACACATCAGCCCTTTCTTTTCCCTCAGCAATTCACCTGCTGAAGCCTTACGCCATCAATCTCGATAACTCCGTGCAACCTCTCAAACAAGCAAGCATGAATCCAGACTCGCATATCTGAACACATACCTCCGGTCCTGTACACCAACCCGGAAGTCTCGAGTGTCTGTCTGCATCTTTCCCCTGCCTCTAACAACCTATCCTGCACCTTCGAGAACTCCCCGATTGAATGCCTGACGGATTCAGGCTTCTCGCTCGGGACTTCCTTCAAAAACAAGACTTTTTCCCTCCAGAGTCAAGCTTTCATGGCTGCGATCCATGGCAAAGATAGGTCAAGGCTGGTCGCACGTGCCATCCAATTTTCAGCTCCGACCATTTTTGGTCTAGCCTATATCCACAAGAGGACGCCACATGTGCTTCAATTCGTCTAGTATCCGCTCGGCGTTATCACTCCTTGAACAACCTGGTGGTTTCTAGCGAGAAGATGCATCGAAGCGTTCAATGGGGAACGCCGGCTGTGGCTTCGCTGTGTTACGAGGACTCGGTGGTGGAGAGGGAAAAGGAACAGCCTCGAGCCTTGTTTTCTCTCTTGCTCTGTTCTCCAGCTGCGTTGATGATAATTCCGCGCACACTTGATTAACACCAATATGTCTCGACTCATATTTTTCGCTACTTTAGCTTCAATCGCGCAGATCGCGATCTCGCAAACATACCCTTCTTGCGCTGTACGTCGACAGAAACCCTCGACCTTAGCCTTCGCAACGTTAACGAGATGCGCCCCCTAGAATTCCTGCATCTTCAACACCTCATTCGCTTCCAGCGCCGGGTGCTTACCGACGGATAGCTACTGCCTCTGTTCTAGCAGCATTTTTATACAAGAGGCGGTGTGTTGCATCCGCGCGAGTTGCGGGTCTACAGATCAATCTAGTATGTTCAACCACCAGCACATCAATCCAAGCAGAAGGAGCGGTGGAAGCGCTAAGAAGTGTTTCTAGATGCGTATAGTACCGCCGTATACAATTGCGGGACGTAAGTACTTTCCGTGGAAGCTTACGCCTTAGATACTAAATTAGTGTAGATGGGGGGTGACTCTGGTTTCTCTTAGATCTATAAGCTGTAGTTCTGTTGCAACTTGTATGTCTTCATTACCTTCCCGCTTCCTTCTATCTAGATTAGCATCTGAATCTGGGTCTGTGACTATACAGCTTTCCTAACGAGTTCAATCTAGCTTCACACGCAAACTCCCTCCCCACAACCTCCTCCTACACATACACGCCCTCGAACTCAAATTACCGTTCCAAGAACAAAGGTATCTCAACCGGGATCCGCGCCGCTATCGGTTTAGGCATCACCCTAGTTGGCGGAATAATCGTTGGCATTGCATGTCTCTTCATTCTCCGGAAACAGCGAGCTAAAAAGAACGCGATCGAAGCAGCGAATGCGCAACGAGCATCTGCTTTTATGGGAGGAAATCAGGGGGGAGGAGGCGGAGGTGGAGGTGGCCTGGAAGTCAAAGGAGGTGCACAAGCCGGTGTGAATGCGATTCCTCCTCCTTACACGGCCAGTTCTCCAGGTATCGGCCTTGGTTCTCAGCAACCTGGATTCCAAGCACAGCCTGGATTACAAGCAGTCTATCCACAACCGCAGAGTCAACCTCAATCACAAGGACAACTACCCGTATATCCGCCGCAGCAACAACAACAAGCACCGGTATTTCCTCACTACGGAAACATCCAGTCTCCCATTAGTCCTATGTCCTCGCCATCTCCGCCGCAGAATGGGGGTATGGAATTGCAGGGCCATGCTATCTCGTCCTCCCCTCCTCCACAGAACCAGAACGAGAACCATGGAATGGAGTTATACGGAAGTCCCATAGCACGAGGGCCTCCCCAGCAGCAGCAACAGCAGGGCGGATTTCAGGGTGTTGAGTTACCGAGTGGGAACACGCAGCCGCGTCACGAACTTTCTTGATTATTTCCCTCTCGTCTGGTCGAAGAGTTGTAGGGGCTAGTTCGTGGAGTTGGTTGGGTGTATGATTTAGGCAAAGAGAAGAGTGTTTTCCCTCTAGGTATTTGAGGAGTCTCTCTGGTATTGGGACAGACGGAGGCATGTTCCTATATTTATCTCTCACGTCCAGTTGGGACATGGTGCGAAGAACTGGAAAGCTGACAGGGACAACGGCAGGCGGTAAGCAAATAAACTCGCGCATTTCATAAGATCAAATCATTAATCAAGTATTTCACGAATGTGCAGTATATACATACAATCTCTTTGCCACGGAACGCAACAATCAGTGTCCCCGACGCCGGCGCCAAGGGGGATTTCAACCCCTCACAAAACGTCATCGTGAATCTCAAAGTCTCTGGAAACTGCCATATTGCTTTGTGTGCGTATCTCCCTCCCTGTCACGTACCTATACCCCATCCCCATTCTCTGCACTATTTTGGATAAACTTCGCAAAGTGTTCCGGGCTGATTATTCCGTCAGATGCGAAAGCCGACCAACAAGGCGGTGTCATGCAGCGCTATAACACTGATACGATTGGGACTTGTATTTTTGGGGGTCCCTGGGCTTCCTATGGATATTATTGTGACTAGGTGGTTGGAGTATTGAGAGGGTTGGAGATGGGGTTTAAATGGGGCAAATTGGTCGAGTAGTTTGTGGTTGGAGTAGTGGTTGTAGTTGTTAGGGGATTCCTCACTATAGTCGCTCCTTTCGTAACTAAATAATTCGTGGCCCGAATTGTAAGAGTTTCCAAAAGTTTATGGATAATGGTGTGATTTCCTTCATACCAGGGCCTTATTTCTATCCGGAGTGCCGGAGTGGGCATTTTCGAGGCTGTCCGGATGAGATGTTGAGAATGGATCGCGTTACGTTCGTGGCCTTCGAGTGGTGCCCAACAGTCGTCTACCACAGCCCAACCCTATCCCTCTAAATGCTCTTAGGACAGCCAATGTGCTAGAATTAACTCAGAAGCAGTGTTAGGGGGGAGACGCGGAAGTGACATTTGGATTTGCAGAGACTCGGATGATCGGCGTCGAAAATAGTAATTACGAGGAGCATTGATGGATAACTGCAGTAGTCCATGGTCGGCCCAACTCACACCAATACCTTCATCCTTTGATAAGCTATTGGCACGCTCGGCGGCTGTGACAAATGCAGCAGCGTTGTTTTCTCATGGGCTGAACTGATTCTCAGTGGCTGATGTAGAACTGGTGATTTGGCACTGGGTGAAGAGACAAGTCTCCTGGGACGGACATACGTCGTGCTTTTAGTGTCGTGATCTATATCACATGATGCCTCATCCGGAGGAGTCCTCGCCTCGCAACCTAGGGCATTGGTTCTTGAGTGAAGTCTTCAAGTGGACATTCGCTGGCAATTCGTCGCCACTGGGATTACTCTTCTTGAACAGACCCTTCCAGTCAAGGCCTCAGAGGCTAGCTATATCCTTTTAATGCCCTGCTCTTGGTTCATATTGGCCCGGGATTCGAGCTTAGAAGGCCTGCATTGTTTAAGGACCTAAAGATCTGCAGTCTCTCAACTCCAGACAACTACATATGGGGCTTGGCAAATGAAGTCGATTTGTGGAAATAGGCCAACCCAAATCTTTCACCGATATTAAGCATTGTCGTGCTTTGCAGCTTGAATCTGTATTTCAGACAGATTTTTGTGTTGCCGTCGTACATAGTTGTCACCTAATTCATCGATGAGGCTAATCATTTTCTCTTTAAACATCTGCTTCAACATGTCAAAAATGTATGTGTTAAAAAGGGATATACGTAGATTCTGGAAACTGTTCTGAATTTGCGGGCGTCCCAAGATATGCCTCTGGTCTATTTCTTTGAGGTGTGAATCTTGTTGGAAATGAGATGATTCCCTCGATCTTCAGGTAGAAATCGCGGGAGTCTGACTAGCAAGTATTAGCAAGACAAACAATAGAGGATTCGCATGAAGTCATACCGAATGGTTCAGTGACTATTCGACCAACCGAGCTTTGCAAACACGATAGTCTCTTGCTGTGGTGTCTCTAGAAGATTATCTCCCGCATTTCCCAAATGGTGAGATGACCCTCTGTAACATCGATAGCGCGAGTCTCAAGGTGCTTCAAGAGCTCCCCCTTCCAAACAAATGACACTGGATCTTTTATTAAGGCCTAATCTTGCTAGTAATCAATCGTGTATTTTGATTAAACTCGATATTCTAGCTCTCCTATTTCGCCCTGAACTTGGGAAGGCTCCGAGGGAGGCACTGATTCCTATGTCTGAGATTGCAGATAAATTGTGCGAGAAGGCTTGAACGAGACCAAGTATTCAATAGCCCATGACTCGTGCCGCCTCGAGGACGAAGAACAATCTCTTATAGAACTGGACGTTTGCCTCTCTAGGAATCTTAGAAGTGAGCTCGTAACAGTCAGTGGTGGTGTCAAGATGGGATAGCGAAAGCGGACTCTCCTGGTTTCCGAAGGGGATAAAACCTAGAGCGATAAAACGAACTGTCATAAAAGGCTCAAGGTAATCACTTTGGAAAGATTCAGGCACGATGGCATTCCATCGTGCATTTTGGCCACACATATATCTGCTTCTCGGGCCAAAAACCCAAAGGCAGTGCCGTCAGACAGGGTTGGAACTTGTCGAACATCACTGTGCTGAATATTGTCAAAGCACTGAACGGACCGTCCGGTATACGACTCCATGCCCAGGGCAGGTAAAATACAGAGTCGATCTTCCAGAGTGATTTCGCAAGTTTTATTGACTCTACCACGAGACATTCATAGCCTCTCTTCATTTTTTCTCTAATTCTCGTAGCTTCGACATTTAGTATAATATGTATCACGAGGGCAAAAGATTCGTCCTTGTAAAGCCGGGCATCTTTGTTGGCATCAAATATCATTAATAAGTGCTGTAATTAGTCGCCATATTACGAAATTTAATTGCATTTTCAAAATTTCGTTACAAAGCTGCAGAACCTTGCTGCGTGTAAGGTGGTCCTGGTTATTCCAATACTGGTGGGAACGCTCTTTTGGCCGTACAGGAAGAGGTATCTGAGCTAGGGGCTGGATGTTGTTAGCGAACAATGGCCCTAGCATACTGTAGATAATGTCTGGTTCTGGTCTCTTGTGGATGCTAATCTTCTGGCTGACTGGCATGTGATGATACACCAGCTAGCAGGATGATGTCGTACATATATAGCGTTCCAAGGGGTCTGCGGCTCTTCGTCTGGAGTTGCATATGGAGCATCATCGCTCGGTGTGAAGGGGAGTTTTCAGTAGCGTTGGCCTGGCACGAGGTTGTGGAAGAAGTGCGGATCGCCAGTCGAGTCGGCACAGCTCCTGAAGGAGTGGCTGAGGACCCTATTCCTCTTTCCGTGGCGATTTTGTTAAGCTATCAGAGTAAGAAGGGCTTGTTCAGGGTAATGGAATCTGGATGAATATTCTTATCTTTAAGGCCAACTGTAGCAAGTTTGAAAAGTTTCTGTTTATCGACAAACCTATTGTCAATGAGTGCATAGGATAGCACGCTCGGCTGACAGGCACTAGTTTGGTACTCCCTTACGATGGTGTCTACGGCCTTCTGAACGTGGCTGACAGATAGAAAGATAGTAGAAATTAGCAACGGTTATCATGAAATTTTACGTGACGGGTCTACCTAGTGATAGATACCAAACTCGTGTTGCAGAGGTTCCGTGTTGTGCTGCATCTTCGCTAGGAGACCTTCCGAGTCCCTAGTGATGAACTTCAACAACTCCACTAACCGTTACTTGCGCGTCCTAAGACTGGTGCATCTGTCTAAAATTGGGCTTCTTCGTCTAGGGTTGTGTTATAAGCTACGCACGCTGATACGCGAGAGGTAATCTTTGGGTCACTCACAGGGATCTGCTTTTCCTTGTCCGCATCCTCCAAGTATATTTTGGTCTCGTTGAGTACGATGTGCAGGATCTCGACGTGACGTGCCAGTCGACTGTAGTTGCCAGGCATTTTTGTACCATTTGTTGTAGAGTTGAGGGAACAGGCCTCGAATTGGACGACTGTAGTAGACTTCAGGCCTGTCTTACCAGCTATGCCTTATCTGCCACTGAGATGAAGTCTCCGGTGGTGGACCCGCGCTCTGGCCGTGGTTTGGGGCCAGAATACCCTGTAGGGGAAATGAAAATCCGCTAAGATGCGGAGGGAAGGGTGCTTAGGCTTAGGGTGAGGGCAATTTGGAGGACTAATTTACAGCGAGAAATTCTGGTTTGAGATTGAGAGAAATGGAGAATGTTGAGTGGTGGAGAACGAGACGAGGGGACAGCGTTTCCAACAGGAAGTAGTACAATTGATACTTTTGCTCTACCTATAATCACGTGAGGCAAACAAACGTAACTACATTTTTAACTATTACAATTTAATTAATAAGGCTTAAAAGTAAGTAGTACATAATTAAGGTAGACTTTTTTAAAGTTGCAGTCTCTAACGCGCGTGAGGGCTAGGGGAGCGTGTTTGTGCCACTATTTACGTGTTAGTGTAGCCTTAGAGCTTGCCCTGTACTACAACAACCTTAGACAACTTTATTATAGCAAAAAATAATAGTCCCTTGTATAGGGAACCTCTAGATTAGTGGCTCTAGGTTAGTTAGCGCAACTGTCCTGTACTCTTTAAGATAGCACAGAGCCTTTAGTAGGGGGAAAAGAACAGTTACTTATAACTATAATTATCTTTTAGGCTCTATAATTAAAGCTTTGCAACTCTAGAAAAACTAGCTACATTATAAAGTTATTTTTAGTAAATTAAATAACCTTATATGCTATATTAAAAGTAAGGGGGACCCTACTACTCTAAAAGCTTTAACAGTTATGTTATAACTTTTAGTAAAAAGTTAAGAAGTATAAGTAGCTTTAATTAAACTGTAACTTAATTGTATTAACCCCTGCTGTTAGGTGAAGCAAACAAAAGTATATGATAAGTGAGACGTAACTTGTCTAGAAAGCCTGAGTCGAATCGTACTACTTCCTGATGGAAACGCTGCGAGGGGATGATGCTACGGATTAACTGCAGGCATCCCCATTATGTCACTTGGAGGTCTAGCGGGGATCACAAACCCTGCTGCAGCCTTACCGAGTAGAGATATTTGGTTCTGATAGAAGGAGAGGTTTGCGACTGTCGAAACCGATTGCGAAAGCCCGGCTTTGTGTTGAGACGTTGTTCTTGGAGAGTGCACCCACCACGTCGGGTTGGCAATGTGGTAGGGATAGCCTAGACTTGCCGGCGATGCCATGACAAGTGAACCTACTCGGTGCCTTGGAGCATTGGCTGGGGTCCCAAATATTAGTGGTCAAGGAAAGTGGCTGCTACTCGAAGACTTGTGGTGGTTGTCAGGACGGGTTGTTATCGTTTTGATCTAATCCATCTAATCAACCACGTGACCATGAGCTATTGGTTCGTCATCCACACCCGGATGCTCAACACCAAACTGTCTGCCTGCGACAGCTCAACCCCAACCATCCCCAACACATCACCGGAAACACCTCCAGACCGCATACTAGCCCTGAAGGAGCTCATCGAATTCCATTCCGCTCTCCTGAGCCTGCCCTTCTGCACTCAAATTACCGCATAACTCGGCCCAATCCTCCCGACACTTAGAGTCGCGATGGCGGATTCGGGAGCTACAGCGCAGCCGAAGCCGAGCAGCAGTGTCAAGCTGGTGCTCCTCGGCGAGGCCGCAGTGGGAAAGGTATGCGATATAAATGGTAACATCGTTAAATGGAGGTAGCGGCTAACAAATCACATAGTCTTCACTGGTTATGCGCTTTGTGAACAACGATTTCCAAGAGAACAAGGAACCCACAATAGGAGGTGCACAATCCCATATGAATTCCCACCACCGTCGTAGCCTTCATCCACCTTTCATTCCGTCCCCTTTCGCCCCTTGCGGCTTGCAGACGTCAAGCTAATCATGCCACCAAACAGCTGCCTTCCTAACCCAGAAATGCAATCTCCCCACCCGCACCATCAAATTCGAGATTTGGGATACCGCCGGTCAAGAACGCTTTGCCTCACTCGCCCCAATGTACTACCGCAATGCGCAAGCCGCCCTCGTTGTCTACGACATTACAAAACCCTCGTCCCTCATAAAGGCACAGCACTGGGTTGCTGAGCTCCAACGCCAAGCCTCACCAGGTATTGTCATAGCTCTCGTAGGCAACAAATACGATCTGGCAAGTCCAAGCAGTGGCGACAGCGCCGAAGATGCGGATGCCGCACCTGCGGCAGAAGGCGAGAATCCTGAAGAAGAAGAGGGCGCTGATGCCAGAAGGGTGCCGACGAAGACGGCGAAGGCATATGCGGATGAGGAGAGCCTGCTCTTCTTCGAGACGAGTGCCAAGACAGGCATGAACGTCGCAGAGGTGTTTACGGCCATCGCCAATGCTATCCCCGAGACGAGCTTAAAGGGCCCGAGAGGTGTCGGAGGCCAAACAAATCTAGGCAGGCAAGAGGACAATCGTGTGAATCTTGTTGGTGGCAGGACTGAGGGTCCCAAGGAAGGATGTGCCTGTTGACAATAGTCGTGAGTAATGAGGACTGGTTGCGGAATCCGTCTTGTTTAGTAAGGTATCTTTTCACCGAGAATCAGGGCGTCTATGTCTGGGTAGTACATGCTTCTTTAGCAATATATCATGCCGGCAAGTGTATATCTCACAATCCATTCTTCCAATCATTCATCACTTGTTTCCAACCAAGGCCGCCATTTCAGTTGTGAACGCGGACTTGAGCTGCCTATCAATTGCCCTGGTGTTGACTTGTCCTGGGACTTTTGGAAAATTCGTGGCTATGTTTAGGGCCTATGCACATAGAAAAGGGTATGCGTAAAACTACAGCCCAGACTTCAGATACAATCCCTATCCTGAAAGGAGAACCCCACAGTATTCTCACTATTTGCTGCTCTAATTGAATAAGTAACCCGGTACTCAGTTGGCCAACGACGGCACATTCAACAGAATAGGGGTAATTAGGACACCGGTTTCCTGTTGATGTTCTCCCTGATTCTGGCCAGAGGTTTTAGGCGCTATCCTACTAATTATTCCACGTTCAGTGAGAAGAATAAGTACGGCAAGATTCAGAGATCTGGCATCCAAAGAATTTGATTGGACCAAACACAGATGGTATGAGCTCCAATAAAATGGGCTAGTTTGACTCAGCCGCGGATAGGCGGGGTAGGTAAACGGGACGTTCGAATCCTTTCCTGTTCACAACACCTAAACGATGCCACGATACAATGACCAAGTCTCAGTCGCATTGCCATAAGCATATGATAGATCTAAACTTAGACGTCTAATTCGCAAATGAGCCCCACATCTCAGCGATTACTTCCCTAATGTCCGCCGAACTCGTACTTGCCTCGCTAGCAACTGCTGACTTGGCTATTAAAGTATGTTTGGCCCGATTCGCAGAACTCATGTAGCGAGCACGCTAATTCCTGTATCATAGTATGGTAAGGTTTTGCTGGATCTTTATAAATGCTTTATAGGCGCTGAAGAGCTTGACGACCGCATCCTTTGCATCGAGTTCATTTGCATAAGCAACTACAAACAAGTCACATTCTTGAAAAAGATATGGGGATCGCTGGATGAAGAGCACCAGAACTTGCAGGGCCGGATAATGCAGAAGTTGGTCGCGAAACTAGAAGATGCGATTAACCAGATCGAGAGTGTTCTGAAGAAGAAGGATCACGATGATGGCAATACAATCATTGGCGTCAAAAAATGGAAGTACGTTTTCTGGGCTAAAGAAAGCATGGACAAAACGATTCAAGAACTACAAGAGTGGCAGAGAATGTTTGACCCCAGCTGGTACTTGATTATGAAGATTGCGGATCCGGTTATCGATGAAGAACTTGCGCGTGACGATGAGGGCGAGAAGACGAAATATGGGTCTCTTCGCCACGGGTTTATAACGACAGCGAAGGGTGTTCGAGACTCTTTGCGAACTGAAACGCATTCCCAGCCTTCCATTTTCCTTCCAGATATCCGATTCGCTTCCAGCCACAAGACTCCTATATCTTACTGCACCGCTGAGATCTTCATCCGTCCAAACGGGAAAACATATCTTCTAGATTCCGTGGCATGCCTACCCGGTGTAGATACCGATATACTCAACAAAGATGTCCGCGATCTAGCTCGCAAGCTGTCTGGGACCGATCCGCTAACTTTTGGCCTCCTCCGGTGCCGTGGCGTCATCAAAGTCTTTGACGAAACTAAAATTCCTAAGAAACTGCTTTCATACGACTTCGTATTTTACATTCCCGAGGGTTTGCGAAATCCCCGAAGTTTGCGGAGTGTCTTGATAACGGCTGGGAAAGAGATCTCGCTCAGTGCTCGTTTTAGAGTTGCGCAGCAACTCGCTCAATCAGTCAGTTACGTGCATACTTATGGATTCGTACATAAGAACGTCAGGCCCGACACTGTTTTAGTCTTCGAGGACTATACCAATGGATCGACCCAATCCGCATCGTTTCTCCTAGGGTTTGAGAAGTTCCGTCCCGCGGAAGGAAGGACCATACGGGCTGGGGACTCGGCTTGGGAGAAAGATCTCTACCGGCACCCTCGTCGACAAGGTCTCAAACCGGAGGACGCATACCTCATGCAGCACGACATTTATAGTCTTGGTGTCTGTCTCTTGGAAATTGGCCTGTGGGAAACTTTCGTCACATACCCATTTGGGGAAGGGCTCGGGAGTGCATCACCTTCTCCTCTGCTAGCCGTTCTGAACGAGCCGGAGGACGATATAGTCAATAAAGCATCGCTAGTTAAAGATGCGCTAGTTCAGCTTTCGAAGAAGAAGCTCCCCGCTTGTATGGGAGATAAATATACGAACATTGTGGTTTCGTGCCTGACCTGCCTCGACGAGAGCAGCCTGGATTTCGGCGACGATTCGGAGTTTAAAGATGAGGATGGTGTGCTTATTGGTGTTCGCTATATTTCTAAGGTGCATAAATCCACTATCTCCTGTCCTGGTTGAGACTGACGCACAAAGATTTTGCTGCAATTGAACCAGATCTCGATTTGATCTCTAGACGCTGTGTCATTTTCCTTCCCAGAATGGTAGTTGCGGGCGCCAAAGAGTGTTTTACCTCCAAACCACGTAAACGAGTCGCAATAGTCTGACCAGGATGCAGCAGTGCTAGGAGCCCAGCTGAAACGTCAGTCCGACCCATGGACGTATGTTTGGGGGCTTGCTTAGGAGTAGCTCGGTTTAACCGCTTCCCCTCTGCTCATCGCCAAACAGGAACTAAGGAACTACCGTCCTCGACAGGTGGAAGGATTCGCTGCTGAAATTCGTAATGTCGCGGGCTATTGGCAGGTAATACATATCAAGTTGAGCTACCAGTAAATATAGGCTCCTTATTTAGGAAACAATATCTGGTCTGCAGCTGGATCCTGAGATCGCCTTTGCAGTTGCTAATTCAGCATCGGCGTCTGACATGGCCCCCATATATGGTGCTGCCCCGCCTTCTTTTCTTTCCGACATTTCCTTTCATCCTCCGACCTTAGAACAGGCTTTCTTCTAAACAAACTGTCAAAAAAGATACGAACGAGTGAAAGTTTTATGTGGAGTTTTTCCATTCGAGTTCCTGGAAAGGCTGAGATTCAGCTTTGTCCGCATACAAGTTGCCCCTCCCAAAACATGTAACTTTGTATGTTCTGTGTCTTATGTACATCCTAAAGGAAACACTACACTTGATCTTGGAGTCTCGGTCGCTCGTTTTGTGCGAACGGTGCTAATGGAACGGCAGAATCTAGCTTCGTCGTTATGGACCCCTATCTGGAACTCGTTGAATCTGCTCGACTCGAAACCCAATTCCGCCGCGACGGCACCGTCCACACATACCACGAGTCTGGAAAGCACGCGAGCCAGCGAAGGCTCCATCGAGAAGAGACCTGGCAATACCAGAAGACTATTGGCCAAGGCGCATACGGATCAGTATGGTTGGAGAAATGTGCGACGGAACAGGAAATCAAGGTGCGCGCTGTTAAGATGATAAGGGAGTTTGAGCCGGACAGGCCGTCGGAGTCTACTGGTCGGGACTTTACTCGTGAGCTTGGAGCTGTGACGAAGTTCTCTCACCCCAAGGTGCATTACATCTATCTGCTACCTTTCTCTTTCATTGAACTTACGTATTGCATAACTTAGTACGAGCCTTGCTTCGTGAAATCCTTCGGGTGGTATGAGAACCCGGAAGCAATATTTATTGCAATGGAGTATCTCAATCATGGCGACCTTCAAACTTACCTCAATCAAATCCCGCGATTATCAGAGCCGGAAGGCCGAGAAATAACTTTCCAAATCCTCGAGGGCTTGCACTGTATGCATCAGAATGAATTCGCACACAGGGATCTGAAACCTGGCGTGAGTTACCCAGATGGCGCATTCAAATGCAATTATGCTGAATAATTGTCAATACAGAACATCCTTATTAGGTCTATGCCGCCAGACAACTGGTGGATCAAACTTTGTGACTTTGGTATCAGTAAGAATCTCGCTGACGACTTCACGAAGTCAACCGTGAAGGGCACACTTGCATACATGGCGCCCGAATTACTGGAAAAGGTTGATTCAGTGAAGGAACGCAATTCCCGAAACAACCAAGCAGCGGATATGTGGGCCTTGGGTGAGATTGTGGTCCGAATGCTGACAGGAGAACCGACTTTCACAAGCCCACTCATGTTGTTGAAATATGTTGAAAGATCTCCACCTTTGCCTCTAGAACGTCTTGAGGAACTTCAGATTACGGATGAGGCTTGTCTTTTCGTGAGAAGTTTGATGAAAGTTCCTCCGGAAGAGCGGTTAACTTCACAGGAAGCGCTGCGCCAGAACTGGATGAGTATATACGAATCTCCAGTTCTAGAAATGCCTGGTTCTAACGCTCTGAGGCATGTAACATGTTCGAACATTCTGTTTGTCTAGGTATTTCCGACTGACGCGAGACGTAGTTCACTCCCTATGAGCCACCTATATCTATTCACCGGAGTTAAACCCGTTTCCGAGCCATCGGCACAATGGTCGACCACGTCCAAGATGTCACTAGCTGGACCAGGCATGAGTGCCCGTAGAAAAAGCCCCTTTGAACAAGCTACGAACAATATTGGGACAGTATCTAAGGGCAATGAGACTCCGCGGTTTGATGGCCACCATGACACACAACAAAACCTATTTTCAGTGCGTCCTACGATCCGCACCACCAGTGCATCTGAGAATGATGTACGCAGCACCTCATTGCGAGGAAACAATTGGGAGCTTCAGATGTCACCCAATGATTCGAATAACCCTTATCGCAACGGCATGTTTGGCATGAGAGCAGCTGCCGCGACTACAGACTCTCTACCAACGGCAATAGCAACCTCCATGACAGATGAGAGCAGTTTAAAGGCAACTCTGGGATTACCCAAGCATGGAAGATCGAGATCTCATAGTGGCGGCATTAACGAAATCACCGCAAGCCACCCAAACGCCTCTCCTAGTAGCAGCCATGGCCTCCCAACAAAGCTAGACCACGATGTTAAAAGCAGGCTAAACGATCCACCTCCACCATATACACCAAAACTAGAAGACAAACTCAAAAGCTTCATCCCCGCAGGCCTGACCGAATCAATTTCCGAACTCACTCGATCAATCCCTGGCCTCGGACCATCCGAATCTCACGCCAAGCCACCCACGCATGACATCCGCCCCCTTCACTCCCCTCAACCCCAATCTAGACAACCCCCTATAAGAGGCGACACCACCTATCGCGACCAAATCCGCCGGACAATAGATGACCGACGAGCGCGACGTCACGTAACCAAAACTAGACTGGCTCAGCGAGAAGGCCTAGACCTCGGTCTCGTCACGGGCTCGCAAACAGAAGACGGCCGCGAAATCGGCGAGATGCCATCTGACTCCGTCTTCGAGTTCACCATAAAAATTTGGTTTCTCAGCGTGCCCTTGCCGCAGATTACCACGTATGTTACAGACACTCTAGCGCAGTTTAGCATCATATATATTGCGATTGAGGGGGGGCTTGAATGTTGGTATGGCACTCGGACTAACACGGAATCTGGGTCTGGGGTGGAAGCGATGTCGAGATCGAAATCGAGGTGGAAGGGGTTGTGGAGGGATACAACCGTGCATTTTACATTGAAGTTCTGGAAGGAGAGGTATATGGTTATTTTGTCGGATACAAATTTCCGGTTTGAGAAGGTGGAGGGGAATGTTGAGGTGTATGAGGATATGGTTGAGGGGCTAGTTGGGACTTTTGAGTCGAATTGGTACGCAAATCCTGATAATCCAACGCCGTAGAGTACCTTTATTAGCAGAGCTTGCTCTGCTTATTATATTCGGGTTTGCAGAACGAAAAGTTGAGCAGAATCTCCTCTTTTGGACGCGCTAGTTAGTCAGAATTTCTTCAGATAAACCCTAGTAACGCTGTTTCTCTGTCACCTTATGTGTTTCTTATATTCTTTTTTTTAAAAAAAATGTATAGCTAATGTAAGTGCACCTTTATGCTAATTTGCATGCAGTTTGCTTTAGCATGCGTTGTGTAAAACATTATAGTTAGTTGCGTCTGTTCCACCTCTCTAGCCACATTGGTGTGTCGAGGATTGGCATCAGCCGCATCGGTGTGTCGAGGATTGGCAGTTGCTCGCACACCTGAGTTGCTCACTTTTGCCAAGACCACACCACAACAAACTTTATTATAGCCCATAACAACCCACTCTAGCACTATAGAGTACAGTACAGCCTAGAATATTATTTAGATACTACTTCTACTTCTTGCTTACACGTTTGCGCGTTATGCCTAGTCTAATTGCACTGTCTGCAGCACCTTTAGGATTACTTATCTACTTTAGCTTACACCTGCTTCTTTGCCTTTTTCCTATCACTGCGCGCCCTAAACTTATTTTAAGCTGTTAAGCGCAGGCCTTTCTAAATGTAGCTGCCTTATTAGCTGCTTAAAGCTTAGTAATTTCTTATTACACTAACACTAGCTCATGTGCAATTACTGCTACCCTTTGTAAGGCTTTTTTTCTAGAGGCATTACCCCCCTAGAACCCTCTCTATACGTAGAGCTACTTACAACACAACTAATATCTACTAGGGATTGTTGCCTGCTGCTGTAATCTACTGTAGTTTGCTGCAATTTGCTATAGTTTGCTGCAATTTGCTATAGTTTGCTGCAATTTGCTGTAGTTTGCTGTAATCTACTGTAGTTTGCTGCAATTTGCTGTAGTTTGCTGCAATTTGCTGTAGTTTGCTGCAATTTGCTGTAGTTTGCTGCAATTTGCTGTAGTTTGCTGCAATTTGCTGTAGTTTGCTGCAGTTGTCTGTAGTTTGCTGCAATTTGCTGTAGTTTGCTGCAATTTGCTGTAGTTTACTGTAGTGTTACAATCCTGGCTTCGGGAAACACTCGGGTCAATGTTGTTCCTGGGTGGTAGGACGGAGGCTAGGGGCCGACGGTAGGGTGTACAGTCCTACGTAGTGGCTAATGGGCTAATGGAGTAGGGTAGGGTGACCGGATCGTGGTTTGTCCCTATGGCGGCAGTATGGTGGCCGGGTCAAACGGTCCTGTTGGACAGAATTGGAGGGGTATATGTTGTAGAATATACAATAGTATTGCAGCTCTTTAGAAAGCTAAAATGCTACTTAGTCTATGTAAAGAATAAACTAAACGTTAAACACACCTTCTAAAGGTTGTTTAAGGTTAGAACTATATACATGTCTAATAGTGCCAAGAACAAGTTGGTCAAGTTCAGGCAAGCTTGCTGTACAGCGAGCTCGTCCAACTCGCTGTTACGGTCTATGGTTGGACCAGCGTAACTCCACCGGCAGTGCTCCACAATCTAGCTGGATTGGGGCAGGGTTCGCTTATGGACCAATCAGAGGACACGGAAGCGGCGCAGCTGCCTGCGATAGTGGAAGAATGCGTTGTCCAGTAGGAAGACAGGCCGCGAGTCCAGGTAGCCCAAGGTAGCTCAGAGAGCTCACCTTAGCAGGCTACCATGAACTCCCTTTGCTCCCCTTAGCACCCTCTGAACATGTATATAGTTCCCACCTTAAACAACCTTTAAGAGGTGTGTTTAATGTTTAGTTTATTCTCTACATAGACTAAGTAGCATTTAGCTTTCTAAAGAGCTGTAATACTATTTGTATATCTTGCACTATATATACCTCTAATCCTGTCTAACAGGACTGTTTAACCTGGCCTCCCTACTGCCGCACACAGGGCAAACCACAATCCGGTCACTCTCCCTTCCTCCAGTAGCCCATTAGCCTGTACGTAGGACTGTACACCCTACTGGTTGGCCCCTACCGCCTGTCCTACTTCCCCCCTAGGAATATTACTAGACCTAAGTGCTTCCTAGAAGCAAGGATTGTAACATTAAACACTACCCCCTCTAAAAAGTATAAATACCTCTTAACATAACCTAAATTCTAACATAGCCTACATAGCTTTGTTAGAATCTATAGAAGTTTCTAGCTAAAGTAAAGCTATCCTAGTAGAACAGATTAACATAATCTAGGACAACATAAAGAAACTTTAATAAATTAGTAAAGAAATAAGTAAACTAGTAAACCTTTAATAAAAAGTTATAAACTTTTACTAAAAAGTAATAGAATCTTAAAATCTTTCTAGACCCTTAAGCCTTTAGAAAGCTACTAACTATGCCTATTAAATACACAAACTACAGGTAGAGCTAGCTAAAATATAAAACATCTTAACTAAAAAAATAAGCCTTATAGCTAAAAAGACTTTAAGACTAGCTTTTTTAAAGCTTTTTAAAGAATTACTAAAGGACCTTTAACTATTTTTTACAAGATATTACTTCTATATATAATATAATAAAGAAGCATTTTAGACAGACATAGAAATAATATCCTAGATAGAATTATACCTAGAAGGCCCCCCTGTAATTTAGTTCTAGCTCTACACAGATAATTAGATAAACTTTAGGGTAAACAGCGCAGCACTTACCTCTAAAACAGAGGAAGTGTTTAGTAGTGTTAAAAATTTTAAAGAAGCTTTAATAGCTATTTATAAAACTTTAGACAAAAAGAAAATTATAGCTAATAAGTTAAACACTATAAAGTAAGAGACTAGCCTAGTCTAGAACTACGCAGCACGCTTTAGAGAACAGCTAGCTATCTGTAGATAGATAGACTAGAAAGCCTTCTATTACATATTCTATAATAAACTAAGCAAAATAGTAAAAGATAAATTTATGCATAGTAATAAGCTAACTACTCTTAAAAACTTTATTATATAAGCAATAACTTATAATAACTATTATAAGAAGTGTAAAAAAAAAAGAAATAAAAAGAAACTCTCTAAAAACTAGAGTTTACTCTAAGAAAAAAAAAGCTTTTATAATATAATAAAAAACTAATAAACCTTAGTTATGTAAAGCATATATAAAGCCTTCTCTCTAAAAAGAGCTAAGTTTTAGAACATAATAGGCTGCCTTTAATAAAGGAATAATAAAAGTAGCTAGAGAATAAGGCCTACCTAAACTATAAAAAAGTAAAACATTTCTGCTAAAATTACCTAGACTTCTAAAAAGAGGAGAATAAAAATACTACTATAATAATAAAAGCTATTACTGCTAAATACAGCCTTATAGATAAGAAAATATTAGAAAGATTAAATAATAAACTTTACTAGTAATGTAAAGAAAACTATTCTTTAAATAACTATTTTAAAGTTTATAAACATTTAAAAAAAAAGAAATAGTTCCCTCTCTAAGACTAGACCTTTAGCACTTTAGTAAAAGAACTCTTCTAATAGTTCTAGAAATGTAAATGCTAGAAGTGCAGTTTACAACATAACTACCTAAGCTATTGCATAGTAATGCTTTACTAGATAAACATTAGCAATAACTACCTTACATTTAATATAATACAGTAGATAGCTAAAGTTAAATACAACATTA